CCGTCTTATCACCTCCTCCCACGCTTTTGCCTCTGTAAAGGCCAGCACTCTGTTGTTGTTGTTTGATGGACCTTTTTTCCTGGTACCGCTGCCTGTAGGGCCGCCGATGCTTGCCACCGATTCCGGTGTCTCCGGTGGCGGTGCCATTCCTAACATCTGAAGAGCGGAAAATGCATGCAGCCTGCGGTGCGTCGCAATCGGATTCATAAAAGCCCCACTTGAGCGCAACATGAATGGTAAGCGGCTGAGCAGCAATCCCGAGCCACCATCCCACCAACGTAGTGGTTCCCTGGACTCTCCATTGGGTGGCAACTGCAGAGGACGAATCTCCTCAAAATCTTCTTCCTGCGGCTGCGGATGTGCAGCATCATGTGGGAGAGCAGCAGCAAATCCTGCGATCAAGAGCCACAGTTAGACTCTATATTGCGCAGTTCAGTACACTCTTTACAGTCCAGTGCACTCTTCAAAGCAGTCCAGTAACGTCTTTGAAGGTGTAAACGCTGCACATCAACAATCTACAGAGCAGTACAAAGCGGAGACAAAAGCGAAATACTCCCATAAAAGCACTTGCGTGCTTCCTCCAAGCATACGGCCTGTTTTGCCGAATATCAAAGTTTCACCCCATCCACGTAAACATCTCTCTGTTTTGCGTACCCAAAGGCTCTTGCAAGAGCTCCATAAGCTTTGGGTTGTCCTGAAAGTAATCAGGCAGTGTGAGGGACGCTTCAACGTGCGCATGGGCGTTATTTAGCGCTGCCTCATCTAACAATGGCTGCCGAAGCTTCGCAAGGCGTTCCTTGATTCCGGTGTTGCTCCGCTGAGGACCTCCTGAGGAAGCCGCCAAGCTTCCTGGAAGCGCTGCCTTCCTCGATACGTAGAAACGAAGCGCCGTTCCCGCGCATACGAAACGGCCGCAACATCCACTCGACTGCCCCCCTATGAACTGCTCGCATACATACACAAGTGAAGCTGCTCACAGAAAAGTCGTGAGCACAAACGGGTGAAGGCAGCAGCCTCACTGACTGTCTATACAGCAGTCAGCATGTTACCTCATAGCGGGGGATGGCAGCGAGAGGCAGAGCAGCGTAGATGCCGCTGCTCCCAATGTCAACCTCTGCTCTCAAAAGGCGCCTCTTCAAGTAGTCTACGCCATAAAGAGGCTGTGGCGGCTTGTCTGCGGCAGTTGCACCTGAAGCCTGATCTTCTTGCTTGCTAGAGTTGGCTGACAACTCCCCAGGCCCATCCACAATGTTTGACAAGCCCTCGGAATACACCTCAACGCCGACAAGGCGCAGCAGCATGAGCTCTCTGTCTCTATCACAGCGGACCACCCAGCCCCTCGCTACAGCCCAAGGCGTGGTAATGGCTTCAATGAAGTCACGGCGTCCCCGACGGCCAGCTACGATGCGTCGCGTAAGCTGAAGACACATCAGCATGACATGCCTAAATGTCATTCCGTGCAGCTACACATGCACTAAAGCACTTTAAGCACTAGTCGGGCTGCGACGTCCGGTAACGTTGCACGTGAAAACTGCCGAGAGAAGCTCAAAATGCAGCTCCCTATTCGCAAGCCCCAATTTTCATGTCTTGGCAGCTGATGCCATCTACTGCTGGCGCAGAACCCACATATGCCTCTAACGATGATTGCCTGCGAGGTTTAGGCAGCGAAACTGTAGCCTCCAGAGACTATTTAAAGCGTGTCAGCGTCGCCTCCTAGGCAAGCAATCTACGTTTTGTGGTTCAGCTTTCTCCGAAACTATTTTTTTTAAACTTAATGCGTCTAAAATGTGCCGGTGCACTATTCCCCAATGCACGTACGGAGTGGTTCCTATGGACAGTGTCAATAACGAAGCATCCCTCCACTAGGTCATCTCCCTGTAGGAGTCGAAGCATCTCCAGCTGCTGCCTTGCTGTCAAGCCACTACTTAAAAGTTGCTGCCTCCAGGTGCGGCCAGCGCAGCAACCGAGAGAAAACCAGGCAGCGTCTGGAAACGAAGCGTTGATGTGCGGTATATACTCCTTCACCGCCCATGCCCCCTTCCTTTGCCCCAGCACTTGCAGACGACTGCGGCGGTCCCGTAGCTGCAACAAAGAGGGCGGAGACGGTGCCGCGTAGCGGTACGGGAACAAGGGGATTTGTTGTCCTCGAGCGTAAGCCGGAAGTGGTTGATAAGGCTTCACCGTTTGACTTTGCATGGGCTGCCGTAGAATCTGGGTCTGGCCACGATGAGCATTCACGCGACGCATCGTGGACAGTTTGCTGGCAAACTTCTTCGCTATTTCATTGCAGTGAGCCTCCACGGCTGTAATGGCGGCAAATACACCACCGGATTCGACGGAAGGAGCCTGCTCCTCCTCGGCCACGAGCGCATCATCTGCTCCCCTAACAACAGCAGGTGTACTAGCAGTACACGATGTACTGGACGCGGCAGAAGGCGTCGCTGTTTCTGCTGGTGTACGCTCTGAGGATATTCCGTGTTCAGATGCTGTGGGCAATGCACTTTGTACACTTGGTCGTGTGGGATTTCCACAGGTTGCAACTTGTGATGCAGCTTCCATGGCACGTGCCTCCTGCACCTTCGGGAAAGCGTACACTGCAGCTGTGAGACATGCTGCAAGAGAGTTTTGCATCTTCTCTAAAATGCCGCTATCCTCCAGCTGAAAAAAAATATATGCAAGACATGTGACTAAATAATCTATAGCTGACTGGGCCCGCACCTGACGCAATTCACTCCGAATAGCAGAACAAACGCACTAAGAAAGTACAGGGAGGTGCAAATATAAAGAAAAACGGATAGAGCAGGAAGTTTTTGATACAGAAAAAAATTTTGCGTGAGTGGCACGGAAGGCGGAAAAGGAGTCTCACCGAGTCGAGCAGATTGTCCAGATCCTTATCGAGAGAAACTGCAAACGACTCCCAGTCACATTCAACCTCGGTTGCCTCAACTTGCAGAGGTGAGTTTTGCCCCATATCCACAGTGGCTCTGTTGTTGTTGTTTATTGCGTCCTTCCCAACAGGGTGTCGAATGCAGCATGACGACACTACGGCGTCAGTAGTGTTCGCAAATAGCGAGAAGGGGTCCGCTTCAGAGGGCTTATGATCACCACTTGGCGCGGCATCCTCTTGCGTAAGCATCTGTAGAATCTGCCGTTGCTTTTGCTGCTGTTGCTGCGCCGCCTCGCCACCAAACTTGCAGCTAGGAGGGTCTGCACATATGCAAGGTGAGGCATCGATGAACCGAAAGGCCTCTGCGAGGCGCTGCAGGCTAGATGAGGTACATGCAGCATTTATGATGCGCCGAAAAGGAAACCCATCGGACCCTTGGTCTTGCTGGCTTGTTGACGCTTCCCCGTGCGCCTCGGAAGATGGAATTGCGCCTGGCTGCTCATGTTTCGCGATGCGGAGCTCTCGCCGCGGTTGCAGTCCATCTTCTACTGTATGGCTTTCCACCGACGGCGACTGCAAGCAATGATCCTCAGATGGGTCCGAATCGGAGCCCGGATCAGGTCCCCTTGTGCTTCCCGTTAAGACCAAGCCATCTGCTGCAGCCGCAGCAGCGGCAGCAGCAATGGCAGCGGCAGCTGCTTCACCATCTTCTCTGCTAAGTAGGGAGGCGGCCTCGTTCTCAAGCGATTTTGCGGAAATATCTGAGGTTCCCATTTTTGGGTTGCTCCGGGCGCAGTAAAACAAGACGCTTACGGTCTAGGCTGCTGCGTGCTTGAGAAGCGGAAAGTCGAGGATATGGGTGATACATCACTGTTCCGACTTAGACTAGATTTACCGCAAGTTGGTTATTCCGTGTCCCCACCAAGGGGGGACTTAAAACAGACACGCACAAATGGAGTCCAAAGAGCGTCTTCACGCTGAGTTCCCATCCATTTTAGGCCACCCTTCACCTCCTCTGATGATAAAAAGTGCTTTAAAGAGGAATATAAATTTGCTGATCGCTAGAAGAAGGCCATGTGGAGAAGGCTGGCAAAAGATTGACGAAGAGAGCGGGAATGGCCAATCAGCTTTTCATCGAGCTTCCTCCCAGGTGAGCCTGAGATTTTTCTCTTCCTCACATTTGAATAAGAAACAGATCTATCCCAGTTACATCCACAAGCAAACGGTAAATACTATGGTTCATGCTCTTGGTTCTGGCAGCCTCGACGCACTGCATGCACTAGCCACGAGCGGGACTTTGAGGGTTCGAGCCCGATGAAGAAATTTTTTTACATTTGTTTTGCTGGCCTAGTTTGTCATGGCAAATTGGGAGCTTAGAGGAGTGCTTTTTTCCAAGTCTCTGTAGTAGCTGGGCCCTTCTGTCTTGTTCCCGGCCTTCGTGCTAGAAGGCTTGATGCGTTTGGGTATTTATTTTCGCTATATTCTGGTTGTAAACTAAGGCGCATATAGTATAGCAGTCTACACTAACTTTTGAGCTGCCCACGTGCGCGTTGCCTCCACGCTGTTGCGTTTGCCCAACTAAGATCCGTCAACCCCTGGATGTCTAATTGGCTGGCAATTCTGTCCCCCTTCACCAGAAACGCTAAATGTGGTTTTCATAAGTCCTCACACTAAACTCTCCAGGCGGCGCCGCACGGAAAGAAATCAGTGAAGCCTTGTGGAAGCAGTTGTGTCCCCCCGTCTGCCTTAACTGTAGACTACCTCGAGGGCGATGAGCGGCGGTGGGACGCTAGCGTCCTTTTGTGTTTCACATGCACGCCATCTTATCTACAGTCTCAGATGTGCCGCAGTGCAAAGAACCAATCCAACAATGGCCACGGAGGCGAGAAGCTCCCGCGGAATTGCAAGTACAAGGGGGTGTCTGGGTTCCATTGCTTCAAGAATATGCGGCGCTGAATGTTACCCATCATCTCGGCAAAACACACAACTTATATATGTCTTAGCTTCACACGAGTTGGATAATTGTTTGTTCATGCGCTTGCCTGCATTAACGCATCTTCGACGCACAATGCAAAGCCTATCATTTTTAGGGAACTCAAGGGACCGTAAAAGCATGTCCCTTCAAAGGCGTTTTGTCAGGACAGGTTTCTTCCGCAGCGATTTTGATTTCACTGACCCTGATAAGGTTTTGGTGAGACAATACTGCTAGTAACACACTGTTGGAACTTCTGACATTGTGCGGCCGCTGCGCGTCCCTGAAGTACTGCCAGGGAATGCATGCGCCAATAATTTAGAGTTCTGTTGACCCGACCTACCTGGATCGGAGGCCAAGTTTATGGCAGGGAGTAGCCCATGTATTTTTGCTGCTTGAATTCCGTTTCAGTTTGCGGAACCGGCGGACGAGTGGCGTCACGCAGATGGGGCGGGGGCTCTCACTGAAGCTGTACTAGAAAGGTGCAATGTTGGCATGGGCCTGTGCATTCTTAATAGGTACGTACCTTCTCCGCCTCCCGTCACAAGGTTGTCGAATCACGTAAGTGGAACTTTGAATTAACTGACTTGACCTTCAGAACCGTAAATGCCTTTTTTTCACAACACAGCTCATAGTCCCGACAGTACTTCGTCTCTCCTAGAGCAGCAAGCTGCGGCGACTCCCAGTCGTATCGTACTTCTGCTACGGTCCTATGCCCCACGCTCCTTCGAATGTTGAATGGAGTTCCTTAGATTACTGTGATCGCAGCTTGGGCTGTGTACTCGGGCCCTTGTTTCCCATCACAATGCTGCGTCCTTGTTGCAGAGAGCATCTCGATAGTGAAACTGTTTTTGGGCTGTATAGACGCTTGCGAGACTTAGAAGTAAATTCGCTAAAAAGATTTTGTTGTCTCACAAGTAGAAGGAGAAGCATTTTTTCTTCTGGTCTCTCGCATTCCCGTGCGTCTACTGCCACCTTTCTCACTACGTATCTGCCACGAGGTCTTGCCAGCCGGCAATATGCTTCTACCAGTCGTGTCTACTGCAGGAGAGCATGCTTGCGCTGAGCTTTTGGAGGGTGATAGCTTATTGGCTTGTTGTATTTTCCTGCAGATATTTTGGCCTTTGCCGAGGCCACGCAGACTTCCCGCAAAGGCGCGCTCCCTGCCTGTGCCTTATGGCTCCTCCAGAACGCCTTCGAGTTGCATGCAATAGTGCAGTCGTACAGCAAGCCACTTGTGTGTCTTCTGAACGGACGATCAGGTGAGTCAAAGGGCGATCAGTAGATTCTCCTTTGGAATTAACTAGCCCTCTTTGCAGTTGGAAGCGAGGTTAGTAATTAAGGTACAGCTCGTGCACTGCGGCTCCTTAAGTGTCAGCGTCTCTACGCCCCCTGCTAGTCCCCAGTTTACGCTAGGGATATGCATCTGTGTCCTGCAGAGGGGGATGGAGCGGCAATTTGCTTGTTGGCCAACCGCAGCGCAGCGTACAAGCACTCATCTTTTGTATGCGACACAACGTGTGAGGTTTCACGGGGTTTTGCTTTCCTCCCAGGGTAACTGTCACGCCAGTTAGGCTGCCAGTACTCTTCTTCGCGTTTTTGAACACGCACTGTTGCTAAAAATGTTCCTCTTCGAGTTACTTTGTGCTTCTAAACCTCGTTTTGTTCACAGCGATGGGCTTCATTCCCACCTTGGGTCTGAGCTTTGCTCTCGGCCGCCTGCGCGGCTCCTTGGGGGCATTTTTGGCTCTTACAGGTCACGAGCTCAGAGCACAAGATCTGGTGTAGGTTATGTGTATCAACAATGTTGCATTTTGCTTCAAGTATCTGAACTTACTGCTGGCCTGCAGGCTACTCATCTGAATGGCTTGCTTATAGTCGCCTAATCGCTAACTGTCTGTGTACACCTAACGCTCCACGAGGTATCTGGGCCGATACTCATTCCCTGTCTTTTAATATGTTCACTACCCTGCCTCTGCAGATGGTCAGGATTGTGCAGATATTGGGTTTCTCCAGAAGCGCTGCATTTCTTGGAGGTAACTGCAGAAGTGAGTCCAATTCGTGGATTTACGGACGGCTGTTTCGTTACAGACGTAAAATGCATACCTACGAGGTCAATTTTTCGCGAGCATACGTCTTTTGTGTATTTGGTATAATTCACAGGCTCGTATGAAGGCTTACCGTAGGCGCTCTTCGCCAAAATACGGATTGTGCGTGAGCGTGCTTCGTTGAGTCCTACGTTCATCATTTGCATTGTATTTGCAGAAGCAGCTAGAAGTATCGGAGCAAGACGGGAAAGCTCTTCTTGAAGAACACTTTCTAGATCCACCTGGTGGGCTCAAGGGACTGTTGAGGTGCTCCGTCTCCGTCTGCTCTTTACATTGATTTGGGCTAAGAATGCCGTGTTGTTACTTGGGAGGCAAATAGGCCCAGAATTATGGTGTATCTCTGGATCACTGCTGCGCAGTCGTTGTCTTTATCGGGCAGTAGTGCCAGTAGGAGGTGGCGAACCCGCATGCTCGGCAAAGGCAGCTGCAGCTTGGAGAAGAATACAAGGGGTCAGCGGGTTGTGACAATGTATGATGTGGTTGTGTCTGTTAAACAGCCGACTACTCTCTTGACCAGTGGGAAGAAATAATCGACGACCATTTTCACCATTCGACGGTGCGTGTCTTTTAATTGGGGTATATTTCGTGCTCATTACATTTTGATAACTTATTAGAAGTTGTTTCTGTGTGTTGAAACTGGTAGGGTTTCAATGGGCACAAAGGTTGGAAGCCTGCTTAATGCTTTTCTCCGCAGCTTGAAGATGTTCTACATGCCCTCGATTCAACTGCCAGCGGCATTAGCTCTCGACAAAAATTGCCATCGTGCCTCACACCCCAACGTGTTTCGACCTGGGCAAAGGCTGTGGCTTCTCGTATTCGACAACGATCCCCTTTGGCACAGAAGGTATGCAGCAGTACTGGCATGAATGCTGCTGTGGCCATCTGAACAGGATGCACATCACTTCTTAAACTATGAGGATTTTGTGGTCAGTTTCCAGACTTTACAGCTTGTATCAGGATTTTATAAGCTTCTCCGTAGAGCGGCTACGGGAGGCATGAATTGCAGCACAGGCGTATGCACACGGCTTGCGATCTCATTCAAGTTCTTGTGGAAACTCTGGGTGCCCTGCGATATTTGAATAGCTTACTTTGGAGCTTTTGCGAAGACAGAAACTGCTTCAACAGGAGATACTTGAGGATGCAAACATAACGCCTCATGAATGGCGCAGGTGAGGATTACCTCCATTTGCTTCAGTGGACCGTCGCGCGCTGTGGTGTTGATCGTAAACTGTTGAGGCCTATACAGTGAGATCGCGCATGCGTCGCTGCGAAGTCTTTTGCCGTCGTTTTTCAGCATCAAATCCATGGATGCAGTGCTCTCCAGCAACATGCGGGATGACAGCATGAAACAAATTCTTGAAGCTGTAGATGAGCAGCTTCTCATGCAGGCGCTCGAAAACGAGTTTCGAGTCGCAATTCGCCTTATTTGCGTACGTAGTGCCTCCCTTTCTCAGTAGTGCCCCAGCGAAACAAGAACTATGACTTAAACCGCATTTGCCTCGCTGTAGCAGTTCAGCCCTCAGAGTTTGCTTCTTTTGCCCTGCTTCTGTTGGGTGTACAATGACGGGACGCGATTTTTCGCAGTCAAGCAGGGACTTGATCGAGGGCCTTCGTTCGCGGCTTCTTGAACACGTGCCAGATCTATATTCGCCTCCCAGATGGACTGACGTACGTTTTGGACGTGGCTGCAGCATTGCCTTGCTTATGTTACCCTGCCTTTTGGCCATTCGCTTTGCACCAAAAGCCAAGCGTGGAACAGCCAAGCATACAATGCACGAGCATGGTGAAGGCTGTTATCGTGTGATGACGTGTTTTGCTTTCCGTAGGATGCAGACGTCCCTCTTGAGCCATTCTTTGATCCTCTTCCTGCGCCTTCTGGCCCATCTGGCACTGACGGTGTTTTGCCGTCTGAGAAGATATCTATTTGCGCAGATCCATACGGACTGTTCACAATTTCAGACTTTGTCGCTGATGAGCGCACGCTCTTCCCTTTCTCTGCACATCCTCTTGTAGGCCGCATGACGCCAGGCGGTGCTGGAGCTGGGCTAAGCGAAAGACAACAGGCACGACTCAGTACCCGTTGGAGCTGGGATATTTTCAGGCATGTAGCAAAGCAGGAAGGCTTTCAACTAAAGTGAACGTCTTTGCCCAGCGGCCGTTCGATGTCAACCTTCACACACCTTGTGGCGTTTCCGCGTTTTGTCACGGAAACGAAAAGAGAAGCATCCTTTTTTCGATGTGTTATTACCATGAACTCATTTTGCCCACCTGATTCCATACTTGCCCTGAATATTTAGTGGTAAGCCTGGGTTTTGCTCTGACCATTGGACTTCTTAGTAATCATGCCACTAGAGCATGGTAAGCGCTGCTGCGACCAGACCAACGAAAATGAATAGGTGACCATGCATTGGTTTGTTTCCCACCGATGAATTGGCGAAGTAAAGTCCGAAGCAGTATACTCGAAGTTTTTTTATTGCACACACACACACACGGGTGCCTTTATCACGTGGCAGCAAACAAGATAGCTCTTCATTGTCTTCTAGAGCGCACAGAAACTAATTCTTTGGCGAATTCTCAGTATGAGACGGGCACCACGATCTCTTATATATTCATGGAACTTTTGTTCGTTAGAAGCCCGCGCCACGTTTTTTATTTCCCCCTAGTGGGTTTGGCCGTCTCCGACCTATGCTGCAAGTAAAGCGTGCTCTAGTGCCTTAGTATTTGTTGCGATGCACACCATTATGGGTTTGGCAGAACGGTACGGTCTAGGTATGCTTCGGTGCGTGGATGTTTTTACTGCTGCTTCATAGTGGTAAAAGTTAACCCCGAGGTGCCCTCATTGGGTATGCACAAAGTTTTGAGTAGTTTGGGGCACTGAAATTGGGCACGATAATTTTTCTGATTCATACGGACATCGTAAGTGTCTCGGGTTAGTAACAGGCTGTCGAAGTAGCGTCCCCTGGAGGGTAGGTAGACTTTCGAATCTAAGCCGCATTTCTCCTGGATCTAGGCTGGGGACAGTTACGGCTCACAGCACTCGGGCACTCAAGCAGGAGATTATTTCTGCTTTGGCGGTCTCCAAGGAATATCAACGCTCCAGAGGTTACTTACAAGGCTTTCTGCAGTAAATTGGCACTTCAGTATAAACAATGTAAGTGCATCTGAGAAACTGGTGGTAGGGATCAATGTAGAGAGAGGCTAGGCTGGGCTTACCTCCCTATAAACGCGGGCGGTTCCATGATACTCTTTTGACAAAACATGCACTTAAGCAACTTCAAATTAATGCATAATCTATCCCCAATGACCTCGGTAGAGACGTGACTTCTCTCGCGGGCAGAAGCGCTTTCACAGTTTTCGGGTCGTAAGTGCATATTCCAAGTCTGCCTAGTGAATGCCAACAGTGAAAACCCATAGGGAACCTCGCACCCACTCCCTTAAACCGATAGAGGGAGAAATTTAATGAGGCGACGGGGTTACGTAGAGCACATGACCAGACCACTGCACCTCGAGTGATTGAGGGCGACGATACAGCTGCTAGTAATTTGTTGATAGTAAAACCAACTGACAGCCAAGAAAAGCAACCCGTTGAGAATGCTGGAGCACGCCTAGACAGAACGCACATTTGTCGCAGCATCAAGTCCTGGCGCACGAAGGTTGTAGCACCGTGAAGACCTTTCATGCCCTTGATGCCCTTGTGAAGATCTGTACCGCTGGTAAACTGGTGGAGCATACGTGGTCGACGCGCGAGCTGGCTGTGTACCGAGCAATACCCGCACTATTGCAGTTGATGCATCTAAAAATCATTGTAGATCTGGTTGCCTTCAAGGGGGCGATAAAACACTCCCGCTGTAGGTTCTGCACTAAGCCTAGCACTGAAGTGCGTGAGCCGGACAGAACAAATTGTACTACATATCACGGAACACGTAGAAACGAATTTACTTCTTGGGCATAGCAGGAGTGAATTACGGGGAAAAGGAAGTTTTCGTGCCTGTACTGTCCAAAAATCCTTCAGAATTAGGTATACTAACCGCAAGGGGAGGAACGGTGGAGCTGGCGTCGGAGAGGGCATAGCGGAACCGCTTGCAGACACTCATTCGTTTTGAATAGGTTAGCTTTGGGATGAGGAAATTAATTATAGGAATGTCGCAGTCGAGAATACTGTCCACAAAGGTACGGGAAAACGTTCAAAAGATGTGAGTTATCACCACACTTCGCCACGCTCTGCGCTACAGCTGGAATTACTCCGAATGGGAAGCGAGAGGTTGGCTCAAGATGCCCATAGTGGTGCTTCAAATATCTGATATGAAGAGCACAACCGTCGTCCCTGCGAGTGCTTCAAAGAGAAGAACCCAAGCTTGTATAGAAGGAAGCGGTACACATCAGAGAAACGGTGAAGGACTTATGCGTCCACTACTGGCGTTAAGCTGTTTTCACACGCGGCAACAGACCCTTGTTTGCTGTACCGTCCTAGGCAGTTCCAAGCAGCTGCCGGTCCTGTCACGAAACTGCGACCGAAGACCGCTATGGAACTAGTGTGCGTGGGGATCGCGATGGATAGCATCTACTTATGGCGGCCATAACCGGCTAATAAGTGGACGAAAAGCGACGGCATCTCTAGTGAGCGAAGGTTTTCCTTCCAACAGGAGCCTTTCTCACTCAACCGCACTTTCAACTCTGCACTCTGACGGCTGCCTCTTGGCTGTGCTTGCACAACGTAACGGCTCCTAGCAAGCAGCGTCAGGAGAGTTGAGCTCACGTACAGTATTCACAAGGCCCAAAACTCCGTGAGCACAATCCGAGACGCAGAGCTTACAATTTGGCTGCTCCACAACTTGCTTAACTCCTGATCATTTCATCTTGCCAAGTACTTTTTGTTATATCTTCACCTACGTGGATGCTCTGCGTGGTGCAAGCGCTATGTAAAAAGAAAGCAGATGCGAGCTGAAGCTGAAGGAAACTGCCGCGAGCCAGTAATCCTTGACCACACCGTACAAAAACCACATCAATAACATGTTGCTCGCACTTGAACTAACAGCCAACCACTCAATCATCATAACAGTGCCACTTGTTGGTTCTCAACAGACATCAACATTCCATGCCGTTAGCTGTTACAGCATGCACGCTTCGATGCTTGAGTCTGGATAGCTTGATAGTCTGGATGTCCAAGAACGCCGCTACTCTAATTTAGTGCACTAGCACCTGCGCAGCCCTGACGCCGAATGATCACCAAAACGGGCACATACAACAGGCTACTAACGTTGATTTGCGAATGGTGACACACAGCCAGACGCATATCAGCGCTAGTGGAGGTAGGCAAGAGAATCACTAGTCGGAATCGCTGTCGCTGGGACTTTCGTCTTCCGTCACTGCGTCTAAATCCTCACTATCCGATTCCCCTTCACTTGTGATGGTGCCTTCGCTGCTGCAGGAAACGTCTGAAGTGTCATCGACTGCGTGGACGGATTCTCTTGAAGGAGCTTCTGCACAGGTGGTTGTTGCAGACGTATTGACACAGACGTTCTCCCCGTTTTGCAAAATACCTGGATGTTTACCGCGGTCGATAGGCTTGACAAGAGCATTCTCTAGAGACGGATACTGCCCCAGTGCAGTGGCTTGATGAGGCGACGTGGGAGGTGCTGATGAAACTATCCTCATTTCAGAGAGGCACGCTTCTCCATGATTCATCTTTTTTGGCGCTGGTGCTTCGGCCGAATTCGTCTGCAGAAACAACAATATGCAGTCCTATGCTATTGAATGTCCATTACTGAATGTCCAAAGCAGGAAGCTTTGGGCAATGCGCCTGGAGCAGCTCGACATTAACATCCTAATTTCGAAGAATAGCGTGTAAAAAGTGCCACGGAGCTGCGAGGTGCAGAAAAGCGAAATGAAAAAGCGAAATGACTAGCATGTACGACTAGAGGTACGCAGCAGCCGCCAATTCGAAACACCGTTGTCTTGGCTGCACCTCGCTTAGAACGCCTAGTTCTTCAGCTTCTTTAGTAAACTCAACTTTGCAGGACATCGCGAACGAAACAGGTTGGAAATGGCTGGGTATCTCTGTCGGCGCTTCACACTTGTCACTGGAGAGAGCATCTGCGGCATCCTCTTCCGCTGCTTCAATCGCCTTAAGCAGCATTTCATCAGGAACTGTTTTTAAGTCAGAGTGGTGTGCCCAGGTGAGAAGATCTGATGGACAAATTGATGGGGGACACTCAAAGGCAAAAATACTGTACACAATCTAGCTCCGCGCTAACTCTCCTTTGCTTCTCTCACTCTAAGGTTCTGCATGGGACTTTCACCCTCCGTCACTGATTGGAGCAAATTCAGCGATTCCACATGCACCGCGTTTTAACACTAGAATGAAATGCCTGAGAAATGAAGCAGTTACTGACACACAAAATGTACCCAAAAGTGCAATAAGCGGGAAGTAAGGCACAAAATCTCGCCCCTACCATCTTCCTCGAATCCATCCACCAGCTGTGCGACCATTCCTAATGGCTCAGTTTCTCTACTCGCTGATCACAGGAAATCACATCCGTGAGAATCGCAAACAAACCAAAATGGCAGAGACTGGCTACAGTAGCGTGTCGTTGCCACACAAGCCAAGCAGTGCATCTTCCTCAACTCTGCGTTCTTAAATTCCCAGTGTAGCTTAATTGTTTTGAATGGTTGTAGCAACAAGGCAGTGACTTTTTGTCCAGCCTTACGCCGGCAGCGCTGGCATTGGAGCATGTCGTGAGTGTCGGAGCGCGTCTCGCGCAGCTGAAACAGATCCTTCACTATGTCCGTCGAAAGCCTGCATGCAAGACAAATAAGACACTTTTAAGAACTTGTCTTTGCCTGATGTAAAACGAAGGTTTGCCTGCTGATCGTGCCTGGCAGCTGCTTACGAGTCTTTTATTTGGTTGACCCCTTCGCTAACAAGCATAGCGCTCAGGCCGTCCTTACAAATTTGTCTCTGAAAGCAATGCATTTAAAACAAAATGCATCCCAAATGATAATCACGCAACACGCGGCTTCTGCCTTTCAATACTCGGCAATCTTTATCTGCTGAATTATCTTGCCTGATAAATTTTCTCCTCAATGGTTCCCGTACTAAACAGCCGATAAATAAAGCATGTCTTCTTCTGGCCGTCTCTCCAGACGCGGGCCAAAGCCTTGCAGAGCAATCATCCAAAAATTCCGCGTTGCAGCATATTGTTCTGTTGAGCTAGCCTTCAACAGCCTGCTTGCGACAAATATGTGCGTGCGCGTGCTAACTAGTGCGAGGAAGCGAAATACATCAATGCATCAGGATGCTGCGGCTACACCTGCTTGTCATTTGCAGGATTCCAATCTGGGTCGAAGAGCACGAGACGATTAGCGCCAACTAGATTCACGCCACACCCTCCCGCCTTGCTGCTAAGGAGGAAGGCAAAGCTGGTAGCTGCTGAGCAATTGGGGTCGTTAAACTTCTGCGCATGATCCGCATGCAATGAGGAAAGCTATTGCACTCTTGGCGGGAAGCCATGTATAATTCAAAGGAGCTTTGCATCAAGTAAATGTAAGGAGCAGACGCACAGTAATGAGGTCATGGCGCTTCTTGATGGACGTAGTGCCGTCGAGGCGGACACAAGGATAACCGGAATCTTTGCACAGCCGTTCAAATAAGTCAAGAGTTTGCGTGTAGTTGCTGATCAGCACGACCTTGTCACTTGTATTAACACGGATTGCATGAAGCAACCTGTCGCGCACAGGGGCATGCAAGGTAAAAGAGCTGAAACCAAGCAAGGCTAGTCACCGAAATGCAAAGCTTGCATTCACATATTTGTATCCGAAATGCAAATCAAGTGGACCATGGCCTGTGCTGCCGACAGGCTGCAGTGGCCTATTTTGCAGCGAACGTTTATTGACTAATTGGCTGCACAAGCGTGTAGAGGCGCCCTTATGAAAATGCCCGCTGGTCACTCCTGAAGTGATTCTGCTAGAAGATGAAAAATTAAATTATGAATGTAGCCTCTCACCTGGCAAGTAGCAGCATCTTCCCTGACATATCAGGCCGGATGGAACGGACGCGGGCCTTTGTGCCTTCAAGGTCGAGTTCCTCAAAAAGCTTTGCACATTTCTCGAATCCCTTCAAAACAAGGAAACAAATGGAGATTTGTAAAACTGGCGCAACTATCATGATGTTCGTACGTGGATATTTCGCGCTCAGAGCCTTCGACGATTGCAATCACAATATGGGCAATCTCCAATTAAAAGCGGCGCGTTAAGTTCAAACCAGGCGCATAAGAAGTTCCATGAGACACTTGGGGAAGAAATTCATGGTGATCCCCACTCAACCAATGCAGTATACGCGCAGCATTTCGACTTATCAAGCTATTCTCATCCACGCTGCGTACTGAGAGAAGAAGCGATTGGTTTTTAACGAGAGTCGGATGGTTACACAGCTTCATTAGTCCTTGTATTGACGACAGAACCTTCCCAGTCAGTCCAGAAGATACGCCATTTCCATCTGTGTCCAACAGCTTTCGGCAACTGGGAAACACACACCAACTGTACTTTCGATAAGCTAGAGTACCCATGAAGCATCTCAAGTGAGCATTGCTTGAATGGCATTATAGCCCAAAAGCGAGTACATTGCAGATTACTGGGTGCACGTCGTTGTGTCCAGAAATGCCGCCAGTAGGTCTGCCGTACCATTTAGATTTGAGAAATTCTTGGTAGAAAGCGATTTGCAGAGGCGACAGATTACAAAACAAGTTCTGTTACAGAAAACCGGCACACACTCCAGCGCAAATGCTGCTGTATACAGAAACACTGGCAGCAGCCTGAAGCTTGATTTGCAGCTGCGCACATTAAAACCGGTCGTACCAGACAAATAGTTGAGCAGACGGCTCACAATAATGATTTTAGGGGGTAAAACTTTAGCGAGCAGGGCATTGGTGCGTCGAAGAATGAAGAGATTTGTGATTGAAGATAGCTCCGTCAGTCGCTCAGCAGCCAGTTCCTGTTCAGCTTCCGTAGCTCCGGGTTCTCTTCCCACAAGAATTGGCGAAGCGTATCGTTTGCGAAATGTGTACGCGTCTCCTGAATTGGTCACTTCACAAGCACAACCGATTCCTTGGTTGCGAACAGCGGAACTTTTGCAGGAAAAAACAAGATTTACCAGTCCAAAATAAAGCCAATTCGCTTCACAGCTTGCGGAACAAAGCTACCCACGACTCCCGTTACACTACTCAACTAAAATCCAGAGACTACGTCGCACTGCATCATGCAAGCGTACGACGAAGGGAATTCATTCCTACCAAGGACATTAGGATTGCAGAGTGACACGAGGGCAAAAAATTCGTCAAGGTCATTCTGAATGGGAGTGCCACTCAGAAGGAGTCGCCGCTTGGCAGGGAGCTGGCTAATAGCAACAGATGTCTTTGTCTTGTCATTTTTCAAGCGATGAGCTTCGTCACAGATAACAAGTTCAATCGGGACGGACGCAACACGATGTGCGTGGGCTCTGAATGTCTCATAGCTCGCAATGAGCACGCGAGACTGCAGGTACAAACGCAGTGTAAGGCCTCATCACGTGGCGAGATAAGTTCCACAGCGCGTACTGCTTTGAAAGCAGTAATTCAGCCGTGGACAAGGCCTTAAGGCATTTGATATGATACAAACTTGTGTTTAATCACACGACTACTCCTCGAGCCCGTTATGGAGACCTAAGGCTCAACAGTGGCAGCCCCCCCTCAGAGCTAAAGCGAACAAGTGCCTGCTCACTGCAGACTACTTTGGCCATACAGTACTCGAAAACTGAAAGACATGAATTATATGTCGAAAAAAACAGTAAAAACAAATCTTATCAGAGTTGAAGGGCGGCCACGCACCTGTCGATCATATTTAAAGCCCTCAAATTTGGAAACAACTTTATCTTTGCAGCTGTCCGCTACAGCAGTACAGGGACATCGTCCCTGCAGCCACTTCTGCAACTCTGCTGCCCAGTTATTGACAAGAGACGCCGGACAAACAACAACGGCCCGCTTAGCAGCTGAAGCAGTTGCACAGGAGATGGAGGAGTACTTCAGCTCCGGCTTAACAGCAGAATGAAACGTGCACGGGGCTACTCTCTCTTTTACCTCTGCAGTTTCGCTTAAACAAACATGCAGCAAACAACCATGTATACGCGTTACACGCTTTCTCACGTGCCTGGAACGGTGTCAATTCCCTGCTCAAGAAGTGTCCAAAGGATTGTAATGCTCTGCAGTGTCTTTCCTAGTCCCATATCGTCGGCAAGAATGCACCCAAAGCCATCAAAAGCTTTGAGGCCCATAAGGCAATCGAAAACAAAACGCACACCTTGTCTCTGATGTTCGCGAAGCCACCTGAAACCTCCAGAAGTGCATCTTGCCCATAAAAGATAGCCCCCAGTGCTCCAAGCAACAAGAGTATGCTTGCCAATACACAGGCAACCAATACGGATCCTGCATATCAGACTGGTGGCTGCCGCTCTGTTGTAGATAGTAAAACCCTCAAAATAATTGTCCTACGCATTGAAGCAACGAAACATGCTAAGTTCACACCACTTGCCTACCTTGTCAGCATGGGGTCGACTTCTACCCTGTGTTCACCGTCTTTCCGAGGCTCGTAGAGGATCAGGGGTTCGCCGGCCGACGGTTCCGGTGCGGCAGTAGGAGACAGAGCTGGGGGGCTTTTGAACTGTTTAATTTTACTTAAGAAGCATGAAGAACGCTTCATTCGGACCCCCAGCGTCTTCCGAAGCGACTCTTCGCTGCATCCTTTGGAGCCACAATCACAGAAACCCCCGTGCCACAAAAGGTGAACGTATCTGAACATTAAGGCGAATTTTTTTCAATCTAAAGGAGCCTACTGCTGCTCAATATGGGCTCTGTGGCTATTGGCGGATATTTCTGGATGAAGCAGAACAACGTCGGACAGTACTACTTGGCCTCTGGGTCGGCTTGCCTGGCAAATGACCCTTCAAAGGACTCTTAAACGGCCTGAATAGCATGGAGGATCCAGCATCAACAGTCAGAAAAGGCATTAGAGGCGCCCTAACGAGGCAAACTGAAACTCCAGTAGAGTCTTGTACATGGCCGTCGGCAGGAGCCCCCTCTCTATGCATGAAGCACACAGACAGCGGAGAGTGGTAACTCCTATGCCTCTTCCATATTGTACCCCTACGTGAGGGAGAACCATCTGCCGATGAGTAAGATGATTAAATGGACCTACGGGCGCTTGGGGTTAAGAACCCGCCGCATCTTGATTCAGATGTGGCCAGCTTTGGGGCAAAAGACTGCCTTGTAGATCGGGGATTGCTGGAGATGAATCGCCTAACTGCGTAACCTATACGATTCCCATGGATCCAACTAACGGGAAGGCAGTGACGCGAGCCTGCTTCATTTAGAGACCTCCACCAGCCAAGTGCGCAGTGGTCGTATATTGTCAAACTTAGAAAATCCAGCATTCAGAAGACAGCCATATCTGAAGCAAAGCTTACTGGTAGCCTGACGTACGGAGCTATCTAGGTGAGGTGTATTTCCCAGATCCCAAGAGGACGGCAGGACATCTGCTCCTTGCTGCAACAAGGCTTGCCCATAACTACACTCCAATTCTTGTCTTTCTCAGCGCATTTATCGGAGTTAGTTGACATAAAAGCATAGATTTTCCTTTCGTCTTCAGAGAAGGGCCGCTTTAACTTGCGAAGGGTTCGGATCGGTAACCTCACAGCGTGTTATTCGCCCAAGCTCCACGGTTGCGCATCAAATTTCATATCATGCCCGGTCTCAGTGACTCCTGGAGACCTCGTTTGATATGTTGTCTGGACAAATACTGCATGAAACACATTTACAAGAATTACTAGGATTGTGGGTCAAGTGAACTTAGCAGCAACCCCACCAGCCTTCACGGGGCTGAGTAGAACCACTCCGGTGCTCCAGGTACACGAAGTATTTGATTTTAGAAAAACATTCGTCTGACGCCACCACAGTTTATACACGAAATATGTATAGCGTTGCCAACGGGTTGCTGTGGACTCAGCGCCCACACGTATATCGCAGAAATAGTGAAAGTGAGCGGTCACCTCCAGATTACGACTAGTTTTAAATTTTTTTTAAATATAGCGAAACAATTGGTTTATTGACAACGTCAAATAGCAAAAACTTTCCTCAGATTGATGAAGTTGACTTTGCGCCTCAATAACCCCTTAGCTAGTATAGGCGTGCGATCTTTGAGCCAGAGTAGCCAAAGCAAAGCAGCCCGTAACGCAAATTTATGCATGTCGTATCGTGTGCTGTATAGCGACGGGGGATTTGTGGTAGCACCGCAAAGCACCAAAGTGTTAAAAGCGATCCCCTACAATCAACTGTGAGACCTTGAGAGTCTCATAAAACGGAAAAATGGACCTTTCGAAAGTCCTTGAAAGTCCACAACTTAATTTTGGGCTTAGAGAAGTGAGCTGCTTGAATGCATCATCCGGCGCAACAGTGAATCTGCCCTGCTAACTTCTGATCTGTTGCAAGGTGAAGCTTCCTCACTATGCCCGCACCTCTCTTCGTTCGTTAAATGCTTGGTACTATATTGCTCTATCTTTGAACAACGAACACTTGGAGTTTTGCAGTGTCACTAGAGACACCCCAAAGTATTACATTCAAGAGCACTGGACTTGAACTGCGCAACTTTCGCTAAAAGCCCTTTCCTGCTTACTGCGTCAAAGACCAGTTGAGTTCCTTTGATATCAGTTTCCTTTAAATTGGATATACGGAATGACAGCCTGATACAGGGCGCTACTTCCTTAGCGCGATGATCACTGTTCAACTGATGAAGTGATATAAGCATACCAGGAAGTCGTTTACCCTTGAAATTCTCACAACCCCAAAGGTGCTCAGAAAATATAGCACTCCAGCGATTCCGCAAGCATGTAGGTCTCTCGGTGCTTCGAAAAGGTAAAGATTCTATGGGAGCTTTGGTGGCAGCCCCACAGATAACCTACCTGGAGCACTTCCTAGGACCTAAGGTATATGCGAGAGTGCTTTGTCGACGTTTTGCAACTGCATCCGCTCGTCACACTGAGTACAATTGATGGCAGCAATGCTTCAGGAAGATTCCTGGTGGTCCGTGTAGCCTTGCTGGCAGATTAGCAAAAAATATGGCGTTGGACACTACGGGTCCAGTTACAGTTCCCGTACAACACGCACACAAGGGGTACTTCTCACTCGTCATCCAGATGCGCGTTTGCTGATGAGTCCACACTTTGTAAACCAGTTTTCTGTTGACGGCACATAACTACTTCTCTAGAGACGAGGCGTTATGCCGAGCGTGGAGCAGTAAGCCCTTGACAGACACCCTGTTCTTGGCTTTGCCGTGTCCATTGTACCTTTTGGCAGCAAAGCGCAATAATGTGGCCACTTCTGCTGCAGTCATCGAGTCCACTGGCTGCCCTAAATTGTCATAGGCTTGTTGTTCAGCCGCTTATTTCAGCGCCTTGCGAGGCTACTTTTTCTTCTCTATCGCCTTGTTTTCTGACTTGATCTTAAGCCAACTCAATCAATGTTGCGCGAGAATCCACTGACTGCGGCGAATCTCAATATCGTAGGCGCTTTAGTCCCTAAGCTCACTCCTCCGATGACTAAACTTTTCCGGCAGCTCTGCAACAGAGCACAGAGTCACATCCTCAAGGCAAAATGTAAGCAGAAGTACTACGCAGACACAAGGCGCCGAGCCGTAGAGTATGCAGGGGACGACAAGGTTTGGCTCAGCAGCAAGCATCTACCGGCTTCGACTAGCTGCCCGAAGTTCGAACCCTGTTACCGAGGGCCCTTTCAAGTCACTGAACGTATAAAAACTGTCGCTTACCGTCTCGCTTTGCCTCCCACCTGTGAATGCCACGACGTTTTCCGTGTTTCGCAGTTAGTTTCTCATTGTCCCAACTCTCCCGTCTCTGCTCCCCAGGAAGCCGACGCCGGCTGGCTCCCCGTCCTCGATGCGGACAGCAATCCACAAGAGGAGTATGAGCTAGATTATATCATGGATCAACCCTGCTCCGGCGCCGACGCCCAGTATCTCGTCAAGTGACGCGGAATCCCTGAAAATTAAGCCACCTGGGAGCCCGCTCACTATCCTACAGAATGGCCCGCTTTGCTTCGTGCGTGGTACCGCCTCCAGCGAAGACGTCTTCAGACTCGAAACCATCATCGCCTTCAGTATGTGGCTCTGCGCTCTGTCGCAGAGCTACCGGAAGAGCTTAGTCATCGGAGGTGTGAGCGTAGAGGATAACGCACCTACGGCATCAGCAGTCAGCGGATTATCGCCGATCATGACGCCGAAGAGAGAGAGCTGAGTGGATGAATGGCTTGTCGTGTTGTAGGCAAGTCCAAGAGCCGGGAGCAAGCGCTCCCACTCGCGTTCGTCAGATTGGATGTTGGCACGAAACATCTGCTCCAGTGTGCAGTTATCCGTCTCAGTTTGACCTTCGCTCTGGGGATGGTAGGATGAGGAGATGGCGCGTTTGATTTTAAAGCGGCGGCATAGTTGTTGCCAGAGATCCGACTGGAAGCGAGGGTCGAGGTCCGATATGAGCACCTCCGAAAAGCTGTGGTAGCGGATAAAACGATCCTTGAGAAGCTCCACTGTATCGGCTGCTGTGAATGGCTTCTTTGCAGGAACGAATTGGGGCATCTTCCTGACGGTGTCGACCATTACAAGAATCGAGTCGGGCCCTGTCGTTAGAAGGGGAATATCTATTATACAATCAAGGCTCATGTGTGCCCACCGACGAGAAGGAATGAGTAGCTGTAGAACAAGGCCTGCTGGTTTCTGGTTAAGGGACTTTGACCCACGACAGTAAGTACATGATTGAACATACGCAGTAGTGTAGGCGCGCATGCCGGGCCAGTAGTTGTCGTTGCTCAGAGCCGTAAAGCTCTTTTCCTGTCCTCCATGACCGGCTGTCACAGGATCATGATGTGAATACAGAACGTGAGTAAGGAACTCATGGAATTGTGGGACACAGATTTTCCATACTCCATGAATACAAATGTGCGAGTAAGGCGGCACATAGCCAAAGGTGAAGTTGCGATTACGAAACTCTATCGGCATAGCGTTTCTTGGTTGTTTTGCAGCGACTTCGTGGGGAACGCGGAAAACGGGACACTTTGAGTAAGCTTGCAGCCATGCGTGCACATCAGGAGGGTCAGCTCGTGTCTTCGTTGCAGGTGTAGGGTGTTCCGCTTCTGGACTGGGCTCAGGAGGTGTCGATGGCAGAGTGCGTTGTCTGGATCGTCGCGAACGAATGCCAGCGAGCTCCCTGTATTTGGCAGGCCGATCACGAGAGCAAGGAGCCGCGTGTGCTTGTTCTACTGCGAGCGTCAGTGGTGGTGTAGTGCGCAGGCACTACAATGGTTCTTGCTGGTGACCTATAGAGGATAGCTAACTGATGACCTATAGGCGCTTAAGAGGTTGCGACGCATATTGAGCGCTGTAACCACTTACTAGTGAAATACAAATGCAATTTATTAACAAATTAACATGCATAGACTAGAAATGCCTGCGAATGCTCTAAGATTGGGGCTGCCGACAACGCCGGCACAAGTGCGCGTCACATCCTCACCAGGCCAGCACAGCAAGAACAAGAAGAAATGACTTTTATGGAAATATGGGTTTGGGAACTCGAAACAAAACGGTCTTTTTAATACATTTGTAGACGTTACGCGACCGATGCGTCGGGAGTAGAGAATATTTCATAGAACGCCCGAGTTGTGGGCAGTGCAGCATCGTAGACGCTGCAGGGAACGCAGTATAAGTGGTGTGTCGTGCAAGCAGGTGTTAGGAAGACCGGGATGGCGAGACAAGGCATCAGCCCCTTGATTGCGCGCTCCTTTAACACAGGTGATGTGCAAATCCAGGAACTCGGCGGGGAAGTCTAACCAGCGGGCGGTGCGTCCGCGCAGAGGCTTCGATGCTTGGAGGCGTTGGAGATGGGTGAGAGCTTGATGATCTGTGTAAACCGTTACCTTAGCAACACGGAGAAAATGTGGCCACTTGTCCAGGGCCTTCACCAACACCAAGAGTTCCTGACCATAGATCGACTATTTCTACTTGGTGGGGTTCATGACTAGGCTGAGAAAGCCGATGAGCTTGCCGTCTTGTTCCAAAACCGCTCCGATCGCATAACCAGAGGCGTCCGTGTATAAATCGAAAGGCCTCGTGATGCCAGGAGCTTGTTATGTAGTGGAATCGATTAAGCGCTGTTTGTGCTGCTGCACCGCTTGCGTGTGAAGCTCTGCCCATTTGAAGCTGGCGTCTTTACGCGTAAGATCAACTAGCGGCCGGGCGACGCCCGCGTAGTCAGGTCCCAAGAACATGCGAGAGTAATCTGTGGTACCGAGGAACTAGCGCACCTGCGTCTCGTCCTCCAGCACCTCTAGCCATTGCCGGATAGCTTCGGTTTTGTCTTCTGCAGGCTTGATGCCTGCAGCAGTCACGCTATAACCTAAATATGTAATTGCTTGTTTTGCAAACTTGCATTTGCGGAATTGTGGGTAGAATTGGTGCCCTAGAAAAATACTGAGAACTTGTCGCAAAAGAGAAACAAGCCCAGAGAGGTCGTGGCTATGAATAAGTACATCATCTAGGTACTCAATAACGCCCTGTCCTAATAAAGGTTGTAAATAGGCATTAATGTTGGCCTGGAACGTAGCTTGGGCAGCCTTAAGCCCAAAGGACATAAATCAGTACTCGAATAGCCCGAGAACGGAACGGAAAGTCGTCTTCCAGCGATCTTCCCTAGCCATACGTATTTGATGGAATCCTGCTTCAAAGTCCAGAGTAGAAAAGTACTTGGCGCCTCCCAGCGTCTCCAGAATGGTTTGAATGAGAGGAAATGGAAAATCAGGGGCTATTGTGAGTGCATTCAGAGCCTGGTAATGAACAACCATACGCATCTTCCGCCCCCCTGAGCCATCATCTCGCTTGTCCACCATGATCGTAGGAGAGCAAATATAGGCTGGTCCGATCCAACCATTGTCCGATAATTTAGCTATCTCCTGCTTGTAGAAAGTGAGCTGATCTGGAATCATACGGTATATGGTAGATTTTTCTGGAAGTTTCCCAGGTACCAGTAGGATATGGTGATCATGAGGGCGCTTCGTCGGTAATTCCTTAGGTCAGTTATCGGGAAAGGCCGCTCGATACTCCTGCAACACCTGGATAATCCCGCATGGAATAGCCTGCGCCTCCGTCGAATTTATCCATTCGTCGAATAGAGCGTGCTCGAGTTTTGTCATAGGTTAGGGAGACCCATCTTCACCCTCTGCTGCCTTCAAGGCGATGAAGGCGAAAGGACTACCTGTAGTGCGCAGCGCCTACTGCTGCGACTACGGTGCTTCCTGCCCCTCGAGCAGGCCTACAAACTACGCCTAGCGTAGGCCCATTTCTCGGACACTGTAGCTTAATTTCATCGAAATACAACAATTCTTAAGTGTCTCAAAATCTGTCTGTTCGATTCGCCCCACTCTGGGAGCTCGCCTCCTAGGCCCTATGGGGAGGAGGCCCGCACTGGTGCCGGCGCTATCGCCAGCCCCAGTCTCCACACAATTTCCGCACATTTCACGTATTCATTAGAACTAATAGTCAGTTTTTCTTACTTTCATACTATTGGGAGGGTCCTGTCGTCCTCTAGTGTTGCGACCCCTTGTAGGTCGTTAGCTAGCTATCGTCTCTACGACACTAGCCAGCCCCATTGTAGTCCCTGTGCGCTACACTACCCTAGCCGGAGAATGTGGGTTGATTTCCAATTAACGCGCAGCAAAGCGCGCCTTGCCATTCATCCGAGAACCTTAGGGGCACCACGGAACCGGCTTCGGGCAAAGCCAGTATGCGATGCAAACCGTGCAATGGTGCCCTGAGACTCTTTGTGTCAGCCGCCGCCTGACGAATGAGCGACGTGATCGGTGCTTGCGCCTTAGTCCTTGCATGGGACTTATACCTTTTAGGTGGCGGGCGTAGGAATATACCTCCCTCCTCCGCTGATATACCCGCCACTTGTTTGGCCAATATTTCATATGCTTGCTCTGCCGGGGCCTTTGGGTGGACTACGGTGGGATTGTGACCTTGCAGCTTTGCTTCACCAGTCCTAACGGTAAGTCGCACCACTGGCCATTCACATAGGTTCGGAGCTTGTCGGACTGGAAATAACAGGTCACCTTACGTTCCGTCAGCCAATCTAAACCCAAGACTAAGTCATAGGGAATGGGTCCCACTAAGAAATCCCCGGAAATGCGTACAACTCCGCACCACATGGTCAATTCCGTCACAAAATCAATGCGTAATCAATGCGTAATGCAAGGTGCGCAGACTTCCAGAAGAGCATAGGTTCACCTGTAGCTACGGTGAACCTATGCTCTTCTGGAAGTCTCCGCACCTTGAACTGCAGTCGTTCGACTGATTCGAGACAAATGAAACTTCTCGAAATCCCAGTGTCCAAGAGGGCCTCACATGGACTCCCTGCGAGCTCAACGCCGTCGCACCCACATAGCACTATGCTCCCCCTTGGCCGTAAGGCTCTTTCGTGCAGGTTTCCCGCCACCAGTATGTCTCAATCTCTGTTGCGTCTGGCCTGTAGTCATCTTCTGTTGCCTCTGCAGGCTTCCTGCGGCTAGCCGTCGTCTCACCCGGGGCCTCTTCAGTCAGGATCGACCCCAACCCAGACTCCCACCGCGTTTCCGAAAGCGGCTGAGTCCCTTCCGCATGCCCATCGCTCGTATTAGTTCTTTCCGCAGTGTTGAGGAGTTGGTTTCCCCACTCAAGGGAGACTGGAATGGCATTGGGGCCTGTCGCTACCGCACACATTATCCCTTTGTCATGGCTACGCGGCCTAGAACGCTCGTCTCCGACCACGCCTAGGCTCCTTCTCAGTGCTAGGACGTGTGGGCTGCCTACTGCTCTTTTCCGCCGGCTCGGTCTGGCCTCGTTCGTACGTAGGACAGTCCCGAGCACAGCATCCCACACCACCAAACTTCTTGCATATTTCCCCCGGACGTTTGGTACGTTCTCCCGTGCTGGGGCAGACACGTGCCGGATGTCCGCGACCCTGACACTCAAAGCAGCTCGTGTGGGTTCTCCCAGGGCGATTTTCAAATTCCTGGCGCCGACGGGGTCCATTAGCTTGGATAGCAGCCCTAATGGCTCGACTGGTCCTTTCTTTGAGCTACAGCACGCTCTGCTTGGGTTCGCAGAGGCATGCTGCGGCTGTCGCCGCTTGTTACCACGACTGATACTTCACCTGCCTATTATTGGTGATTAGAAGATAGAGGTCCGTCGGGAGCCCGGTGCAGTAATAGTCAGCGAGTTCGTCGGGGGTGGCACCAAAACCACGTCCCGCTACAGCCGCAAACCGGTCCGTGTATTCCTTCTGGTTACCATTCCACCGTACTTTATCCAACTCCGTTAACAATTGACTCTGCGACATTGTTTTGTCAAACCGCTCCAAAAGCCTGCGCTGTACTGTCGCCCAGTCGCTTAGGTCGATAGTTTTTCCGTAGATACATCCAATACGTTAGAGCCGGGCCCACAAGGTGGTCTATAACTGCATTTCCGCACTCGCGCGGTTCCAATCCCATCTACGTGTACCGGCGCTCGATGCGCACCAGAAAGACCTGCATAGTGCTGCCGTCTTCTGGTAGTATGGGAATCGTTGCGCCGGATTCCCCGGTCCCGCCTATAACAGTTCTTATTACACTCATAGCGGGCTGGACGTGAAGAAGGGACTGTCCCCTGGAATAGCATTGGTCATAGGTATCACCTGTGGAGGAGCCTTCTTATGCCTATGCGGCCGCTCTGCCACGGTGGGCTTCGGAGTAGCATGACGATGATGGGCCTGTGTCCCGCTCGGCACTTTGCGTACTGACATAGTAGAAGTCTCCTGCTGTGTGGGGCCGATAACGCTTCCGTTGCGGAGATGCATCCCTTATCGAACGAATATATATAGGTGTGAATCATTGAAACATAGTGTTTCTTTTCCCAAGTCCGGAAAAAAAAGATTTCAATCCCGGAACATCCCCCAAATGTAGTGCACATCACCTACTGCTGCGACTACGCTGCTACCTGCCCACCCGAGTAGGGGCCTACGATAACCGTCTACATACGGCGCATTTCCTTGAAGCAGTAACCCAAATATCACGAAATACGTTTATTCAACCTTTTTCAAAATCTGTTCTCCTCAAAATCCCCCCCACTCGGGGTTCTCACCTCCTAGGCCCTGTGGGGAGGATACGTAACTCGGAGCCGGCGCTATCGCCAGCCCCAGTCTCCGGGTATTTTCAGGCACGTCTAGTGTATACACGCTAATGCGCAGACAAATTGGCTTACTTCGATCCTAGTAAGAGGGTACTGTCTTCGTACCGTGTTATGACCTCTTGTAGGTCACCGGCTAGCTATCTTTTATAGGCCACCAGCAAGCCCTATTGTAGTGCCTATGCACTACACCTGCGCTACGCTCCGTCCGAGCCGTTGAACTCCTTCAGGACGTCGGCGTAAGGTGCGTCAATATCTACAAAAATTTTCATGCTAAGTCTAAGATAAGAAACTGCAAGTCAAGGGTGTCTCGTGAGCACTAAAGTAGCTTAACTCATTGCTAGAGCACTGGTACCGGAATAAGGAACTAAGAAAGTGCTTGGGGGGAGCTAGAAAATGGACTAAGTAGGAAACAAGTACTACTACTGGATATGGAAACGAAGCTCTCACAGGCGAACAGATCCTGTGTCGTTCCTCTCGGCCGACTTTTGAAGCGCACCGGGATTGACACTTCCCGCTGTTTTGATGCGCATGCACAGCATCGAATCTAGAGACAATCATTCTAGTCCTTTGCTGTTTTTTTACTTGTAAAGCTTGGTAGTAGGTGCTGCTAGCTACCGTTGACTCTTGAAGAAGCGGCATAGAGCTGAGTTTCCTTGTCTTGTGAACACTCTTTCATGTGTTGTAACTTCATCGATTATTGATAAGTTATACAAGTCTAAGAACCCCGCAATGCCCGACATTGTTTTTCGACGATTTTTTCCGATTTCTCAAGTGTTTGCTAGTTGCTGTTCGTCCTGCTGCGAGCTGTAGATTTCATAAAACCGACGCACCAGCATCACTAGCTGGCAGCTCAGAAACTTGAAGGTTTAAGAGTTGCGCGTGTGGAGAAGGGGCCAGATGCGCCATGCTGCATTTACCAACCCTATGATCTACCTCGAGCTTGCCCAAACGCCGCGCCAGCGACTAGGCAGCTACGCGCAAAAGGAGGAGCTCTGTTGGCCAACTCGGCGGCCAATCATGTGTGTGCTGTCTGGGGTTGGAGTCTGTGAGCTTACAGTACCAGTACGCCAGTTCCTTACAAGCTTGGAAAGCCGATGCCGATGCTCAACCACGTCCCCCACTCTGTGGTGATAGCGCATCCCGAAGCACTAAATAGTAGAGGACCCAAGGAGGGTAGTAAGGAAATTGTGGGAGCCTTTGATATTTTTCTCGCTGTTTAGCGGTGCGAGGAAGTGATGTGAACCAGCACCCGATCTCATCCATTGAGCCTTCTGAAGGCGTGCACCTTGCGAGCGGTGGCAACGTCTATTGGTCCACCAATTGCTTCGTGACTCAACAAGCATTTGAAAGGCCCAGATTTTCGATCGGCAGGAGCCAAAAATCTTTATTGCGCAGTTGAGGAGCTCGCTGTATGGCGACGGCCGCTTGCTCGAGCGAGCCGATGCATCTGTTCGGCTATGACTTACCGTATGGCGCTCCAGAATGCAGCCTAAATAGCACAAATGGCCCATTCCAAATTAGTAGCTGTCTTTGAAAAGTGTTGAATTTATCGTTTCTTCGAATATTCTGTGGGCCGAGAGCAGTTGGCGGAACGCCTGTGGTAGCCGCTAGTGAACCAGCATGCCACCAGTGGTCCAGTGGCCAGACACATACACCACGTTGGCCTTTAGTTTTATTCATGTGAAATTTGGGAGTGGAGAGAACATAGCTTGGAGAGGTGGCAACGTTTGTGGCTTACCTTTCCACGACCGGATCTTTTGACAGCATCACAGTCCAGCCTGAAACCCTTCTTCGGCGATCGCGCCAATTCGAACACCTCTTCTGTGCCCAATTCAAACTACGAGGAGAGGAAATCGACGAGAAGTTTTTTGTTTCATCGAAACAAATGTGGTAACGACTTCTCGTGAAGACGTCGATTCCGCCTGAGGAGGCCGCAGGGCTGAGCTTCCAGTAGAAAGAGGAACTCAACAGCGTCTCCCAGCATCAATGTTCAGGGTCTGCTCCGAGTTGTGCTACTCGTAGAGGCTCGATTCGGCTGGCTAGGTGCCACGGTGCCGCAGCAACTGTGTTGCTCGTAGCTAAAGCTAAAAGAATCGCGCATGCTCTGTTTTTTGGCAGAGATTTCCAACTGAAGATTACTTCATGCATTTTCTTTGCTCGTGCCCATCAGTCAATCTTATCAGGGCAGGCACCGATCAATCACGTGCTGTCCTTCTCGTGGAATGCCACATGTGAAAAGACACAGCCTCAAAAATGTCGCTTGCGAAGCAAGGAGCGGCCAAGGGCCGTAAAGTCAAGATGGCCGACGATGCTCCCGATAGCATCATTTTGGAACCTGAATCGATGGAAGAGAGCATCAGGGTCTGCACACGTATGCGGCCTCTGTTTCCAAAAGAAGTGAGATAGTTGCAGTAAAATGGAGCTAGAGAAAACCAAATGGATCCCATAGGCATATCACACTACATGTTTTTTGTTATCGGTGCAGCGTTAAGCAACTTCGTCACTTGTAAACTGGACTTGGCAGGCTGTTACTAGTGGGTTTGGAGATGCCATTGTGGTCGGCGTTATATCTCAGGTGGAAGCAGGCCACATAAAGGCTTGGAAGGTGGAACAGAAGTCTATGCAGCTAATCGTGGAGCCCCCAACTCAAGCAGAAATTGAAGAAAGCCGACAGGGGAAGACATCATCAAAAAAGTCCGTGGAGAAGACACAGGCACAAAAGGACCAGGTGCAAAGGTATTATGCCTTTGACAGATGCTTTGATGACGACGGTAGGCCCGCAGCTTCCCCAGATTTCCTGAAGCAGCAACCAAAAATTGTGCAGCCGTAGAAGTCCTCCGGAGGCCAGATAATTGCAAGACGCTCGGGTGTTCATGACGCGGTCATGTAGACCCCCCCCCGCGAGCGTTCATCACCATGCACGTATGACGCTGCTTCTGCAGCTGAAAATGACGAAGTATTTGCCTACGTGGCGCGCGACATCGTTCTGGATGCATTTAAGGGGATCAACGGCTGCGTATTTGCGTATGGCCAGACTGGTACGCCCACCGCGGTAGAAGAAGCCTTGTTAAGGAGCTGGGTTTGTGGGCCTAAGCGGTGGCCTGCATTATGGTTACTTCGCCATTTTTCTCTTCTCAGGCATCCTGGTCATCCCCATTTGTATGTCAACGCAGAATGTGGCGTTTTGCGTGTTGGACCATTGTTGTAGGCTCTGGGAAGACGCACTCCATCATGGGCGTTGCAGAAGATCCCGGCATTTTGCCCCGTTCTCTTGCAGAATTTTTTGATTGCATGTCAGATTCATCTCTCCTACGGGAAGAAATGGAAGATGCAGCTGCTGAAAAGGAGGATGAGATGGGGGAGGAGCAGCTAGCTACAAAAGACCACAGAACAGAGGGTTTGGAAGACGGCGAAAACAGAGTAGGCTGTCGTTGCTTTCGTCAGCATTGTCGCTTTGCTAAATCGGTCACTCCAAAGGTTAGGTGCTTGGAGCAGCTCAAAAACGTAGGTCCTTATGTGAGGCATAAATGCAAGGTTTTTTGTGTTTGACACTTCCAAGGAATATCTCATGAGGGTTTCATACGTCGAAATCTACCTGGAACGAGTGAACGACTTGTTGCAAGAAGGTCCCAGAGGAGGAGCTGTGGAAAATCTCGATGTAAAGGAGGATCCAAAGAAAGGCTTTGTAGTGGTCGGTCTCCACGAAGAAGCTGTTGCATCCATGGAAGAAGTCATGACTCTCTTATCCAAGTGAGCCCAAGCGGGTGCTTTTAATAGCTGTGTTCCCTGCTACCTTTCAGTTCCTATATTCTTGCCCGTTACCTTATAAGGCAATTCTTGCCCTTAAGTTGTGCAAATGCCTGTTGGTGGTTTCTGCGAAGCAAAAGTTGGTTTATCGCAGTCATTTTCGTGCCTTGTGTCTGTAATTATTCGTCAGAGCTGAACAACGACGCCATTTCGCCCGGACGAATTTCAATGAAACCTCGTCGAGGTAAGTGCCTTGCAGGTTTATTTCTAATTGTTGCGAAGCTGGGCTTCTATAAATCTGTTTGCTTTGATCTGGATGCGACTAGCGAACTGCTACACTGCTAACTTGCTCCACCCCCCGACAGGCCCTACCTTGCATTTTCCACCATTTTGGACGGCCACTTGCTGCGCCTCACAGGTCTCACGTCGTTTTCTCCATTACTTTGGAGTCAACAAGCACTTTTGAGGATGGTACAAACGTCAGTCGACGAGGAGAGCTGAAGATAGTCGATCTGGCGGGCAACGAAAAAGCTGGTAGAGCCTCTGAAGGCGTGGAGAACGCAAAGCTTGTCTTGGAGGAGGGGAAGGCGATCAATAAGTCCCTTTTTCTTCTTTCGTGCGCATTAAAGCTTACTGTGCAACTTGAGCAACTGAGGCTGTTTTGCCATTCGCTGCAAGCGTTAGTTTACTCTGTGTTTGATGGCATCACTTGTAGACGAACTTGTTGTTGACCAGCTGAGGAGCCTCAGCTTTTTATGGAATGTATCTACGGTTTCCAGGGAAGTTATATCCAAACTGTCGAAGCAAGCTCAGCAGGGAGAAGATAAAACGAAGAAGAAAGGAGAAAAAGACGTGTACATACCTTGGCGTGACTCCAAGCTCACTCGGCTTCTTCAGGTACGCGGTTGTGGCAGTCTCAGTAGTTTTAAGCCATGCTATAAAGGCCTGCCCTGTATGGCTAGGCCAAGGTAACATCACTCAAAGCTTTGGCTTCGGGCAGGCGTTAAGCAGGTACAGTTGAAGGATTCCTGAATTCTGAGCTGCGCATTAGGTTGCTTTCTTTGTAATGCAGAAAGCACTTGGAGGCAATAGCCGCGCAGCAGTTTTAGTCGCTGTTCATCCTTCGAGCCTGTACTTGGACACTTCCTTTTCAACCCTCCGCTTCGCAATGAAGTGCAAGGAGATCAAAAAGAAGGTTTGCGCAAACTTCTTTTCTCCAGAGCAGTCCCTTATTGCTCAGCAAAAGAAGCTCATTGCAATGTAGGTGAAATGCAGTTTTTATCGGTAGGATGGAGGAAATTATGAGCTACGCAGGTCGCCAATTCCAGTAGCGTGAAAGTTTTACAAAACTGTGGGATTTCCGTATAGAGTAGCTATTAGCAACTGTGGAGTGGGTAGCTGAGATTTCCTCAACCAAGTTGTTAAAGTGCTCTGCGCTTTCAGGCTTCATGCACAACTCAGAGAAATATCAGAGGGAGGAGTAACCCCTGGAATTAGCTCACAAAGAAATGCAGAAAACGATGAACAAATCCGAATTCTGAAAGTAAGTATTTTTGTAACCAAACGTGCTACCAATGAAGTGTCATGCACTAACAATGGGACCTCATGAAACAGCTCATGCACGTGCATGCTGCCGCATAAAGTAAAGTAAGATTCAACTTCGTAGAATGTATTGGAAGGTGTACTCATGCTGACCAGACCTATACGGTACTTGCAGAGTGACCTGGAAAACAAAGTCGCAAAGTTCCAGCAATTTATCATAAAAGCGACGGCGAGTCCAACACAAGCGCCCTCCGGGGGTGATTTGCAGCGGGCAAGAACTATGCGGCAGTGAGTGTGCTTCGGATTGAGAGGTTCCTCAGCGTTTGAGCAGCGTCTGGCACGCAGTGCTGTTCACCAAATATACATGGGCTGAACGGGCACTGAGGTATTCAGGAAGCCGGGCGTCTAGTGTGACTGGCCACAGAAGCGTTCGCGGCACTCTGTGTGATTTGCATGAAGAATTGTCTGCCATTGCTTGAAATTATGTTTTTTGATGAATGGTTGTAGGAGCAACGACCATAAAAGGGATTTTTTCGTTCTATAGCTCTTTCGATTGGTGCTCAGGCCGTCTACTTTTCGACGGATGGAAACCCTTGCTGCTGCTCGTTATGGACTTCGAGATATCGATGGACTTAACCAAGCAGACTCTGAGGACCCCGCTGTGCGAACATCCATGACACATGCCCTTAGCCTGTTGGATCGTTTCGGGCAGGATCTCAAGAACGATGTGAGAGAGTGGTTGTGTGCGTGCAGTGCTGCATTGCAACAAAGTCACGATGCAGAGAGAACCAAGCTGTTCACTGTGTGGTTCATATTTTGCCTTATTTGTGCGTTCCGCATTTTGATGTATTTGTGCGTTGAAGACATACGGCAGCCTCCAATCCTTCTCCAGCGGAGACGCACCAGGCGGGGTCCTGAGGTTCGAGACCTTGGAACACTCAATAGAAGGGGCTATACACGAGCTCGAGTGCATTGACGATAATCCACTTTCTGCAGAAGAAGAGTCCTTGAGCTGTGAAGATTCATCGGCCAGTGAGAGCTCTGATCATGAAGCACCTCAAGAAGCCCAGGCGGAAGGAGGTGGTCTGTTTGAGCCACCACCAGATCAAGCTGCTGGCGAGCAAAAGCCAAAGCAAACTAAGTCTGCAGTTTCGACGGGTAAGCCTAAAAGCGTGAAGGTGAGAGTAGAGAAGAAACACAAAGCCAAGACGACGAGGGCTTCCAAAAAAGGAAAGGCATCGGCACCGTCCAAACAACCCAGTGAAATTCTGGCGTCGGAGCTACCTGCTGCCACACCAGCACCTGAAGAACATTTGGAACAAGAGCGCGAAAACAATGAGGCGCGGAAAATCAAGGCATTAGTCTTAAAACAAAGGGCAGAACGGGAGAACTGGGCTTCTAGGCTTCGGAAGGCCAAAGAAATGGGCCTAGAAGTCATCTCGAAGGTTCTTTTGTAAGTAATACTTTCGCATTCAAATTAATTCACATCTTGAGAGGCCATAAGATTCTTGAACTGACTTTCTCGAGCCTTCATTGGCTTATCGAACGTTCCAGTTCCATCTGTAAATGCCAAAGTAAGGTTTTGCTCCCGTCGGCTTTTACGTTTTTGACAGTCGGATGCAAGATGAGAAGGAAGCGCTGGTTAAATGCAAGAAACGCACAGCAGAGCTGACTAGCCAGATTCGTCACATTTGCGCCCTAATGCATCGTCTGGGACTCTCAGTGCTCAGCACTGCTTCTGCCCCAGCAAAAGGACAAGATAGTTTGTTGGCCCCTCGGGACCAAGAAAACGAGTCGCTGAAGGCATTTCTTGACCGTGTGAGGGAGAAAAGAGATGCAGAGCCACTGAAACTCTCTCTAAGCGTTGGAGACCCCGTGGGCCAATCAGCTAAAGCTCGCGGGTTTCCAGATATCGACCAGATCCGTCCCTTGGCCTGCGCTGCAATAAGCAATGCTTTATCGTAAGTTTGCCCATTCACGATATTGTGAATAATAAATGAAAGACCGTCCTTAATTATCGGCGCCGGAGGGCGAGAGCCTTTTTATTTAACCTTACATGACTGCTGCGTGGAACCCAATATGCTTTTCTGTGTGTTTGTTTCACTGCTTACGTATAACAGACGTGTTATGATGGCGGAGGTCTTAGAAAACATGGAGGAAGACGGGGATAATGGCGCAACGGAGGGCAAGATCAATGGCGCGCTGCAGCCGCCCCTTATGGCTCTGGCTGCTTCCGTTGTATCTTCGGGGGCATCTCCTACTCCAAATGAAGAAGTGCGATCCCTCATCACGCTACGTACTAGGCATCACCATTGATCGTCGGGACAGCTACATTTCCGTTAGCTAAGCATCGTGCAGGGCTGCCAGTTGTTTACGCTACATGTGCATGCTGTTTAACTGTATCTTGCCTTCAGGGAACTACTCCCAGAACACCACAGAATGAAAACGAGGCCATCAGTGCGTTGGAATTAATATTTTCCAAAGCCGCCAATGCTGACAATAACAAGGGGACAGCGGACACTGAAACAGCCAAGGTACATCATTAGCTTCCAAGAGGAGCTTCTGCTGGTCTGGAGATCTTCCAGCATTGGCTTGACCCGCACACATCTACAGGCATCGTCGCAGACACGATGTGGCCGGGAACAGGGCGATTCTTCCTGCATGCCACTCTTAACATTGTTCGTGGGTGTTTGACAGATGATAGAAAGCAAGAAGGAGCAGACCGTTGAGTCCATTTTGCAGATTCTTCCTCCCTGGGAGCAGCACATGTTGGCGCTGCTATATGAACAGCAAGAAATGAGGAAGGCTCTCGGCCAGCTGAGGGACCACTTTGTGGAGCGTTTGAAGGAACTCCAAGTCTCTGTTAAGAAAGGATTGGTAAATGCAAACGCCGTGATAGAGTGCCACGACAGAGCGAGAGATTTTCCTCCACTGCTTGCTTTTTCGTCGCATTATTTTCATGTACGTACCCCACTAGTACGGAGGTCAGTAGGGAGGCAGTGTATGACGCAACGAGTGTGCGTATGCAGTTGGAAAAGATCGAACTTACCGAGCATTGCGACAGAATGCTGGCTGCCCTATGGAGCTTCAAAGCGGAACTCACTGATTCGAAGTCCAGGCATCGTGTTGACGAAGATACAAATGCAAAGTTTGCAAAGTTAATGGCCAAACTAGAAGAGCTCTCTATTCGCCTCGCGGAACGGGAGATTGATTATAAGCTGCTCTCAGGTACAACTCATTGACGAACTAGCAACTTTACGTGGGAGGTCAACTTCAGTTCAGCTGGCCCTCTGCCCTGCTTTTGGGCGTCAAAGCTCTGTCTTATGTTTTGTCCACTTCAATTTGAACAGAGGACTACGCGACTCTCAAAGAGGAGAATGCAACTCTGCTAGAGACGACACGCAGACTGAAGGAGGAGAACTTAAGCCTGCTTATGATTCCAAGGACACTGGCGAACTGGGAAGATTTTAAGGGATACGATGATGTGGTGTGGATGCGGCCGTTTTTCACATTCAATCCTAGCGACATAGTCCCGATTATCGTTTACCTGCATGCCTTGAAAAGGGAATTTGAAAGTTTTTAATGCTGTCTTCAGGAGAAGCGGGGCTTGGCGAGAGACGTGCACATGCTGCAGGGCTACGTATCGCATTTGCGCATGTGCCTTGAGGAAGGCCGCGCTGTTGAGCTTGATGTGCGCCGGCTCAACCAAGCGCTCTACATGGAGCTCCTAGCTGCGAACACGACAATAGCGGACCTGCAAGATCAAATAAAGTTCCACACGAGCGTGGACAGGCGAGAGGCGAAGATGGTAGAGGTCAGCTGCGCTAGGTTAAAAGGCTGCGCCAACGCCTGCGTAAGTGGTTCTTTTCCCTGGAAGTTTCATGAGAGTGAAGAGGAAGCTGTATGTTTTCTGCAGGAGCAACTGGCTGCAGCCAACCAAGCGGAGGCTGAGAAGAGTGACAGAATTCGGGAGCTTGAAGAGCAAGTTTCAAATCTGAAAGAGCAGCTGGCAGCAGCAGTTGCCAAGTCAGAGACAGAGGATCGTGAAGCTGAGCCGCCCGTTGAATCCAAGGACCAGACTGCTGACGCCGAGCAGCAGGCGCTGACCAAGCGTTCAGGCAAGAAGAATACCGCTTCAGCGAAGGCCAAGACTAAAACAAAGGCTGCTACGAAAGGTCAGCCTCATATCAGCTTGCGTTTATTGTGGCACTGTGCATGCCACTGTAATTAAAGGGGATGCTACACCATTGTTCTCTGGACTAGGTAGTGCCCTGTGCAGTATTTCCCACTTAAGGATAGAAGACGCTCCGCGGATTTACTGTTTTTCTACAGGTCCATCTGTGGTGGTGTCGCAACCTCCTGCCAGTTCACCCGCGAAGTCGAAGCAGGTGGGAAAGCGCAATCCCACTGCAGCGCCTGCTGGTGTGGACCGCCTTTCGGTGAAGCGTTTACCCCGTGCGCCTTCAAGCGCGCCCTCAAGAGCAAGTCTTGCTTCTGCGAAGCCGGAGAAACCCATTTCTGCAAGAGGCGGGGAGGGCTCAAGACTTGTGAGGGTAGTTGAACCGGAGGACCATTCTAGCTCAGCATTATCTCCAAAGGTTAATTCCTTGCAGCCGCCTGTTCTTGCCACAAAACAGGTTCTAACCAATCCATCAATCGACAAGCCACCCACGGCCATAGAGGCTAGCAGAACATCGGTCGAAGCACTGACCACAGCAGCAGGAAGAGCTCCGGCTTTTACCGGTGACCCGCGCAATAAGGGACTAACAAATATGGTTGCTGCTCTAAGTGGACGAAGGCGGAAAGGGTCTGCCGCACAAATATGATGAATGAGAGCTCTGAAGCTGCTGCAGTGCAAAGTCAAACATTAATCCTTCCGGACAACACAGCAGGAAGTCGGTGTAAAAACGCCCACCAGATTTAACCACCCCCCCAATGTGAGTAATGAGCGAACCCCAGCATAACAGATGTCGGGTCTTGATGCAAACAGCGTTTCCATGTCAAAGTCCCTTAGGCGCTGCCACATCCAACAGGGCGCCCTGCAGCTTATTCAGGGCATCCCTCAGCGGCAAGACGTCCGCCGAGCCGCATGTGCGTGAGATGTAAAGTACACAAGGCTTCCCAGAGGTCCGTAGTAAGTCGTGCTTTATAATTACCTGGTGTGGAATCCCAATGAGATCTGCATGCATCTGCATTTGGCGGAGGGTGGGACCTCGACGGTCGTCAAGGAACACGTCGGCAGATCCCCCTGCTTCTGTTGCAGTTTTGTGCAGCCGTCTAAACAGGGCCCTACCAAGGCGTGCAGCACTTCTGCCATCATTCCACCTCGCAGCTGGCTGCGGGATAATTGCAACACAGAAAGGCGCTACTTGTGGAGGAAACAGCAGGCCCTTCATATCTTGATGTGACAGTGCCAAGTGTGCAATGAGCCGGGACACGCCCAAACCGTAGCTGCACATGAACGGAACCTTTACTACACCCTGAGGATCCATGAAACGAGCTCTCGCTGCTTCGCAGTACGCCTTGGGGAGCTGAAAGCAGTGCCCAACCTCCAAGCATGTGCCACCACAGAGGTATGGAGCAGTCGCTCCATGAGCACCATTATGGCTTTCGTTTGGCCTGTCCAGTCGTGGTGTTGTTTGGCCACTTCCAAGAATGCTGCACACCTGACGAAAATGCACTCAAACATGGCTGAATCTTTACTGAACCCTTTGCGTTCCTTGTGAAGGAGCCGCAATGAATTGGTGAAGACTACATGAAAACATAAAATAATGGAAATGCATTTCACGAGACGCAGTTCCTGCTCACATGGTATTCGTGACTGCAAGGGCCCCCCATCGTTCCCGGGTCCGCTTGGATTCTGTGGACTGGGCCTGCTCCCAGACGTGAAAGTATCCGCCGGAAGCATTCATCCATCTTGCGGTAAGTGGCATCTCTGCATGCCGCATTTTGATGGAAAGAATAGGCTTCCAGCATGACAAATTCACGAGTGCGGAGGCACCCTGCACGTGGGCGAGCTTCGTCTCGGAACTTCGGCCCAATCTGATAGAACATTAAAGGCAATTCTTTGTGACTTCTGACGAAGTGTGCGGCCAGCCACGCGGCCGCTTCCTCAGAGGTAGGGGGCAGGAAGAAATGCCGAGTACGACGGTCTTCGACCTTGTAGAGAGACGCGCCAAACGCGTGCACTCGCTGCGGAGAAAAGTCGAAACAAACATTCTTGTAGCATTTAAAGGCAACCCATTTGCGTGCTTGACGTTAGGAAAAGGTGCATGCTGTAATTCAGTCCAACTGTAACTCAGCTGAAGTGCATCGTTTTCTGTAATCCTGCCCGCGCAAGTGGGTATGCCGCGGCATTAGACGTGACAGTACACACAGTTCGTACATCTGAATCGTGCAGCCACTCCATTGGCATGAGGCTCGGCAACGATAGCGGGGGGGCACCGGTTCCCGCAAGTTCTTCATGGCAGACGGTCTCGATCTTTTTGAGCACACGGAAACCCAGCGGTAGCATGCAAAAAAGGCCTGAAGACGTAGCCTGTACCAAGCGAGCCTTCTCTAACAATCGTGCTGCAGTAGAAGCAGCAGCGCTCCTGTCATTAAATGGGCAGGGCACGGGGTTGTCTCCTCCCTTCTCCATGCACGACGGCTCCGAATCGCTTTCTCTCTCCTCTGCTGTCTCAGATACCACTTTTGCTGAGTTCCCTTCATTGAGTGGTGGCTGGTTATGTCCGTGGCGCACAGCCTTATCCCATTCCGACTCTCTCTGTGCACCGCTTGGCATAGGTAATTTGCTGGCGAGGCACGCGCGAGGCAAACCGCCGGCAAGATAGTCAGCAGTTGCAAGCATCCGACTTCGACGTAGTGCTCGTGCAGAAGCGTTGACGCGAAGGCATGTAGCGTGTCTTGCTGCACAGCGACGAGTAAATGGCCTACGTGGATGAGGCCCACTAGCGAGACGTTGCCATGGGCTGGTCATAAAAACATATCGCAGGTACTCCTTACGTTTCGCTGGTACCAAAAGCTTCGCGTTTGCCTTTTGTCGAAAACTAGCTGCAAGTGCAGATGAATGAAAAGGGTGATTGTGGGAATCCATGGACAGACTACTATGAGGAGCCAATACTGCAGGTATAACCACTGAGGCTTGGTGGCTGTAGGTTGCTGGGGCGAGGGGCTCAGCTGCCATTCCAATGGTAAAAGCAAATAAGATGCTTTGAATCCATGAGATGCACCTCAGGCAAGCGAATAAAGGGACCCTGAAACTTGGCTTCTCCATTCCTGTGCACATTACCCAAGTGGCCACAGGACGGCTTCATCGCAGAATAGCCTGTTATGATAGTCATACGCTGGCTATGTGGCAGTCTGCTGAAACGAAAATTGTGCTGAAGCCCCAACTGCGTGACCTCATGCTCAAGTGCAGTGACTTGACTGCCACAGGACAGAGACCGACCATTTGCAAGGTGGGTAGGGCCGCTGAGAATATCAAATCAGTCATCTGCTCTTCTGTAAAGCGTGAACTGCACTTAACGCATGCGCCTCTCGAGGACATGACTTACGAGCCACATGGAACAAGTAAATGCGGTATGTAGTCCGCACAATCACAGCAATGGTGTTTGGGGGCAGTGAAGGCTGATCGCATGCAACTGACCCCTCTGCTGAGTTGTCTGTGGTAAAGGCGTTTACTGTTTGACATTTAATTCAGACTTTACTTTGTTTCTCTTGCTGTGCAGGCGTTTCGCTAGACTCAGAGCAGTTCCTGTCTAGCAACAACAAGCGAGCACCTCCGAACTTTTCGGAGCATTCTCGAAGGCATTTCGCTCGTTAACTACAAATGCCCAGAAAACCAAGTAGAGTAGCGTTTTTTCACCTGGATTTGGGTGTTGGTGGTGCGGAGCAACTTGTTTTGCAGACGGCCTTGCAAACATACAACATCCTTGAAGGCACACGGCGCCGACCCTGTCCCGTCGATCTCTTCACCACGTACTTCGATACACGAAGATGCTTAGAAGCTTCAAAAGACCGTAAAACATACACGAATATGAATACAATTTTTGTGGATTTAGTCAATCAGGTGGCGGCGCGGCTTCCTTATCAGCCAGCTGCGTACAATGCATTTCACCGCGACAGGCTAGTCACATTCCGTAGAGCGACTGGAAACAAGAAAGCTTCCAACAAACTAACCGCAGTTTAATGGTTTGCGTGAAAGAGTTGCTGCCTTGTTCAGAGGTGTTGTTTTGGTTATTCAGCGAGGCTAAACATTATTGTCTTCGGGTCCTTCTTGCCTCACAGCATTCTAAGGCATTTTCGTGTCTTCTGCTCGGTTCTGCGGATGCTATGTCTAGTATTAACTGCCATAATGACAGGTACGTTGAGCAGAAACAAACGGAAAACTGGGCGTCGGCGTTTTGTCCATGAGTTGAGGCGCCACGGTGTAGGTGTAGTTACATGTAGTTTTCTCTGCAGGACATGTGGGCTACGATCTTGTGTTTAATGACCAAGTGGCAGTAGTGAATCCTTTACTCCGTCTAGTTGGAAAGAAAGTAAGAGGATTCCGTGCCCGCGTTTCAGTTGCGCCGAGGTAGCAAATTGGCACCGCAGCCAGTTCGAACGACCTTCGCATTTTCACCCTTAGATGGCTAGGGGTCCATATTTTTGCTGTAAATAACTGTAATCAACAGGTTATTTTCTATGGTCACTTCCCTGACCTCTTGCTGGCCAGCTGTCAGCCATCGCTCTTACGCCGCCTTTACCGGTACCCTTTCGACAAGCTTGAGGCAATGACCACCGGTATCGCCGTCCATACAACGCGTACCTTCACCATACTGCAACATGTTCTAAGCTAAGCTGAAAGTTTTTCTCTCACGATCTCTGGATCTTATAAGCATGCAGAATTCCGATAAACATGCATACTGCTAGGCCTTCCGGTGTTCCGTTCCTCCTCTATAAACCGCTAGTACTATGCATTGGCGAGTAACTACTTTGTCTGGTCACTGTATGATGTAAATTTTCCCCACCTAAAAAAATTAATACGCAGAACTACAGTAGTTGTTTGCTTATCCCTCCCTCCTGTAGTGCCTTGCGTAACTGCAGCGTTTTGTGACGCGGTTCTTGTCAACTCCGAGTTCACCGCAGATGCTTTCTGTCGAACCTTTCCGTCCCTGAAGTGCGTGAAAATCCGGATGGTTGGGCGTTGCCTTCAAATCACGTGTACATCTTGAATGTGGAGCAACATCTGCTACGAAGAGCAGCCTAAGGAGGAGTGCTAACGGCATAGTTCGATTGCATTGGCCTCATATGTTCCGCTGCTATTCCACAGGGACAAAAAGCTACGTGTGTTGTATCCACCTGTCGGTACAGAAGTGGAAGCATTTCATAGGCGCAGCGACTGTGAGGGCTGCGAATCATCTTTTGCCGAATTGCAACAGTAAGTGCATATGGGGCACAACAGTACACGCAGATGGGGCAATTTTCTTACTGATTGGCACCATCTTTGGGTCGTTGATATTTTTTGCAGCTTTCTGAAGCAAACAAAATAACAGCTTATGTATAAGCCAATTCATTGTGTTGCGTCTTTTTCCATTGTTTCAGATTTGACTTGTCAGTGCCCTATGCCATTTCACTTAACCGATTCGAAGAAAAGAAGAACATCGAGCTTGCATTAACTGCTGTGGCATCTCTTCCACAAGAGATAAAATGCAACTTGATTGTAGCAGGTGACGCGCAATCCGTGAGAAGCCTATAGACTGGATTCCTAGATCTTCGGCACGTCCCCTCCTGGACACAAGCTGAACAGAGAGTATCACTAAGAAACTAGTTCCCAATAAGTTGAGTGTTGGTCTTTCTCTGAGCACAGAGTACAGAATGATAACGGATTACTAGGATAAAACGCAATCCGAATGAGACAACTGAACAGAAAAAAACGAGGCAAATGCATATGGCGCCGTCATCCGTATGGAAAACATTCTATGTGCTGCAGGAGGCTTTGATCCACGTTCTGTTTGCTGCAGGAGGCTTTGATCCTCGTTTGCCCGAGTGCAGTGTCTATTTTCAGCGGCTTGTGCATCTTGCGAAGCAGCTTAGTTTCAGAATTATTGACTCTGAGAAGATTCACGGTGCTGGGGTTAATGGGACTGGCCACGAAGAAAAGTCGAGAAGGCATATTCTATTTCTTAAAAATGTTTCGCTGCCTCTAAAGTTGTTTTTGCTCAAAAAGAGTGCCTGCATACTTTACACACCGACGGACGAGCACTTTGGCATTGTGAGGAGTGCAACTTATATTGTCTTATGTTGCCTGCATGGCAGATGGGTCATTACCCTGCAGCACATTCCCAGTGTTTGACTCGGAAAGTCCGTAGCCTGGTACGATTTCATACTACTGTTGTACTACTCGACAGGCTTATTTGGCTCAGGTTCCCTGTGAAGCGATGTTTATTGGAAGTCTCCCCGTGGCATGCAACACGGGCGGACCTAGAGAAACCATTGTTGATGGAGAAACTGTAAGTGTGATTCAGCCTATTCAAAATTCCCTATATTCGTACATGTATATGTAAAGCTTGGAAACAGAGGGTATATGACTGCTTCCACATATGCATGCTGCTGCTGAGGCGTTTGCGTTTTCATGGAGCTTACTTCGACTATCTTGGGTTTTCGAGTACAACTACAGGACATGCAAAAGTATACGAAAAAATCTGAGCATGGATACTCAGCGTCAAAGCTAAGCGCGTAGTGTGTGCATATTTCTGCTAGGGTTTCCTCTGTGAACCAACGCCGGCATCGTTCTCTGCAGCACTCCAGCGAATCTTGCTGTTATCGCGCGACAGCCCTGAAGAGCTTGCTGTGAGCATATATAGCTACGAAAGCTCGAGCACCCTATCAATCGCTTGTCAGTTCATGGCAACAACTGCGCCGTTGCTTTCAAGTGCCAGTCTACTCCAGTTTTGTTAATGCCTGTAGGCTCTACGCTCAAAAGCTGAGGCGCACGCTGCTTGTTGGTTTTCGCCAGGTTTGTGAACTGCAAATTGTTCCACGTTCCCCGCCTGATGCTAGTGCTAAGTGCTGCACGAAAACAGGGCGCGTTCTCTTTGTACTGCTCTTTGGATATGCCTGAATCGCACGAAGGTTTTCTGTCTGACTTTTCGCAGATGTGTTTCGCCGGTCTCTTCATGGCATTCTTGAGGAAGCTACAGGGCCTTGGGATGAAATCAACTTAGAGGCTCCCGAGAAATTTCCAACTGGAGACTGTAGAGCTCAGCTGAAACGGCTCACCGGCTAACGACTCTTAACCAAATTGCGGAGTCGGCCCCTTGGGGATCATGAGCTCTACGTCGCTAGTCCAGCTGGTACTGAAGTTGCAGTTTTTGGGAATATATGCCCTTTCTTAACAACCTGTTTGTACGTTGCATTCCTCGTATGCCCACAACTCAGCGTGAATATGGGCGACTTGCTTTTTGTTCAGTAGAGCTTAAACAGCACAGTGGCCGACGGCTACAAATCGTAGGTCCCTGGTGTATATCGAGCAGCGTTCTTACCAGCAAATTGTCAAGAAGTCATGCCCTGTTGCCGCCGTGAATTGAAAAAAAAAAGCAGCGGTAAAAATCCAGGCTACCTCCGCAGCCAAATGCCATCCAACAAATCGAAGCAGCGCAACCAAAACCGTCTACGAGGCGCTTGTACGACGGTACCATTGGGTTGGAACACAACAGTGAATGGACCACTGAAATATGGCATTAGAGTAAAAAATCGTACTGTGTCCGTACATTTTCGACTGCTTTGGAAACGATAGGCACTGCCTCTAGAAGCGTGTGCTGTTGGCGGAACAAGGCTTCGAGCCAAGCTGTACACTGAACAACCATCTCAAGTGTCGTTCTGTTACTTTGTTCGGCAAAGTCCTGCTGCTCGCCTAGCAGATTTTTCATCTGGGGAAGGCTTGTTTCAGATGCCGGCTCCTCGCCAACACGTTTGAGATACTCTAGGGCAAGATTAAGCTCATCCTTTAGCTTCATATCGTAAAGGGGATTCTGTATGGCAGCTTGAAGCTCTTCCAATGCCCCGTTTAGATGAAAAGTCGCCTGGCTGTCCGAAAGCGGACGCTGTAATATCTCTAGTGTGTTGGTTATAGCCTTTGCCGGGGCTGCTAACTTGGCACTGGCTTCCGAAAGAGAAGAAATAGTGTTAGCCATATTGATCGTTACCTCTGTGTTTTCCTTGTCCAACAAGGCCCTTGCGAGGCTTTCCTTCTCATGGGTTTCACGCATGGCGCTTTGCAGGTCTGCCGAGAGCTTCCTCAAAACGGACTGAAGAACGGAGCAACTGTCTTGTCCCACGCCGTGGTAACCCGAAAGACAGTCCTCAATATACTCGGGACTTACAGCTTTATCAGTTGCATTTGCATCACTGGGTACTTCTCCCCGATGTGTTAAAGCTCCGCGCTTTGTACTCCACAAGAAAAATGCTCCGGCAGCCATTAATAGTGCAACTACAAGAATACCTGGGGGGAAGGAGTATTGGAACTCACGGCGGCGGCGGCTCACGTCAGTTGACCATTGAATTAAAACCAACGGTTCATCATTTAGCTCCACTGGGATATTGTAGGTCTTGTTGGGCTCGTTGGCAACATACTCAACTGCAGGATAAACGCCGCCTCCCACTTTCTCTTCCCAATCGTCCCCCATTGCTTTAGTCAAATGCAAAAGAAACGATGCAACTGCTATGAAAAATGGCCGCCACTGCAGCTGCATGACGATCCTGCTGAGAGCCATTTCTCTTGTTGCCCGGTGCAGTTGACTTGCTTGGAGCCATTACTTCACTTTATTTGCACTTTGATATTCCAAGACTCTTTATAAGCTCACCAGAGGCTGCTGAGGGAAAGGTTCCTGCTTCATTTGCCAAGGCGGAGTCACTAGAGTCCTGTTGGATCGGTCAACAAGTTTACCACAGCCAAACACCCCACGGAGGTGAATCTGCGTCAAACGACTGCAGCAGTCTTCCCAACTAATATGAAAACAGACAGTTTCGACCTTCACTCACAAAACTTTACACTACTTATGTATAATGATTCACGGGATGCTGCCTCAGCCCCATGAGTCCGATGGCCCAGGAGGGTTGTACAAGGAACTCCTCTTCATGCTCTCGTCCTTTCCTGTTCCCGAAATTAATGTTATTGTACAATAGGTCGAGGTATTTCTGATGCATGTGTGTTCCCTTTATTGCTGTTGCTTTGGTTATCGCGTCGCAGACGTTTTGGCGTTCTGACTTGCGATCTCAATCTTCCCCCTTCGTTTCTCCCCGGAAAGTTGACGCATTGATATAGCAGTACCCGACTGTGTAATTCAAAATTTCACGACTTGTGTTACAGCAGATCCACTCAACAGGGGGCACTGAGCCAGTTCCACACTGTCAAGTTCTCCAGACATGCACTCGCACGAAGTTGGTCCTCTGCGTTTTCTTACGTACAGATGCTATGCAGGTTTGCATTGTAGCTAGACTGTGTCTTTGGTTTCATCTCCAATGAGACTTCAGGTCTAGTGATAGCCCGGTCACAGTATACTACAGCAGCTGTCCCAAATGGAGTCCGGCCTGAGCGCCAGCTCAGTACTGATAAGCCCTTTGGCAGTTGACGATGTTTTTCGCCAACAATCAGTACCAGAGGTGCAGGAAGTTCTGCGGCAGCTCCAGCTGCAACAAGCAAACGATGCTGAGGAACTGCGCTCCCTCGTGGGCGTTCGCTACCTCTCGTTTCTCGAGGGACTACCTGCAATTTCTTCGATGCAGAAGGCGGCTGAGGAGGCTTTGAAGGAGACAAGAGAATTTGGTCTTGGGCTCCATCGGCTCGCGTCTTCCTTAGCTAGCGATTACTTCGAAAGGAGAGACCAACAACAGCAGCAAGCCGGGTTTGAAAATGGGTTGCCTCTGCAGAAGAGCACTCCACTGGATGACCTTCTCTGTGTCCACGAAGTTGACTCTTCTCTATATGTGAGTTCTCCTTGCGACGTTCGACAGATAGACTGGAAGGAAGGTACTGGCAACTTCCGGCTGTTTCCCCACTTTGAAGAAAAACGAGAGAACACGCAGCAGCATCTAGGGTCACTTCGATATTTGCAGCAGCAGCTTTTATTGTTGCCGTCTCGAGTTTGGGATGCCGTTAGATCCCGAAAATTTCTTGAGGCAGCGCGCCTTGTCCTGATTGAAGGGAGTAAGAAGGCGGAAGTGGCGAAGGCTGTAGTCTGCGAACTACGGAAGCAGCAGCACTGGCAGCAACGGGACAAACAGTATCTAGAACGGCAACTTTCAGGTTGCTGGGCTCTAGCTCAACAGACGACGCGCAGCTCACTGTCCTTCACGTCATCATTGCGCGCCCTTGCACTTCGCCAGCTTGCTTCTCCAGAGTTACGGCTTTCAGTCGCAGCGGATGCGGCTGCTGCAGCTACGCTTCTATACCTCTTGGACAGGCGAGCTTCTCTGGAAGAAACTAGTGAGACCGAGCTGATCGCATCAGCAGCAAAGTGGCTTTTAGGAGTATTTTTTACGGCTCGCGGAGAGGCTATGGAGTCCATTATGACAAGGAGGAAGAAAGACGGGAAAGTAGCGACCGTACCAGCCCCCTCTATGTCAGATTTTTTAGGGAGCGATCCTACTGAAATTTCACAAACGGTACTGCTGGCAGTACATGCAGCAGAAGCCATCATTTTAGCTTTCTCTGCCTCTATAGAGGCAGCCGAAGTTTTATTTGCACCCCTTGCAGCAGATGGTGCTGCTCACGGGGACCCGAAAATTACAGAAAGCCCTGCCACAGGTGTTTCGGCGAGCGGTTTCGCAGCGGTGCGTGCGGCGGAGGCGGCCCTCTGCACGAGCCACCCCTTTGACTCAGTTGATATCTCATGGGCACTTGGAGCGCTGGCAAGGGTCTTCGCTCTGCTTGCTGCTCATTGCCGCAGTGACAGCTGCAACAACAGGGAGTGGGGGCGTGCCTGTTGCTGCGATGATGATGCATTGTGTCCCAGAGCTAGAACAGCGGCCTTTGTTCAGCGGTGGAGCACTCCACTGAAGATGCAACTTTGTCTCTTCCCTTCAGAGGACTCTCAACGAAGCCTTAGAGACATTCGCGCTTTCTGGTTAATAGTGAGCTGGCAGCGCTCGGTGATTACGTACAACCTTGTAGCCGGAGTAACAGGGAACAGGGAACTGATCTTTAGTGATGCAGCTTGTTCTTGCGCACTCATTCGTGTGTTCGTAGTTGTTGGAGAGGCTTAAGACGATGAGATGCCACTGGAAACTTCCCATACGTTCTCTATTTGTGATTAGCGACACTCCGCAAAGAAGTTCCACGGAATTGGGTGCTGAAGGAAATCAACACTGGGCATATTCTGACATGCCTTTACCTCCATGCACGTTGTGTCTGCTGCAAGCGCTCGGGGAATCTTGCAGCAACGCATGCATTGCTGTCTGTGAGATACGTATGAAGGCTTTACCGCTCCTCAGCCAACAGATAGAAAACAACGGTACGGCAGTGAAAATTCGAGGGAGATGCGCTGTTCTGAGTCATTTCATGGTTCGCTCTGACTGACTGACTATTTCCGTACAAGTTGCATTGGCTGTTGATCTGTTTCCTCCTCAGAAGCTTGTACGACCCGGATTGTCTCTGGAGTGAAGGACGAGTGCTCCAACGAAGCCTTTAAGAAGGACCTTTGGCTTCATTTGAAAGACATTGCCGCTCTGTTTGGAGACGCCAGAAGCTCACAGGAAGTGCAAGCTGCAGTCCCTCTCCGCGCTGCTGTTGCAGCCTCTTTTCTTCAGTCCCTGACAGAATGTATTACTCCGCTCAAGCAGAGGGCGATTCTCACTGCCACTACTACTGCTAACGAAAGAGAGGAAGAGCTGTGCATCAGAATTCAAGACACATCAGCCGCAATGATTATGGATGCTCGAAGGGTGGAGTGGCTGTTTGCCGCTTTCGGTGATGCTGAGGCGTCTTCAGACCATGCAAGTTCAAATACAATTACTTTAGTAGAGCACTAGTTCTTCATAGTTTCATTTTGCCTTCGTACGAAGCGTTGGTTCCTTGCTTCTGTGGGTCGGCATTTATAGGATAAGGAAGTCGCCCTTAGGATAAGGAAGTCGTCCGTATCATGTATTTGGGACCGAACGCCGGAAGTAAGTCGCGTGTATTTTACAGCAGCATGATTTCCATTGGCTTAAGTGACTTCTACATCAAATGATTCCTACCTTATTGGCAATGACTTTGACCACGGCTTTGATGCTTCAGGGTTCGACAGCCGTTAAGTGCCGGCAGCGATTAGCAGCATTTCTTTCTGAGTGGACACTTTCTACGTCATGGGCGCAGAATAATGCCGTTGAAATGTTTGAGAAGGGCAGCTGTCGGGGCGAGGATGAGCATGAGGACAACCTGGAAACTTGTCCAGTGGTTGCTACTGCTAGGGCAGCCGCGCAATTGATTCTCCCCGACCTATATTTTTCATCTTTTGTTGCCTACGCTGTTGGATTTTGGCCGTTTGTAAGGCTTGCGGTGAAGGAGCTACAGGCGGCGTGGCAGTGGAGCAGTGGAACATCAGTTACTCAAGCTAGTGAAGGTGAATTCTTTAGAGTGTTGCTGACCATCCAGACACCTACTTCGGTGCCTTTCTGCAAAATTTATTTGCATTCGAAAATGTAGCTTGTTCAATGTGTTATGGACTTACTACGTCTTACCTGCCCTTACGCGTATCGCTGCTGTCATCTCAGCGAGTGAAACTGTTCTCGACGTATCTGGAGGTGCAATGTCGTTCTTGCTAGACGTTAGCAGGCATGTTGTGGCATCTCTGAAGTGCTTGAAGTAAGTAAATGAGTGTCAAGGTCTAGGTTTCTGGATACCAGCTGCCGGCGCGATGCTTCGGACACACGAAAGGTCCACGGCGCATGTTTTTGCACGCACTTTATCCACGTAGCTGGGCATGGCGGATAAGCTTTTTTATGAGGAGAGCGCACAGGCCTGTGTCTTGTGCTTTATGTGCGCCTGCTTGTGCAGGGTGAAGGAACTATCAGACTCCCCTGTGTTGCTGTTCGCGATGAAACTCGTTGCTTCCGAAGAAGTGGCTTCCATTGCAGTCGCTGCGATAAATGAGGCGAAGGAACGGCAACAGCAGCGTTTGGATGGTCGCTATAAGACAGCATCGCTTCAACGGCATCTACTACAAGTCCTAGTTGACACAGAATTACTAGCCGAGGCACTAGATGGACATTCGCCACTTACACGGAGTTGCAAAGGCTGTGAACGCCTGAGTGGTTTACCAGCCACGCTTCGCAAGATAATAGAAGCTGGAGCAGGCTGCCGCCGCTGCTCAGAATCTCTTAGAGAAGCGGCGGATAAAGGAAGGCAATGGCTTGAGCCAGTCCTTGCTAGAGAACTGGAGTAAGCTTCCGTCTTTGCTGCTAATAAGGCAAGTCGCGTTAAATGTCTGGTGCTCTGTTTTGTTTGGTACCTAATTCTTCGCTTTGTTGTTGCGCTTGCTATATTACCGTTTTCAGAAAGCGCGTGGGAGCGGGATTTTCTGCATCGAAGTCTCTAATTTGGGCTCTTTTGCCCTCAACTGAGTGCGAAGCGGGCGGCATCGGTGCCTCAGGTCTCAAAGAATTCGTTGTAAACGCACCTCTGCCGCCCCTTCTCGAGCCAAATGAACGACTTTCACTCCTGCCTGTTTCTCCACTTCCAGGTGCGGACCAGTTACTAGATGGCAGACCAATTTGGTGGTAGACACTGTTAGACACCGAGAATACTCGTAAGGGAAGTGATCTATAGCTACTTGGGCACGCTTCCAAGCGTGTAAGAGTGCATTACATATGAGCAGGTTGACAAGTAACGTGAACTCGTATTTGTCTTGCAGCATTTGAGTTGCTGTTGCACTCACCGCACGAGGCGCACGGGGAAGCAGACGAATCAGCTCAGGAGCCTGTCGTAAGCAAGACCGGAAGTGAACACCAGCAACCTCCAAAAGAGTTGCACAAGCAGCTGCACAGGCTTCGACTGGACGATGGTATGATATTTTATTGTGCTTGGTTAATTCCCTCGCGGCAGTATTTGGTGGGAATCATCCTGAGATATCAGAGGATGGTACCGACTTTGGCCGCAGTATGCACACATGCTGCGTAATGCCTCAATGTTGAAAGCTGCATTTTTGTCGCTGGCTTGGTGCTTACGTTCAGCAGTCGACTCTGTGTCTCGTGGTCTACAGTCGTGGCTGAAGCGCGGCTCATCAGAGGCCGACAGTGGAGGGCTGTTTCCACCGAGGTTGGGGTCCGGCGCTTCCTCGGGCGCAATCAAGGGTGTAACAGCTGTTTCAGTAGCGGGCAGTGGACTAGCAGAGGCCTGGGCAAAGCAAGTTGGGCACGTCAGTGCTTTAATTGGTCACCATGTCGAGTCAGTACAGTCGCGAGCCGCGCAGGTTGCTTCTGTTGGCCACAGGAACGGAAAACAAGCATCCGCAAGCACGCCAGCAAGCACGCTGGCTGAACAGAGGAAGTAAAAATCATCCGTGCGATCTTGTACTGCGGTTGTTACGCTGCGGCTGACTCTCGTCTTCGAGACAGTTTATAGCCCAAGGGTATGGTGCGCCGCAGCATGGAAACCGGCACACGATCCAGCGCACTGAATTGATGTCCTTCCTGATCCTGCCGTCACGCACAAGCTTTTCATTTTCTGGGGGCATGTGAGACTCTTGCCCTTAAGCCTCAAGTAGACAAAACGAGCAAGCTGAACACTAACTACTTTCTCACGTTTTCTTGTGGCGATGCATTGTGGAGTCGTAGCATCTTGTCTGGCATCCACATGAGACACGGTTCACCAGCGCGTACAAGCGCCTTACACCGCTTTAAAGTGAGATCATCACAAGGCACAAGTACGAACACCCGGCACATAGAAGCCCCAAGGGGAACAGCAACGCGAAAGGTGCTATGTGACGAAGATGCCTGCAAAAATTATGCATGTTGAATTTAACCTGACCCAACGGAAGTGCAACTGCGGCGGACACGAATTCCATGCTACATGGCAGAGCTCCTAATGGACGGCCTGTCAATGTAGCGTAGGAGGCATCGCATTCGTGCGGGTGTGACTACAGTTCGTTTGAACTCATGAAGTAACTAACATTCACCACCTACGCGGAGCGATGATGTGATTACTATGCACGGTTGTTGCATTCGTGCAAGCGGCGTGTGCATCTGAAGAGCACTTCCCGCATGCGGCCTGATGGTTAACTGCGCTACTCAACAGATGCTTTGCAGGTTGAGGTTCTCCTTCGGCACCGAATATGGGACGCTGAAATCTAGTGAAAAGGCAACTGTCTCTTATGTGAATAAGTACGACATTTTCGGCGATTTCTTCGAAGCTGCCGCAGGCATTGAGGCACTGTTTGGCTAAGGAGGCTGTATTTGGTCCCATGTTTGGGCTGCATGAGTGTGCTCCACATAGTGCAATGCAAGTGCTGCTTCAACTCCTATTGTTAAAGGACCCATCACACTGATCCGTTACAACATTTTCGAGCAAAACGCCTTTAATGGAATCGCACATATTTACGGGCTTTGAGAAGAGTCAGTCTGTTCGGGCGGTCAGAGGGCTGTCGCTACATGTCAGCCTGTTGCTGAGACCCGCTCGTCCGCCTATCTGCCGCAACTGGCACTACTCAAGGCGCCTATTGAGCAAACTTATGCCACCAGCGCTGCATACGCTGGAATGCCGTGAGGCAAATCCTCTGTCGCGTGTCTCGAAGTTCACGTACAGCAACTGTAACATACTTGTTTCACGTCCCCGGCCGCCGGTGCTTCAGCAGAGTTCGTATTGCTGATTTGACTACTGAGGCATTCAAAACCCTTCCAGAGCTGCTATTTCTGGTGGAATTCACATCGTCGCCATCGCGTGCCTCTACGTCCGGCAGAACGACGTCCTGTAACAGCGTCGCCAGTGCCTCACAGATGTCGCTCATTGATCCAAGGCACTTAAAGCGGGCCACAGCGCGTTCTTTCCAGTCATCTTGCGCTGGCAAAGGGGTGGACGCTGCTGTAGGACAACAGAGCAGTTCAATGCAAATCTGCGGAAAGAACAACCCACGGGAACAACATACGCAACACGGCGGTTGCACGCTGGCCTAATGAGAAAAGAAGTGTCACCTGTCTTTAAACTTTGGAATGCATCCAAATGCAAAAGGTCCAAGGCCCATGTCACGAAATGCTTGAGTTTCGTGGTGCGTAGCTGCAGCGCCCCGGGCAGTCGTAGTGAAATACCTCTCGGAGAAATATTCCTAGCCTCCCTGAGAGACCCCCAGGTCCCTCTTTTCCTACTGCGCCAAAATTCAAGAAACGGACAATGCGTAGATCCGCAACATGCAGTCGAATCTGCCACGCGACAGCACAAGCACATTAGGCGTCCTGAATATGGGAAAGCTGTTCGATACCGGAATCAAACAGGCGACTTAAAACCGTGTCATGCACTGTGATGAAAGACAGGGGCCGCGATCGGCGTAATTGATCCAACCAACCGCAACTTCGGCTCATAGAAAAGGCTGACCAAGAATGCAGTAAGCTTCGCCAGGTTGAGTAGCCGCCTTACAGAGAACCCGTGGGCAGCTGAAGCTTGAGCCGCCACACCTCTCTGTGTGGTGCGGCAGTAGCGAGCCGCGGCCTTCCCATGGATAAGGAAGCACCGGCATACAACGTTGCTATTAGTTGAAGCGGCTTGGCAGCCACAGACGCCACAGAGGCGCGAGAGCACTATTCCATAGAACGGATTGTAAAGTTTTTCTTGCAAGCAGCATTGCATCACAACGGCAACGGTTTGCGTTATCTGCGAACACACCATAGATGAAGCCCTGCGACGGTAGCGCGGTAGACTCCGAACGCTCCTACCGTGACATCAACGCCGAGCTGTCTCGCTGATACCTTTTTAAAAAAACTATCTCGTTCTTATTTGTGTGCTTTATTCGATGCTCCAGCTAATACAGCACGCACAGTGGTTTTCTTCAACGACAAATGTCCAGTTCTCTGAAGCAATTGGAGGGCAGCATCTGGGCTGTTGGCCATCATTAGACACTTGAAAATACTCTGCTGAAGCTCCGTATTGAACCTTCGAAAGAAGACAACCAAGGCCACACTTCAGTACTGTGGAGGCAGGTGGCATCTTGCTGCACTAGAGACATTTGCCCGTGAAACTACGGCTGCAGGGTCAACGATAACGCGTATTGTGCAGTATAATTCCTACGCATGCCTTCCACGTTTTTCATACCTTAAAAGCGCTGCTTTCTCTTGCATATGGATTGCTGGGGAGCCAATTGAGCGTGCAACTGGAATGCTCTCAGAGATTTCTGTCCGCTTATGATGGTGAAGGTGAGCAGCAACTGCGGATTGTGTGACCATTTCTGGTCGCTGCCCTTGCTGCAGCTCTCCCCAAGATCCGTCTATTCGGTACTCTGTAGAGAGGAAGCTGGGTCCAAAGACTGAGCTGCTGCTCAGCCAGCGCCTGCATAAGTTAAATTACGCAGAATAAGCGAGCTTCAGGGGCTACTGGGGGCGCAAAGAAATCTTTTAATTTAAGCGAGGCCACTCGACGGAGCCTATTACGTTTTGTCTTACGAATTAATGGGCCACAGAGTCTATCGACCTTGTACCGCTACTGTGACTCCTCACTTCATGGCATGCTGCGATGCCTTGATATGCATCAATGCCTCATCCTGTTTGTTATCTTTACAGTCCTGTAACTCTTGTGACAGGCATCGCAAATGACTTGGCCGCAGAGCCATAAGCCGCCGAATTTCACTGAACAAATTCACTACTGGCTTGCGTGGGGGACCAAACAATCTTTCTCACCCGCTCCAGCAATACTCTGCTCCGGCAACGAAAAGTGCTGCCCCTCCAAATGCAACCTAAAATCATCTCCATATTGCTGTACAATACCATGGAGTTTTTTCCATGTGCTAGAAAAAAGCGAAGGGTCATCTTGGTGCAGTTTCCCACCCTCCAATCGTAGAAGCAGAAGTACCAGTTCCACCCGAAAGTCGGGCGTTCCGTTATTCCGCTGAAGAGGTGGCTTGGAGTCTTCCTGCAATCCTGTGATCTTGAATATGAGCTCGACAAGCATTCTCGGGGAGACAAAACCGAAGTCATACAGACAGCAAATTCCGACAAGCGCATGGCGACTTCTCTGGAACGAGGTGTCTGCCGTAAAGGCCTTCTGGCTTTTCTTCTGTTGTAACAATGCCCTCCAGAAGTGGGTCAGGAAACAACCAGCCAAGTCCATCAAAAAGTTTCGGCACAGCTGAATGCACGTGCAGAATCCATAATTCTGTCGATCCCAACACTTCACAGATAAATCCTACGCACAACAGTCCCGGGAGCAATATATTTAGTTGAAAGGCTAGACAGAGAAATGTAATCCTTGCCCTCCGCGTACCTCAATATCCCACATTTTGCTTAAAGCGCAGCAAAGAGCTGCTTTGATGGCAATCATTGGAGCGTCTGAGCTGCGTCCTTCTAAGCATGACTGAGTTAGCCGGTCGCATAAGATCTCCCTCACAGATATATTGTGAGCATGCAGTGCCTCATCTGCCTGTTCCTTGCTCTCATATCCCCGCTGAAGCTGCGATACAAAGAAGGCCATGCCTTGAATTTCGCATTCAATCTTTGTCGAAACTGCCACTACGATGAAAAAAAAGGAAATTCCACTACAAACCCATAGCCCTAAGCTCTAGCAGACCAATCCTCACTTCAGCGGCGCTGCAGCGTAAGACACGCAGCAGCTGTCGGAGAACTGTATTCACGTTGTCTTCAGAGACTCGTTTTATTGCTCGTACAACTCCAACCCTAACGGCCTCTAGATACACACTCGGGATGGCGTCCACTCCCTCAGCAAGTCTGCGGCGGAGAGGGGCCGCAGTCGCCTTGGAAATAATCCCACTTTGCTTTATCCCGGTGTCCCTATTGGGACCAGTTTCTGCTTGGTAGCAAGCTAACTTGCTCACAACAGGTGAGCTGTTCGATATAAAAGGAACACATACAGTTGCTTTATCTGAGTCACTGTCCTCCACCGACACGGGCTCAGATTCTGCATCAAGTCCAACAGGAGTTCCTCCATCTGTGCGGCAACTCAACATAATGGCAGCGGGAGTATATGTGCAGCTCACGTTCGAGGTCTTACAACGAAATAAAGTAAACCCGTCACCTCTTGCTTTTGAATGCAGCGCCAGCAATGTAACAGTTTCCTTTTGCGTTTGTGGCGCCCAATTCTGCCTTATACTCTGCGAACTTACCAGCTGCGCCTTTATATTCAAAGCCCGCCGTGCTCATCCGTCCCCTCATGCCCTGCAGGACGACACTTCAAGCCGCAATGCAGCTGCTGTAAGCAGAAATCGGCTCTCACTCCTAAAAGAGGCGCCACTTCACGAACACATAAGAGGAGCCTTTGGGCTGACGGCTGCAGGTTGATACTGGGCATTTTGAAGCGCACTAGGATACTGTCCAGCATATCTTGCAGCTCCAGGTCAAAGCCGTCCTGTTTTAGCTCTTCTCTAAGCTTCCTCCTTTTCTTCTCTCGGATCCCGTCATTCTTACTGGAGCCGCTCTGGCTTACACCCAGCAGCTTTTCATAAAGTTGCAGCTCCTCATGCAGCGGGTCGCAGCCTCCATGCAACTTTTCCCCATTAAATGCTTCAGCCAAGGCGCTGATACTTTCGCCACCGACTGGCAATCCACTCCTCTCAAATTCATCACCGTATTTCCGTGGTTCGTCCGACTCCCCGGACACACGTTCTTTGCCAGGTTCGTTGGCTGTGGGAATGGCAAAAGAAAACACGGCGGCATGAATCCTGTGTACAGCTTTCATATATTTGGAAGGCTGCATTGCACGTCTGAGACTTTTCACGCTATCTAGGCCTTGACTTTGTGCGTTTCTTGCAGCAGACAAAGCCAAGCGAGCGCCTTCAGGTATTCAACTATTAATATTCGATGATATTTCACCGTGAGGGCTGTGTCCTAACTACAGTTCACTGAGATCCTCTCACGTCAATGTACCAAAAGCTTACAGTCTATTTCTCTTAAGTCCTTAGCTCCACTTCTGCCAGAGTCCTGCGAACAAAAGATACTGAAAAAGCCCCGAGCGTTAACTCTGCAATCGCGAACAGTCTTCAAACAAGCTCAATATAAGAAGCATCGAGTAAAACGCGGATCAACGCTGCAGGATTCGCAGCAGCGAAGCAGCGGTGACTTCCTAGAGCCACACGTGTCGCACCAAGATGTTGTCCAGAATATCCTGTAGCTCCAGGTCAAATCCATCTGCTTCCAGCTCCCTTCTCAACTTGGCATTTGCGTTGGATGATTTCTTGCACCCCTTTTTGTTGTTAATGCCCAGTCGCGCTTCGAGCATCTGCAGCTCATGATGCAATGCGTCGTTCTCCCGCTCTTGCTGTTGCTTTTGTTTCAAATTCTTCGGAGCTGTCACTGCTGCGTCGGTACTCCCACTACGCAAGGGCAGCCGGCAGGCTTCATATGAAGCACCGGAGCTATTCATCTTTGTAGTATCAGATAGAGTAGCATCCCATGCCACGCCGGAGTCCTGCCTAGCAGAGGCCCTGTTATTCCCATCCCTTTCAAATTCTTGAGGATTTACAGCATTGAATTTGCGCTGCAGACGCTTCTGTTTCCTGAGCCCCTGATGATCCCGTTTTTGGAGCTGCTGCTGCACGCGCAGCAGTTTTCTGCGTTCCTTCCTTGGCAACTGGCGTTGCTGGGCTAGCTGTTCGCATCTTCGCTGATCATGTTCCTCTCCTGAAGGTTTCAAATTGATGAAAACGACAAAAGTGTTTGCCGCTGATCATTTCCGCACTTCGTGCTCCAGTGCAGGCATGGCTTTGGCAGCCCGGTAAACACAAACTGCCCCCCCAGAAGCTTACCATTCGATGCTTCAGCAGTGTCGGAGACTGCATCATCGCCCTCAAGGTCTTCCATCTCCCTCAGAAGAGCAGAAGGGAGTCGTGTGGATTTCTGAACCTTACGAAATGATTTTGTACGGACGCTTGGTCCGCGCAGCATTGTGCTCCGCATTGCTTGGGGACTGGAGGTTGAACGAAGGAGCCAGAGGCTCGAAACGCCTGCAACTGATGTGGCTGCTAGCCGTTGAAGTCATTATATTTTCAAGTCCCCTGTTCATATTCATATGGAAGTAAGGCTTCTGAAACATTCCGGAACAATGCTGCACTAGAGGATGGGCAATCACCACTCAGACCAGCAAAAATGTGGGGCCCTTCTGCTACCCAGCCCCAAACAAAAACAGCCATTATACATTATAAAGCCGAGCAAAACTCACGAATGCGAAAAAGTAACTTTAAAAATTCTTTTTGATTAGGCTCCGCTAAAAGTTTCGGCCCTTGCTTGCATATATTACACTGGGACACGGATCCGATCTCTTGTTTCACTTCGGACGGTCTCATTTTTTCGTCTCATTTCATAACGTGAGACGCACTTATTCACGAATTGATAAACAATGAGTCCAGAGAATTCCACGCCCAAACAGCATTGCCGGAGGTAGTAGTTAGCTGATAGATCGCTACGTCGTCAGGGCTTCAATGACGTGCGTCCCTCACCAGCTCCATTTTTTCACGGATAGGCTGCATTTGCCCGGTCACAACACTCCACGTGAGCAGAAATAAGAGGAGAATCCCACTGGGCCTGCGATAGTTTACCGTTCGTTGCTGAAGCTCTGAAGCAAGAAGGGTAACACATGCAACCTGTCCTAGGAAGAACTATCTTAGCTAGGATATGGTGCACTATCCTGGGGAGGAAACTAGTTGTTTGGCACACAATGCCCTCAGGGCTGTGCTTTTTACTGCAAAGAGCAACGTACCAAGCTCGGGCGTGGCCTGCAGCCGGGGACCTTTAGAATAGGCCAGCAGAAGCAGGCGCTGTACCCTACCATTCATGCTCCTTGTGCTGAAAAGATTGTGAACAACATGCTATTAATGCGTTGAAGGAAACAAAGATGATGTGTTTCCTACCCGGTGAGATCATGGCACTTATGCTACGTTATCGCGCGCATGCGCAGATGTAGCTTGCAGTTCATGCTACATAGCAATCATCCTGTCGCATTTTGAGTGGTTTAACAGCCACTTCTTCGTGCGCCGGCATGTAGTGCTTCGGGCTTCTTCATTCAGCCCGAAGCAGCTACTGGTATAAATAAATGGCCACGAATATGGCAATGAAAATGGAAAAGGACGACAGAAACAAGGTAAAGATAGGGCACGCCAAATGATTCTGCATGTCAGTAGCACAAGTGCATGTTATACCACGACCCAAAGTTGTAAACCTTGGCAGTTTGCACAGCTGGTATGCGTTGTGTTGACACACTTGCGTGTGTACAGGTGTTTGCACCACTTCTTGGAACTGCACAAGTAGTCTTACGCAGTACAAAGAAGCACGAACTTGGCCTACGAAGGTCATATAAAACGAAAGCAAAACAAACGAATTAGCATCCTGCAGTTTATGTAAAGGAACACAGCTCTTTGAGTGGCTAAATCGTGCACACTCTGCAGCGAAACTCTGGCTTTGGGGCTGACTGGTGCCCTGAACCTAGCGAGGAGTCTGTGCTCTGTGAGAGGTCCGGCCTTGTGAGCGGGCCCAGTTCTATTTTCGGTATGTTGAGGAAACTGGGGATTCCTCAACACACGAGCTGCTATCCTGTTCAAGTGTCCATTACGTTTGTGAGGGATCTTATATACAAATTAGTCAGCAACAGAACTCCATGAAGAATCCAATCCCGGCTTTGCGCGGCTTTGCGTACTACAGGGGACGGTGGTTTCTGGATTGCATGAGCCCCTCCATAATTCATACTTTTATTCACACCAAAAGTTTGACTTGATATGCCACGGTACGTCAGGGGACTGCCTCCTTCTAAGGTCGATTTTCGCCTAGCTAGAGAAAAGCTCTGGGGTGCACGACACCCCGGGGACAAGCAGGAGTCACGGAAACACAAACTTCTTGAGGCTGCGGAAAAGGCAAGCATGAGCAAGAGGCAAGGGGAGGCTGAGCAGATGCTCGCGGTGCGAAGTGAGCTACCGAATCGAGGGTTTGTGTACCGATGCTTCAACAGTGGAACACGGAAGTGGGCTTGGAGGCTATATAAATGAAAGTATATGCACTCATGACGCAAACTAGATATGGAATTTTAAGGAGACACAACTAGAAATGTGGCTTAACTCTAAAGGCTCAGCAACCGGACAAGGGATTTGGGGATGTAAGTGTCCCTGTATGTAACCAACGAGGATTGTGTACTCGTTAAGGTATCAGGCTTGCCAGAGACGACTTAGTTCCATTTCGGTCCCCTTTCGAAATTCCGGATCTTTTAAATCAACGCTAGAGACGTTTCCCGTTGAGTGGATGTCGCTATCGCTGTTGGAAGCCCCACATGAAAGTCTCTGTGAGATCTGCGTTCAAGGATGGGAAAATGTCCAAGATGGTTCTGATCAAGTGCGCTGTTGCATTTGGTCCTCATGGGGCACAGTAGAGCTACCAAAGCCTCTTCTTAAACCGCCTTGTCAAGGTCGCCATCCTCCACTCAGTTTTCCCTTGATAGTTTTGGCACTGGCTTAGGCCAGCTACTCTCCCTCAAAAACCCACGGTAGCCATCCTGTATTACCTGCGCTGCATCTAGCGGTGAGTTGGGCCCCTTAGCGTCTTAATATACAGCCCAGCAGAGTAACTGCCCTCAAAGCTTAGTGTCTGCACCACCAAGGGCAACGCATCAATCAGCCTCCAGTTTTCAATTGCAGACCTCCCGTGTCCCTTATGCCGTACGCAATAAACTGTGGACACTGGAGGTTTAGTTATGTGGTGCACAGTAGCATCATTAAGTTGGGGCTCAACCACAGTGCTATTACGCTGCACTGCTAATTACTAGGTTTTGTTTTAAGATTGAACTGAACTTCTGGCCAGCGCATGCGGCGAGGTTATGGGGAAGCATGAGACAAACGCCAGCCATCATTCTGAGCTATGGGTAGACTCTACAAATCACTAGATTATATGATACGGTTAAATACACACTAAGCAAAAAAAAGCAAGGAATCTCACTGTAACTTGCGATGAAGTAACTTGCGTGCTGTGTAGCCAGCCTCAGCCAGCCCCTCACTGACACATGCTGCCAGACCAAAGCCATAGACAGAATATCTTGACCCTTAGTATTTAGGAAAAAGCATGCTTCTCTATGCTTCCGCGGTTCATTTCTGATCATCGAGTTAAAGTCTGATGACTCTTACGATGCGCAGCGCTGCCCTCGCGTCAGTGCATGCGTGAACGTTGTTGCGTGCAGCAAATACTGTGGCATTTCGCGAACAGAAACGAACCAGCGGGCAAGCCGGGTAACTTTGTAGATTTTCAACCCCGTTGGAATTGTCCCTGGAGGGATGCATCAGCGTGGTTTGAGACCTCCGCACTCAGTGACAAGGCGGTCGCGAGTCCTCATTGGAAACGCACAATACTTACCAGCGAGAGAGGCAATAATAACGGCTGACGATTACGTATATCAAAGGGGCGTGAAGCGTTCCTTTGGCGATTATGACGGCTCAGGGGACGACTCGTACCAGTTGGAATTCCCCGGGACGGCAGCAAATGGTAGAAAGGGAACGCGAGAAGTACTCGAAAATAATCGCCTATTAGGTCAGAGAGCTGCTGACGGTGGCCCGGTGCAGCATGTGGGTACCACTGCTGAGTGCCATCGTGGTTATCCTGTGCGAAGAGTCGGCGATTTTGACGAAGGCGCACATGGGCCAAGTGATGATGGCGCTGTGGAAGCTGAGCTGCGAGCGGAGATCTTAAATGGTGTGCGACAGCTGCTTCACAGCGAGTCCGAAATTGACTGCCTTGTACAGCTGTGTTCGTTACTTAAGGAAAAGAACACTGCTTTGCTTGAGCGTGCCATCCACCGCCGAGGCGTTGCCGAGTGCGTAGGACTACTTGAGGAGACATTAGTAAGTGATTCCACGAACTGGTGTGTAGTCTTAGCCTTATTTAAGATCGAAGGCACACGATCATGATCGTATACGCTGGATTTTTGCCGCGGGCGTGATTTGTTTGCTCGTGCGTATCGTTTACGCTTTCGCTGTGAACTGTGTTCGCCAGAAAATTGAAGCGATGGGGGGAATGTTGACCAAGGAGGGACGCCGTCGTACACCAGGTGGTGTCTTCTTGCGTCTTCTTCAAGATAGGTGAACATTGACAGCTCTCTCGCGCTGCAAATCTGCACCTGTGTCGCTATTATCCCTCCGCTGCCCTCAGTTTTGGACTTCAGATCCCGCAAGTGCTAGTTCACTACTGATAAATTTTTGTAGCATTCGTGAGAAAGGGCCCTCTCAGCTTGCTGGAGTCAGTTCCATATCTGGGAAGCACAGTGTGTCTGATCCATCCCAGGATTCCGCGTGAGGACAAGCGATTCATATGGGACGAGCAAAATAGAGAGCAAAGGAGGCTCAAACGGCAAAGAATCCGCAGCCAAAAAGCTGCGAAGGTGTCCGTACGTCCACGCGAAAAGCTGGAGAACAGTGTCTCGACTGCAATCCAGCACCCTACAGAGCCGCCTGAATGCGATGAGCTTGAACCGGGGGAGCTTGACGCTGCCGAACTACGACCTATTGATGAAGCGTGATTTGAGCTTCGAAACTTTGATTGTTTTAACGGCACTGATGGAGGGAGGTACTCTCGCCCCTGATAGAGTTGCCGAGTGTATCTATCAGCGTATTCGCAGGACACGACTTGCTTTGACTTAAAAGTTGCTGTCTTTGATCAACTGTGTTGCACTGAAACACGTTACGGCAACACAATGCTGGAGGCACCCAGAGACATCTCTGGAGTTCTAGATTAACAGCAGTTACCATAAGCACGGAATGACGGTACGTTTACTTTTGTGGAGTTTCACAATTGCCCCACGGATCAGATTCTGTCTGTTCTGTGGCAACCAACCCATCTGTTGGTGGGGGCCCACGGTGTGAAAACCATATTTGCCCACTCATGAAGCTAATGCTCTGGGTGCATGCTTGCTCCAGATGCTGCTTTCCGGTGGTGCAGGAGCTCCCTCGTGAAATGAGCAAGAGATTTCACTAAAAGTAAGGCCCCAACAAACATGACCGGATACTCTGCTGCTCCGAGCACCTGTAAGCACGGAAATACTCAAAGCAGGGCGGCAGCGAGCGATCTACGTCTTACTTTGGCAGGTCCATCTGAAGTGAAGATGCTGTATAGCGCTATAGGTGGCATCCGGCGATTGCGGCTCTTTGGTCTTCGACCAATCACATTTCCGTACTCACCGATAGCTTCTTTCCTGGGAGGCTTGATTGTGCAAGTGCCAGCGCTGCGGAGAGAGCCAGTATCATATTTAGTATCGCTCCCGTCACGCAGAGTTCTGCCTCAAGCCTAAATTGGAACATCCACAAGTACTAAGTTCTTCTCAGATGGATACTAGGTTCGGCAACTTCCTAAATCACGCGTTTTTCCAATTTTCAGTGTGGGGCCCTTCGTTTGCCTGCGTTTTGACTGTGGCGAACTATTGTGTCAACGTGGGCTCAGGACCTGGCCCCTTCCCAGCCCTTTTCCTCCGGCCTTACCGGGCCGCTCGACTGTTGATCTTCTTCGCGTTGCGGAATTTTGGGTTTCCAAAGAGCGAAAAGGGAAGACAAGCCCCCATCCCGAAAGAAAGCAGTGTAATGAAGCCATTCGTGGCATCCTGCGCAAGAAGTATTTTTCCAGTGTAGATACTGAACGCGCTCATTGCTGACGCGCAGACCCCGCAGCCAAACTCGCAAACAGCCAAGAGAAGGACGCACACTGAATCACGCTGCTTATCTGATCCTGCGGAGCATCAAGCACAGCGCACGAGCGAGTAACTCCACTATCTTGTTCTGCAGAACGTGGGAAGCCACGTAGACGCCAGTAAAACAGTTAATTTTGATTTACGCCAAGAGCCTAGTCTGCACTTGCCGTACTTTGGTCCGAGCCAGTTGCGGAGGCCAGCCTCCACAGCAAGCAAACTGGAGGGGCGACAAAAAACAGCAGCAGCTCCCACGCAAACAGGAGAAGTAGAACTCGCTGGAGGCGGTGTGGCATCCAAGGATACCCGAAGCCAGGCCTGCAATAATGTTGAGCAGAGACAAAAAAACAGCAGTCTCTCCAGCCGCACCAAGTGACTCGCTGGAAGTTCCGCGGCCGTGAAACGCTTCGTATAGTGCTAACTGGGTGCTGCGGGGAAGCTGCAACGTACTTTATGCAAAAGGACGCGGCACATAAGCCCAGAAGGATGCCTAGACCTACATTGAACACTAACAGGCGCTGAGCTTTGCGCATGTGCCTGCGACGGGCGCCTGCCTCCTTCGCGACTAAGGTGCTGGAAGGGGCGGCGCTTTCTGAGACTGCCTTGCCATCCTCGAGCAGTTGGGCATTCCCGTCTACATCCTGAATATCTCTCATTATACTTCCGCACGGTGAGACTTTATTGCTTCGTTTGAGGCTCACCAGCCTCCCCCAAGGAACCAACGGTTGTCAAGTACCGCTCCACTCTAGCTGTGCCCTGCAATTTCGGCGTATTCTTAGATATGAAGTAGTGGACGTTCCAAATAGTCCCTTTACTTTGGCAACAGCAGGAGCGTCCTCAACTATTCAGTGAAACTTTTGGGTGTTTTGCGTGGATTGCGTCTTCCTGTCCAGTGGAAGCCCGGTTCCTCGGCGGCTGGTGTCCTCATGAACACATGAAGCAACCAAAGTAAAACCAGCTTCCGTTCTACTTTACATAGATCACTTATTTTAAGGTGAGGTTTGTTGCCCTTGAGTCCCGGAAGAAATTTCAGCCGACCCAAAGTCAATGGCCAGCACCCCGTTGAGACACCGGATACTGAAGGCTCGAAGGGATTGCTCAGTGTGACACAGTCTTCAAGTATGCGCTGCTCGCTGGAAATGTTACTAAATGGCTAAATGGAACTTTGAAACGAAGTAGAAGAGGGGCAAGACCGAATTCGGCATGCTGGCCGACAAGCAGCTGGAAGGACTCTAGCAGCACAGGAGAACAGCGAGATGCCTCAAAGTTTGAAATGTGGCGAGCCAGCCAACAGTGCTCATTTTTAAAGTTTTCACGCTGCGAAGGCTCAAAATTAAAACTTGCTTTTAATAACATACTTCAGGTAATACATTGTCAACCACGTCCACCCAGCGAGCAAATGCGCCGGTGTCGGCACTGGTGTGACACTGCTCTGTGGCGTGTTTCGTTCTCAAGCATTCAAACCTGCGTTCGCTAAGTGTATCTGTTGTATGTGCAGTGTGATTTGAATTCCGCTTTGGTATATTGCTGTGCAGTTGCGCTGATTCAGTTAGACTCAACGTGATCTATTTGACCAAGCCTATGTAGTGTCAGCTGTCGATCACCGTTGAGAGGCCATTAGCGTTGTAGCCTGTCACATAATTATGCCGCAAAAGAAATAGTACATTTCCTGGCTTGTGACGGCGTGTCTTACAGGTGCCGAGCATTTGACAATATACAAGGGCTTTGCAGAGTATACATGGGCTTTGCAGAGCCCAACATCCGACTTCCACACAAAACAACATCCGCAACATTCCGGTAAATCCTACGCAGGGCACCGCTACAAGTGGTAAAAAAAAATATACCTGAAAAGAGGACAGGTGGTTCCATTCCTTGCCCAGAGATCGCAGTGGCTTGTATGGATACCGTCTGTCTATTTGAGGAAATTGGCAGACACCGGGCCTGCTGAACGTGACAGCTCTCTGAGAAGGGAACCTTGAAAGTCAACTACTCATATGAATTATGCCGAAGAAGACATCTAAAAGCCTCTCAAATATTCCATCATTCTACAAGGCTGGTTTTGCCGACACAATTAGCTCATCGCATCTTATAACTACGACTACTGAGAGGACCTATCTCTTGCCTAATCTGCAGCGTAGGATGGTTCAGAGGACCTAAAAATAACTGGAACCAACATTTTTACCAATATGAGCGGCAAGCTAGCTAGATTTTGGGCATCGAGAGCGGGCAACAGCGTCAAAGTCATGAATACAAACAGATGGAATGCTACTGAGACAGTCAGCAACATTTCATTCGAGGGTATATGCGCCATGCTTACTGTAAAGACTACGCATTGAGGAAATAGCGCCACAGAGTTGACACGTCCAGAGTGAAGTCACTTAGCGAGTCATCGATGGCGTGCAAAGAGTTATCGATGGTGCGCAAACGCCTTACCTAGATATATTCTGCGTGCTTTTGCCCCGCGCTGGGAATGCTAGCCTTTCACAGATTCCAAACTGTGGCCGTTTACAACAAGCACAAACATAAAACAACTGAGGGACTGCTCAGAAAATGCTGGAAGCAAGGCGTCAGATATAGCTCTATGATGCGCCGAAAGAGGGTGTAATAGCGAGGAAAAAGGATGATCAGGAGCCTGCTTAAGCCAGCAGGTTTACTGGAAGAAAAGTTATCCGTTTGTGGAAGCCTTAGGCACTTTCTCCTGTTTTCTGTATCGAAGTAGCATGCGTTTCTGTGACGAAGAAATCCAGAGAGCCTAAATTGCAGTATTCGACACCAAGCAGTACATAATTTCGGCGTTATCCGTGCTCGGACTCCAAGCTTCTGCAGCAACAAACGTGAGATGCCGCCGGTTTGCATACAGCAGTTGCAGCCCGACGCGGCCTCTTGGTAGGCAACAAGTTGAGCATTGGCATGCATTCGCTCACATGTTTCTCCCATTTAATGGTATTTGAAAGGAAAGTATGACTTACATTTGAATGAAAAACCGCTGTTTCTAAAAGATATCCCTTTTTGTTGTGGGAAAACCTACTGTGTTTTGATTGTATTTGCAACGAGCGAGACGCTGCGTACGTGTGAACAGTTTTCGACTCGCTGAATCGCTTAGCCAAAAGGGCGCGGCTCGAAAGATAGGGCTTTGCGCTTGTCTACGCTTTGTACAGCAGACCATCAAAATTCATGTAAATGAGAACTGCATTCGAAGCTTTGCAGCATCACCCTTTATTTTGGTGCTTCCACGACACTAAGGAGCAAGAAGATTATCTCATGCTTTTCTGGAAAACAGCAGGCATTGTTTTGGCTTGGCTCACTGACATTCCTTCATGCTCCACTGCAAAGTGTACAAAGCCTTCATGGCTGCTAAATCCCCCAAGTTATTAGGAAGTGCATGCGACTGAGGTAAATTCAACAATATGAGCCTCTGAAACGTATGCAACGCACACACGCTTGTTAACCGTCACGGTAGTTAGCCAAGTCGACGTCAAGGAGTGTTATCGGCTGAAACTAAAACACAGCTATATCTGTTAAACATTGAAGCATCCTAGCCTTTAACCTTCCAAAAGGTTTCCCGCATATTAGGCTCACAGTAGGCTGCATATCTGGCCTCCGCATGTGTGTCTGACGGTGGAAAAGACTCCCTGCCATGCACTCTACTATGCTACAATGGAGATACCTGGAACCCAGCCAGCTAAACGTCTAGGAGCAGTTCAGGTGCAGAAGAAACTCCTTCTCCAGCTACTCGAGTACATACTTTGCTTTTGCCGCCGCCTTGAACGTCTCCTCCTCAGACAAGTGCTATTGCTGCACCTACTAGAGCAGAACTGCTATCACTCCTCTACGGAGACATTGTTTCTCTAGAACACGCTGGTGCCCGATGGTCAGGAGCACCATTTTAGTTGCAGACCGCCACATGCATCCTTTGTGGAACTGAAAGTTACCGTTCAGCACTCTACACAGCTCAGAAAATCTACAACTGCGATACCACACCACAAATGTACCACAGAAAAACTCTCCATAAAAGTAACGCTTCGTGCAAGTTTGGATGCAGAACCTAACTCTGCAGAGGCGCCGCTACAGAATGACATAAGAGGTTCTGCACTGCAAAAGAATTAACCCAGGCTATGCAGGCGTTGTTCCGATATTTTTCCGAGCTTCCGGTGAGTCTTTTGCGGTTTAGGCGGACCTACACAATTGACAAAGGCGCTAGTAATGGGAGGGGAAACGGACTGCGCCGGTGGTCGTTTCACATCACATATGCCTGTACTACAATTCGGCAGGTGCTACAGAGCTATCAGCAGACCAAGACAATTGTCGACCAGGCTGGAAATGTTTATAACATCACTTCACCCTTATGTGTATGCGGTCGACAGACGTAGAACCAACTGTGTCGGCTTTGATGACGAAGCATTCGGTCCCGTTCGTTCATGCCTTACCTGATGCGTCAAACCAGCTTATAGTCCAGTGGCGAAATCCATCGACTACTCCAAGGCCTACTAAATGCGCCAAGAAGCTTGGTGCTGCGGCCTAATATTCTGCTGAACTGCTGCGGCTGATAACGCAAAGCCTGATCCGTTCATACAGCCCATACACGGCCATATCTCGAGAAACCAAATTTAAGCCAAAATGAAGTAACGACGCCCCAATAGTAGCGCATAAATTCGAAGCAAGTTTCCCACAAAAAGTTGCATATATCGGGAAAAAACCTACGGATTACGTACTGAGAACATAATTAAGGATTACGTAATGAGAAGATAATTCTTGGGCTACTGAAGAACTGACGACGCTTCAGCGTTTTAAGAGTTGCTGACAAAGCATCTAACGGAGACTGCACGCAGCCGTTGCTCTTGCCTAGAGGTATATCGGAGACTCCGCCTATGCCATGCTCGGACATGTGACAGTAACCTTAGTAACAACAAATGCCACTGTTTTGCTCGTAGAAACGAAAAAGTATCCCACAAGATTTAGCGAAGATGTGACCCACCGGAATCAGCCAGTGAGTGATGAAAAGCCCACGTCTTTGAGGCTCTAACAGGTGGCGGCATAAACAACTGCAATACTTGCACAAACTTGTAGCCACCATCACAGATTTCGCCACTGGACACGCATATAGACGTTCAGCGAAAAGCCAGCAATTCGTGTCCTTGGGGGATACGAGAAGACGGGATGCCCCAACAGAGAGGCAGCCACAAATACTGTTTGGCAAGGGTCAGTAAGGGTCCATTCACATCCCACGTTCCCTCTTGTCAGTTAACGGCAGCCTCTCTAAAAAGGAACCTCGCGAATGCACTGCAATCTGCATGATTTAGCAATTTTGCCAAAAATGTCCCATGGAACATACCCACGGTGGACGAAATAAAGCGGAACACCAGCACTAGGACAAACCGTTGCTGCCGTACTTTGCTTTACGCCTTTGCTGCAGTAAAAGAAGGCTAAGTGGGGTGAGCGACGAAGCGGGACATAACTAGAGGTAACGGAAACCCGCCTACGCACGAAAAAACCTTGACCGACCGCATATATTGCAACGATTCGGCTCTGCCTCTGGCACTGCAGAAAAGAGCCACTCTGCCAGCTAGCTACTACTTCAGTGCCCACTCAGTGTTCGACCAAACCACCATGACAACGGAAGCAGCATCTGAGTTGGTGAGTACATTAATTCTACGTACTCCGCAGCTTATCACCAGGTACTGGAGAATACAACAGAACACTGAACCCGATGCTTACAATGGCAGCGAGAACCAGAGACAGGAAAACCCACATGAGAAAGAGTAGAGCTGGTCCGAATAAGACGATGGTCGCCACTGTGAGGAGGAAAGTCACCACCTTGGAGAGGATGTAGCGCAGCTTAGCTTTCCTAGCTTCTTTCCGTCCGTGCTTGCCAGCAGCGCGCTTGGAGCCGCCTTCTCCCGCGGAAGACTGGGACAAAAGCGAGTGCACTGGCCTCTGGATCACAGATGCCACAAAAGCGACTGTCCAAAGAGCCAGAACTGCACGGGTCAGGTCAATACTACCGGCCTCCGCGACTGAGCCATAGGAAGCCAACATCCATCCTAAAAGCAAGGATAAGACCATGAGCTTCAGGACCAGAGAAACCCTTTCCGCCGGTCTGAGGCGCTCGCCTGGCTGCTGGACCATCGCATATGAATCTACGGCCAAATTACCCCCTGCACCGTCTTCATAGAGTGGGCTAGATGGGTTTTCTGCTGAGCTCCCTCGCGGAGACCAACTGCTGCCTGACGCCAGACTGGTGCTGTGAGGGCCTTCTTGAAGGTTCGCAGGCTGATGTACTTTCACGCTTGTAGAAGCCAGCGGGAGAACGTCTTCTGTGTATCCGGCCCTCCCGGGAAATTCCAGTGTGGCATCTGATTGCATGTACTTGCGAGCTTCACCAGGGCTCACGACAGGATAGGGCAAGGCGGTATCGCTGTAATCTGCCAGGGTGTCCTCTGCTGTGAGTGTCTGCTCTGGGTAAGTCGTGGTAGCTCCATCTACAGCGGCAGTCATCGCGAGAATGTGACAAACCACTGTGGAATATCTGCAAAAGCGGCTTCTGCGACACATTTTGTCTCCAAAATTCAGTTCTCCTTCCGGATGAAGCGCTACTGATTTAGAAAATTAGAAGATTATTGTTGGATGGAAAACCCTAGGAGCTGCCGATTTGCATCGCCTCCCCCAAAGCAGCAATAAATGAAAGCAACCACGGAAAGGCGAGGTTCCAGCGTCAAATATTTGCAATCCAATACACAAAGACCACCTCATATCGAAGCGCTTAGTTACCTGTGAATGCCATGAGCGGCAACTTGTCCTCAAACGTGCGCATGCGTTCTCCGATCGACAGACGAAGCACGAACATTTCTTGAGTCTAAAGAACAAGGATCGATTGACGGTAAGCGCCAACCTTTCTTGAGTCTAAAAAAGCAGGAGCATTCTATTTATATTTGTAAATCAGCCTCACTGTGTGGTGTACTCATTACCTAGGACCGACCTATATTCAGGTCCGCTACAGGCTTGTCCATCGATGCGCTAACCAAACCTCTCAGTTCTCCGCTGTAATTGAAGTGTAAGTTTACAAAACCATATATTGCCCCACTGTATCAAGAGCAAAGAAATCATCTCTTCTCTAGTTGGCCACCGTTTGCTGTTTTTTTCAGGTTTCCTATGCAGCCTGTGTGAGTGTGGCTGTCGGGTTTGAAATCAGTACAAGATATCACTTAGTGTGAAGCGCTTTACGAACACATGTTTCGGGCATTCATTTTGGCGTTGTCTTGCCATCGTGTACAGCTATCGTGATGGCAGAGCCACTGCCCTAAAGTCAAGGACCGTCACATGGTGGCTGTTCAGAAATGCCCTGGTGTAGGCCAAAGAAAAGGAAAAAAAGAGAGCATCATCTTGAATCCTACCCCGACACTCAGTCAGGAATGCAGACGCAGAGGGAACAGAGCAGCACCTCCAGCTTAGAGTTTTTCCGCTGGTTATCGGGCAGCAGATTGGCCCTCTGAGTTTGGCTTGCAGCTGGTGGGCTGCCGCCTGCTGTGCTGAGCTGCTGCAGGGGCCTTTCTTCGCCTTTTTGTTTCTGCTGCTGCAGTGCTGCTGCTGCAGCGCTGAACAAAGACAGAGGCAGAAGTAGAGCCGGTGCTTTCTAAGTCCCCTCCTCTTCAAGGCCGTCCAAATTGCAGAGACTCGCAAAACGTCACACTTTTAGTAAATCCACGTTTACAGTTTTAGTGAACCCAAGTGAGTAGAAGCAAAACTTATGCGCTGCCGGAGGCATTACGTGAACCACTTGCCTGATCAATGGAACTATAGGACGCTAGAAGCTTCAAGGCAGGTTAGTACACGATGAATCTGGCTGTGGCACTCCCTCGCATGGCTTCCGTCTTACAATGGCTCATCAGTGTGCGTTGTCGACCAAATTGTCCGTAGTACGTTTGACCGCACAATACTCTTCAAAGGACAATGCAAAATGCTCCAACTCACCGTAGTTGTAGCAAGGCTTGCTGCTTGAGTTTCAAGTGGCTGCTACTTGTAGGCTAAATGCGCTTTATGCTGCTGTATAAATACTGTTGCGAAAAATGTACAGCACGTTGTATCACCCACATGTGCACTACGTGATGATAGCCATCTACGCTCTGTGAGAAGGGTACTGTCTGCGCTATGTGGGGACACTTAGAGTAATCGGTAGGCATCTTCAACCGCTATCACTTAGCCTGAAGCTTCAGGGCAGATGTGTCTACAAGCTTTTTTGATGTTTGGTTGTGGCAAACAGAAGTGATTCTATCTCATCTATGAAGCAGTATTTGGAGGAGCCTAGAGATGAAAATGCCCCTAGACAGTTCCAGTCCAGCTTCAGGAATTCGGAAATTATGATGAAAGAAGCGCAACTGGTGGTGGAAGACAAATGGCAAGAGGTTGTTGAAGACTTCACAACTATGGGGCCTTTAAGCTCTTCAGTTATTATAAGGCTGACACTTCAGTTATTATAAGGCTGACACAGCTGCGAAAAGCCGACTTCCCAAGTGATCACGAATGAAGGCTTCAGCATCTGAATACTCTGTGGTGAACGGACCTGCAGTGTCCCGAAAATTGCTTCAGGAAGAGACCCAAACAGCTCTCACATGCACGCAAAGAAATGCAGCTCCCTGCGCACAGGGGAAGTTCCTAGTTTGAAGGCGTAACGAAGAGTGGTTAATGGCCGCTCGAAGCATGACATATGCCAAGGGAAAGTAGCTTAGTACAAGCGCATTTCTTTAAAGGAAAGCAAAAGATGAAATATGGCTCGACAAAATGCCACAGTGTCGCAGTTTTACCACAAATACAGGCTGCGTTATAATGGGACACAAAAAGATTCCATTATAACCAGGAATCTAATAATAGAGGGTAAAATATTCTGGTAAATACTTCCGTAGAGCAATTTGGAGCGAAGGCAGGAAGCCTCACATTGTTCCTTAGCGGGAGTGCAGTAAAGAAGCGCGATGCAGTAGCTAGAGAGCACAGTCTCAAAATGCTGAAAAGGTTGTAGCAGAAGGCTGGCTGCCACGCCCTTGATAGGCGTCGCTAGTCTGCAGGGTTGTGACGCACAACAAAACTAGACAATATCCCGTCGCGCAAATATATGCCAGCCTCTTCAGGAAAGTTGCACATTCAAGAATTCTTGGCCAATATTGAAAGGGGCACCCACAAAAATGCCTCCTCCTACCCTTAATACTTACGTTCAATCAATGGACCCCTGGAGTGCATTACTACGGCATTGAACTGACGACCGGCCACACGGGTTCTTATATTTTCCCATGCATCAGCTTTCAACCGCTCGCGAGGTTAAAGGGATTGAGCTATCGAAACTTATGATCTGAAGTCATCTTTGAACACGATATACTGTTTACCAGTATCCTTTCAGCTCGTCATGTGGGATAACAGAGAGGCAGAGGAGTGTTATATTTGCTGAGCCTTGACTGCATGCAGAGCGCGGCCAACATAGAATTAGACAAAGGACTACGAGTAGCAGGACCGAAGCACCTGCGGTGTCAATATGAAAGGTCCGCGATGTGTATAGACTAATGCTGTAAGCCAAGCACTTTGACAAAAACAGGGTAGCATGAATGTGGACAAACCACGAACCCAAACACATGCCTACGGTGCTACACTGCCCACAAAGCTAACAAAACACTCGTAATCATGCTGGAAACATTTAAACAGAAACAGGGACTGGAGGAGTTACTGCTTGACTGCTGTAACGTCCACATATAGAAACTCTAAAACGATTTTTGAGTGACCTATAGAGGGTTCCAGATACACTCGCTGAGCAAGTGCTCAGGCCTATAGCAACAGCACCCAGGTTTGTCCTTCAAATCTACATAAAGCGAGTATATAAATTGAAAAGTTCATCATCTGTGACCAGTAGAACTGCTCAAACGCCCGGAGAGACGCCCACGGGTGACACGGCAGGAAAGGCAGCCCGTAGGCGACCTTGCAGGCCACGAGAAGCTGTCCATCCAATCAAGTGTCAATTCTTAGTAGGCGATTTATGAAAAACTATTTCGTTATAAATTTCGCATTAAAAGGAAAGATCTCGTTTCAATTCCATGAAGTGCCGTCTGTACTTCACAATGTGCTTGCGTGAGTGAACTCGCAATGCTACGCCGCAAGCTGACCGAAATATTCAGTTCCTTTCAGTGTCTTGGCTGCTTCGCCGATATAAGAAGTGAGTTTGAGACGCTGTAGGCCATATCTCGTGACCGGAAATCTCACAATTTCCCGTTCCCGTGCAAAAGGATTCTGTTGCTCGACTGCTGGACTACTCCAAAGGAGCTCTTCAGTGTCTCTGGTGAACTTTGGCTACGAAACCGTAGCTACGTATTCATGCATTCCCTGAAGAAGAGCTCTTATCATATCCTAAACTGTTGAGCTTTTCGATACAGTTTGGGACGAAGTGTTATCGGCCACGCCATCATGAGTCCCCTCCGCTCCGGCATTTTGCGACTTTATCGGAAGTTCGCTGCATCATCAAGAACCCGAAATTCAACTGGTTGGGCTGCTTTCTATCCGAATCGATGCCACTCTTCTTCGGTTGCAGCCGCAAGGGCTGTTGCTGATCCGGGATGCGTACTATTGCTGCCGAGCACAAGCCGAAGCAGCAGCTGGAAGCAGGACCGAAATCGCTCTAGCTCAGCTTGTGATGGCTCTGTGCTCATGGGGACCTGTATTGCAGTGGCTGCAGCAGGATTGGCATCGACCCTAATGCGCAGAGATAAGCCCGCCGCCCGCTGTTGCGGCATTGTTGGGTACATTGGGACAGGTGATGTAGAGCCAGTTCTCATGGAAGGAATCGAAATTTTGCAGAACAGGGGATACGATAGCTGTGGGATGACCACAATTGGGAACGATGGGCAGCTTACTACAACGAAGTTTGCCAGCAGGGGAACAACAAGTGACTGCATACAGCTCCTGAAGAGAGAAGCGCCCAGCCAGCATGGAGGCCACCACATTGGCATAGCGCACACTCGCTGGGCGACTCACGGTGGCAAAACTGACACCAACGCGCACCCTCACATGGACTGGAAAAAGCGAATTTCACTAGTTCACAACGGAACCATCGATAACTTCGCGCAGCTAAAAAAAGACCTCATAGCTAAGGGTTGTGTGTTCGTGACGGAAACGGACTCGGAAGTCATTGCAAACCTCATAGGTTACCAGCTGGACCTTGGGCGTTCATTTGAAGACGCTGTGGCAGAAAGCGTTTCTCAGCTGCAGGGCACTTGGGGTCTCTGCGTAATTCACAAAGACTACCCGGATCGAATTGTACTCGCACGCAACGGCTCGCCATTGCTGGTCGGCAGCAGTGACGGGCAGGTGTTCATTGCATCTGAGCCGGCCGCCCTGGCGAGACATACTAGCCAATACCTCATGCTTAAGGATGGAGAAATAGCAATTGTTACAAGCAAGGGAATTGACCAACTCCTAGAGTCACGAGATATGCACCGCATCTCTTCTGAAACAGTAGCAACCTCTCCAGATCCATTTCCTCACTGGACTTTGAAGGAAATATTTGAGCAGCCGCAGAGCCTTGCCCGCGCCCTTAACTACGGCGGGCGAATAATGGCTCATGGCAACCGAGTTAAGCTGGGTGGTTTGGACCAGAACACTGACCTGCTGGCAATACGTAATTTGTTGCTAGCGGGATGCGGCACCTCTCTGTATGCGGCCATGTACGGGGAGCAACTTATGCAGTGGCTGGCTTGTTTTGATCAAGTACGCGCCATAGATGCGACTGAACTGGAACAACATTCCCTGCCCAAGCACGATGCTGGAATCCTCTTGCTCTCCCAGTCAGGAGAAACGCTCGACACTATTCGCGCCTGCCAAGTTGCCGACGAGCACGGCGTGAGAAAGTTCTCGATCGTAAACTCAGTTGGGTCTCTTTTAGCGCGTATGACATCCTGTGGTGTGTACCTCAATGCTGGTAGAGAAGTTGCGGTCGCCTCCACAAAGGCCTTCACGTCTCAAGTAAGCAGAAGAACTCAAGAGGTCTCTATGCAACACAGATCAGCCTTTTGTAACATTTAAGCTGCCATACAATTCCTTCTAAGGGATTTTTTGCGGCGAAACCCGAGTTTGGGATCATAAGTTGTAGTGTACTCACCAGACGTCGCTGTATCTGCTCAGATCGCATCTTTAAGTAGCAGCAAGTTTCTAGCTTGCGGCGTGCGCTTCAAAGCAAATTCACTTCACATGTGTGTCGTAGTATGGTGAATGCTAGTTGCGCCAATGTGTGCAGGTAACCGTGCTTGCTTTGGTGGCGAGCTGGTTTTGGCAGAACTTGCGGAGCGAAGAATATCCAGATCGTTGCAGTGCTCTTCTCGATGCGCTGCACCGGCTTCCCGTGTATGCCGGTATGACGCTGAATGCTCATGGAGCTTGCAAGCGTATTGCTGAGAAGTTGAAAGATTCACAGACACTGTTTGTGCTCGGTAAAGGATTCGGGTATCCAGTGGCTCTGGAGGGCGCACTTAAGATAAAGGAAATCTCATACATCCACGCAGAAGGGTTTGCAGGGGGTGCTTTGAAGCACGGGCCATTTGCTTTGATCGATGACAAGGAACAAACTCCCGTAATTATGATTGTTCTCGGGGACCAGCATGCGGCACTGATGCTCAACGCGGCTCAGCAAGTGAAGGCGAGAGGTGCATACCTGATCTGCTTAACCGACTTCCCTGAGCTGGTGCAGGATGTCGCAGACGACTACATCGTTATCCCAAGTAATGGGCCTCTTACAGCACTGCTCGCCGCGGTCCCTTTGCAGCTCTTGGCGTATGAACTCTCTATTGCCAGGGGAATAAACCCGGACAAGCCTAGGGGCCTCGCAAAGACAGTAACAGTCAGCTAGCTTTAGCAACGGTGGGCCTCCTTCGAGGCTACGCAGACGTTTTTTTTTAAATTGCTGCGCGCAATGCTGCAGCAGCGCTGCTGACTATTACTTGCGTACGCAGTCGATTCTAAACCGGTGGTAACGCTAGTCTTCTTCCGAGACGCAAAAGGCGCCAAAAATAAGGTCGTGAGAAATGCTGCATTATCTCTTTGTGCCTTAGTTCGCGTGGTAGTTTACATTATGCATGGATTCAGCATCATCGGCAGTGACCACCGAGCAAGCTAGCCCCCTTAGCGAAATATGTGTAACGAGCTCGTTTATAGACCACACTTTTCACGCGCGTGTAAGCAGTGCCCACAGCAAATGGATTATTTGTCTGTAGAGGGATGTAGGCATTTGCTTGTTGTTGCTTGAGTGGGTTGGGTTGTTTGGCCCTCACTGAATGTTTATCTAGCCTACTACAAATACAGTACTCTCAATAATTCACATTTGATGCAGAGGGCAAAAATGTTTCCAGATAACATGGCGTCGCTTGTAGGATCTGCTATTGGCGTCCTTGCGTCCTCGTAGCATCTATCTACAGAGAGCTAATCGTCGGTTGCCGCCCCAATGACGTGGGGCTGCTGAGCCAGGGCAACGAATTCTGCTGCATGTGAAAACGAGGTTTTGAACTGCTTATAGGGCTTCGGTTCCCAGTCTTGGGCTTATAGACGTGAGAAGTCGTATTCAGTCACTGGCAAGTCCTCTCCGTCAGTGGCGGATGAACTTCACCAAAAGGCTAGCTCTCACGGTCACTTCACGTTACATCAGCACGGCATGCCTCAAGCACTGCAAAATGCGGCCTCCTGAAGTAGAGCACAGAGAAGAAGCTTAATCCGGGAATTAGCAAAAGAGCCATTATATGCGTAGCTGGGAGGCACGGCACGGAAACAATCCTAACTGGTAGTGCATCGATGAAGCAACATAATTATTCCATTGTGTCAATACGTGTATACTCAGAAAGAAGCAGAGCGCTGTAGGTTTTGCTTTGCTGAGGCCGTGGGTTTTGCGCCAGTGACCGAACTACTCCCGAAAGTCTGCGAAGGGGCGTAGGACCACGTTTTCAGAACGAAAGGGCAACAAATGACGTACGCTGACTCCAAATAGCGTGCCGTCGATAGTAGGAGACACCGTGGCGCTGAGAAGAGAGCACTTAACTGCTACAACTGGATGCTACTCGTTCAAGCCCAATTGTTGTGACCTGCTTAGTACTGCAGAGCACATCGACACTGCGGCCTACGGCCTGGAATTTCCGCCGATAAGCTTTAGCCGTGACGACCATGTTTGTTCGTGCCACACCGTCCTCGTGATCCTTGCATGATCTACAAGGAGGCCGCTGTTAGAGGGCTTCCAGTGCAAAGTGCAGCCAGTTAATATCAAGCCGACTACGATGTGGACCGAACCGGTAGAGAAGATCCACTACCGGCCTGCGTTGTGCAAATTGTGCGAGAACGTGCAGATGCGTCGGTAAGGCCGCATATCGAGTGTGCACAAAACACGGACAGCTAGATAGCGACCGGCTCAACGTATCCAAATCACCATCCAAGGTATATAGCAGGAGAGAATGTGGGTCAGTTGCATCCAAACATACCATCGTTGCCCCCTGGAGCCCCATGTGCCTCACATTTCTGAAAAGATTCCTGGATCGCTGAAGGCCCGCAGCAAGGTGCGAGGGAACTCAGCCCGCATCAACTTTTAATCGTTTCCGTCTTTGCCCAGGTTTTGGTAGTTCGAACGCCTTCCAGTTGCGGATCGTGATATAGCCCTGAGCGAAGCAGTGCCACAAGGGACCTCAGGGACGCCTCGCTGCTTATGAACATCACTGCCAATTTCATATGCTTTGCAAGCCCTGTGCGCACCTTTAACGCAGATATTGAGCAGTACTGACACTAAGACCTACAAGCAAAGTGCCTGTTGGCCCCTCCGAAAGTGCCTCCAGGATTTCTTTCCTGATGCTAGTTTGGACTGCTTGTGGCTCTGGACCATTAGCTAAACTCTTAGCCAGCAATTCATGGATTCACGTAGCGTATTTTGTGTCTTTAAGCCGATATATCTAGCTTTGCACTGGTGACTTCCTCCTCCCTTCTGTGCATGAAGGACTGAGCCATTAGGGCCTTACTCCATCATTGATATACAGGCTCAGTCAAGCCGTACCTCGGTAATTAGTGCACTTGAAGCGCTCTCCAATCAAATATTGTAGAGTTGCTGCACAGGTCCGAAGTACTAGAGCCTGTGGCGTGTTGTCAAGTAGGCCAAACTCCGTTACGCTAAGGCGATTGCAGCTGAAACCTTTACTACTTGTTTCTAACTTTCGCTGTCTCCTGCAGAGGCGCCATTGGCTTAGGTCCCGGTGGCCATATTAAGACCGAAATCTAACTTTCCTCCAAACTTCCCATATTGGTTATCGTGGTGTCCAACTCCTCTTGGCTTCTTCCTACAGCCTCCGCACAGTAACCTTGTATCTGTTTTTATCTATTTGTTAGAGCCCATGTGTAGCCTATTTTATTTAGCCATTTGGCCATGCGCGTTAACGATCACACTTTGGGCTTTCATTCACGTAAAGAGCTGTGGATTCGAATGGCTTTCAAAGAGCTTTACGCGCAAAGAATTCGAAGCGGCGGCCTCGCACTGAGGTGAAAAAAATGTGCCAAACCTGCGCGCAGCGAGCGTACGTATGACCTGTGGGATCGAGGCGAGCTAGGTGCATCTCCCAGAAGATTTCAGTATTGTTCAAAAACACACATGTGGCAAAAAGAATATCTCTCAACATTTTTTAGGGATGAATTGACCGATCAGGGGAACTGTAAATGAAACTGGAGGCAAGAAATGGCGCAGTAGCCGACGACAGCGAAGGTGCTCGCTTCGGGTTGACATAAATATGGTGAACTGGCTATGAGCGACAGTTTTCTGTGTTGGAAACGAGAAAATTTGAGCTTTAATGTCTCACCAGAACAGCGAATATCTTCAGTGGCGTGTGCACAGTGCAGAACGACCGTACTGGCCTCAGAATTCCTCTGGCCCAAGCTGTGAGTGGTTCATGTACCTTGTGTTTGGTTGCAACTCTGTCTGTCTTTCGTGAATTTGAATTACTCACTAGGGAATAAGATAAGTTCTGCAGTTTACTTTATCTCCTGTTCCAAAAGTGTGGCAAAGTCTCAATGAGTCGCCGTGGCGGACCGAGAATCTGGCACTGGATCGAACATTCTTCCTCATCTTCCTCTTCCGCAATTTCCATGCTTAAGCAACCTATGTACAAAAGCGACGAAACCATTGACGTCGGCCTCATTCAAGCTGAAGGTGGTGAAGACACATTTGTCGCGAGGGTGCCTGTAGTGCACAGGTGTAGTGAGTCGGCGACTACGCGTGTCTGACTAGGATGAAAGCACTATAATAATGGTCAACGACTTCAACATCAAAACAATCATGTACAGTTGAGTTCATATTATTGTAAGGCTCAGGAAACCCAGAATAATAGAACTGGGTGATGACCCTTGCTGAGGGTCAATGTCTGAGTTGCGGCACCGGCCTCGCGTCCAGCCCTTTGCCCGGTGTAGGCCGACTGGCGCGAGTTCCCGTTTATGATTCTCCGCTATCCAGCTGTGCCTTATGCCTTAAGATATTCAATATTATTCATGCCTTAAGATATTTAATATTATTCATGTCTTTCGCACTATTAAGCCTCGAGGGGTAACGACGAAGGTCAATTGTAGTGCCAGGCACTACAGTGCCGACTTGCTGGTCCCAGGCAACCAGCAGACAGGATGCCGGCTTCTGAGCCTCGGAAGTTTCACGAGGCCAAGGTTGCATCTGAAACAGTTTTACTAAGGCGTACCGGAAAAGTATCTGCTGGCCCTATTCTCAATGCTGCCAAGCTGAAGGCCCTCCTTCTAGCAGACGGCAATGCCGCTCGCAAGTGGAAAGTCCTAGATCTCTCCAACAGCAGCATTAGGAAGGTGAGCATTGGTTTGCCGAAGGATATATTGGGTTAGCCTTTGAGCATACAGATAGCCGTGTCCCTTTTCTGCAAGTGAGCTGTACAAGAGTCTCTTTGTGCCTCAACAGCATGCCTGCAGATAGAGCTCTCGCTAGGCGAAGTTGCAGCTTTAGATTTCGAATGCCTAACGGATCTTGACCTTAATAATAATCCTCTTGTCTCTCTGGATGGTCACTCGCTACCATTTCCTCACCTACAATCACTGCGTGCCAGCAACTGCCGAATTAATTTCATAACAAATTTTGGTTCCCATTTCCGACTGCGCCAGCTGGACATCAGCGGAAACCAAATAACAACTATAATGTAAGCTTGAACTCATTGCACTACTGCACAAGTGAGATTGCGCACTGAAAGATTTCACGGGAAGCTCACATTTCCCGTGAAATGCGAGCTTGCTGACGGTGCTCTCTTTGCTGCAGAAGTTTAGCCAACACTCCTTTGCGTTCTACACTTCAGACCCTGAATCTGTCCAGGAACCAAATAAGGTAAAACTGGTTGAGTGCAACCCTTAGCTACCAGCATACATAAGTGCCGAGACACACTCAAACAGCGAAACCGAGATTGTTGATCCACATGAATTGCTGCCCTCGATTTCACGTGCAGGCACTGCCAGCTGGAAGACATGAGAAAGCAGTTGAGAGAGGAACAATTATTGCGGGCTAAAGATGAGCTAACGAGCACGAAAGTAAAGGGTGAAGCTAACGCAAAACCGTCTGCGGTCTGATGTCATTCAGGGAATTTAAAGCCTTGGCGCCCCTCAGCATTTTTGAGTCCATTGAAGTTTTGGACTTAAGAGAAAATCCTCTTCTTGACTATGGGAATGTTGTAAGTTTTTTCCGCATCTGCGCAGTGCGCACATGAATCATTCCACAACAGCACCAATGAAGGATAATTTGCACTATGTGACGTTCTCTGTCTGGATTCTCTCGCCAGAGTAAATAGCGGAGGTTCAGCGTTGAACCGCTGCTTTGCTCAGGCTGAAGGATTTGCCCTTCTTTCTTGCCCCACGCTCAGCCGCTTCAACGGCCACAAAGTTTCAGCAGAAGTGCGCAACGCGGTGGACGCTTGGGCGCAAAATGAATCTTGCGGCCGAGCAACTGCGGCAACTGTGAAAGCATTTCAAGAAGCACTTCTCAATTCAGAAGGTATTTCGCAACTCTGACGAAGTGTTGGTCTTCTGAGGGGCTCTCTTGGCACTGGACTGGCAGCACAACAACTGCTGTGTCCGTGTGTCTTTGAGTCTGATCAGGTCATTCATTTCTCTGCGCGCCGAAAACTCCACCGAGGATGGGACGCCTGAGCAATATCGGGAGACTTAGGGTGGGAGCCAGGTCAATAGGTAGCAAGGACACAATCCCTTCGGAGAGCCTCGACAACGCCTTTTGTGGGAGTTCTAACGTGCAGACAGTTTCACTATCAAGCAGACTGCCTGCTCACTCGTGTTCCAGCTTAACGAGGAGTGACAGCCAGGCGCTTCATGGCGGCACAAAAAGAGCAGCGTCAACCCAAAAACAAGCAGCTAAAGAAACGCCACGGCTAGACCAATCCGGCGCACGCCAACGCTCACTGTCAGACACAAACTATTCAGCAGCATTTCATACATCCTGTAGAAGACAAGAACTTCTAGAGGAGGATCAGATAAAATCGCATGGTGCGGCGCAGTCCCATTCCAGGGATACGGCGCCTATGGAAGAAAACCAAGCTGGGTGCGCGCACTGCCGATGTGGACGCGTTTTAACTACTGAAGAAGTTCCACCTGAGCCGTTGCGGCTGAGAGAGACAAAGGATCAACTTGAGTAGATCTTATGAATTTGGTACACATGGTGTCGTTGTTTTGAAAGAAGAGGATTGTCGTCATTGTCACCTGGTCAGCAGAGCGATGACCACTTTGAACGCATCGGATGCTGTATTGGCACACAGCCACCTCCAGGATGTATGGAGCCACTAGATTTGAGAACCGATTGCTCTTTGTTGGTTTGCATAATGAGACATGATGCTGTAGTCAATGAAGATTATGGGGCCCGGAGTAGTTGTATGCTCATCCTGTAGACGGTCAGCCTACGTGATCACCAGAGTGGAGAGGACAAGAGGCCAGCGCTAGCGCTTGACTGAATGGTGCATTAGCAGAAGAGGGCCATCCAGTGCTTTCGAGGCGGAATGAAGTCTATCTGCGGCGAAGAAGGCCACAGCGCTCATACTTATGGAGGGGCCCGCACCCATCCACAACGGGAATCCAGTATTTTTTTGTCCCCATTAAATATCGCTTGGACAGAACGGAAAATGACCTGTTTGTTTTAATTTGGGTAGGCGTTTTGCACCGCTTACTGCTAACTGTGTCTTACTGCTGTTTTGGGAGCTGGACGGTCTAGGTGAACGGGCTTTCCGCCCGCGGTGCCTGCAGCTAGTTTGAGCTTACTGGCAACAATTCTGATAGGTGCCCTAAGGGTTGACTAGTTTGTTGTCCTATTGAACACCGTAGTCAAGATTACTGGGCCTTCACTTTACCAATGGTTAGTTGGCCGTCGATGCAACTGACCGTTGCGGATGTTTTCGGTCCCGATAGATTACAGATAAGCCATTTCGCGACAGATAAACCGTTTCGAGCCGCATACTGAGTCCATAACTGCCTGAATAACTGCGTACAGGAACATCCGCTGCACCTCAACGCGGGCAATCACACACACAGATTCTGTCTACTATGCACTAACACTGCCGAGCAGCTGTCGGCCAGACGAACGCGTGTAATTCTATACAAAGTGAATTGTTTTCGTATTCGTATTCTAATTAAGACATTTAAAATAGCCTTAAGGCAAAGAGTCTTGCGAAGTGAGTAGTTAATGAGCTCGGCACTGGTGGGCGTGGGCCATGCGCGCGAGAGAGCCAAGCATCCCTTCGTACACAACAGGAGCACACCACCACCTGCGTACGCATTTCCAGCTTTTTGGCCCCCCTCAGCAACAGAAACCCAATTTCGAGATCTTCTAATGGGATAAAAGAGCAGAAGGTCCACATTTTGTTCTGTACTGGTCTATCGAGCTGCTGCACAGCAGGGACGACGCTGAGTCTTGGCCTGGCGAGCATTCCAGCAGCTCTCTTTAGCTGACAACGAGCGCGCAGAGCATCTGTCACCCAGGTGACTCCATGAAACATTAGTGAACAATCTTTTTGTTTAAATCAAAAGGAGTCTCAAGTTTCATTTCAGTGCTTGGAGACCGATTTGAAAGCGGATGTGCGGAATTCTCGAGACCTACGACGCAGTGGGAGCCCAAGTCCGACGGTGTCAAGGACTTCCTCCCTTATGCGCTGAAGGTAACGAAGATGAGGGAAGTTTTCTCAATTTTACTCGTGGCTTTTGCCCTTGCCACCAATGATCACGGCTGTGCCACAGCCATTCTAGACAGGAACCGGTCACTGCATGGCTTGTCTGGCGGAAGCAGTGATGAACGCTTCCTACAAAATGCAACCTCAACCTTCAGCAACTCTCCACTCCTTGGCAGTCGAGGCTTTTCTCTGCAAGGGGTCGTCCAGCCAGAAGGCCCTGCGCTGCGCAGGGTCACAGGGCCAAGTAGCCGTTTAATCTCTATGGCACCATTGAATGGGGCATTCGTACAACTTGGAGCAGAACACGAAGATGCTGAACAGGAGGAAACAGAGGAAAAAGGGGAAAATGCAACGTCTTCGGGGGAATCCCAGGAGGAGAAGTCTAAGACGTCGCCGTCAGACAACGAGGAGGCGGAGAGCAGCCATGGGGGCAGCGCGGCAGCAAATAAAAAGGAAACTGTAGAAAAGCTGCCAGAAGAGGCCAGTTCCTCAGCGCACGAGACCCAAGGAAGCCATGTTTCTGATGAGGAACATCTTCACAGCATTCGCTCAGAGGCAGAACCCAAAAAGCATGCAGAAGGCGCGGAAGGAACCAATGCAGCTGAAAAAGAGACTGAACACAAGCAATCCGAACACGCCAAAACCCCTGAGTCTGAGGGCGAGAAAAAGCACGAAGCTAAAAAGGAACAGCCTTCCCATCCTCAGGGCGAGACCATGCCCAAGGGCCACAAGGAAGGCGAGGCAGAGAAAGCCGGAAAAAAAGCTGGAGAAGAGGAAGAAGAGAAAAAGCACACAAAGCAAGAAGCTGGATCTGAAAAAGAGGAAACCAGTACGCACGAAGAGACGAAGACGGAGGCACACAGACCAGAGCACCACCCTCACGAAGTCAGCCCTGAGAGAGCATTTGACTCCCTTGTCAATCGAATACGTCCCTTGCTGAAAGCGACAAAAGGACAAGAGCTTTACAGCAGGCTGGTGACGATAATTGACCTACATGGTAATCCACGGGAGTGACAGACTTATTGCACCCACTAAGATGAAATTGAGCTTCGTCGACCTGTAGCCAAAAACACAGTCCTCGCAGTTCTCCACATCCATGTTTTGCATTGTTTTAATATTATTTCCTTGTGGCAAGTGGACACTTATTCATATACTCAGCCGCCCAAGCTTTTCGCACATTTTCGGGAGCTGCTTCAACCCGTCTGTGCATCTCTAAGATTGCTGCGCCAGGTCGTTTTAACCTTTTGCCTTCAGAAAAAGCAGCAGAAGCAGAAAAGGAGCTTGAGAACGAAGCAAAGAAAGAAGAGCCCAAGGCGGAAGCCCAGAAAAAGACTGCCGTGCCCGATATTGCCGTCCAAGAGGTGCGGTGGCACTCACTCACTACAGTTCCTTGACCGCTGAGCATAAATGAAATACCAAAACACTCCACTGCTTGAATTAAAGCTTAGGGACTTGAGAGTTGCTGCCTTACCGTTGTTTGTGGTATTGCGGACTGCACTGTGTTTTCAGGACTTGCTCCTAACCCAGCAACTGAGCAATATGTGGGTACTGCCTTTCTACGAAGAGAACAAACGCGAAACTTGCCTATCTGGCTTTGAAAAGCTATCCCACGAAGTGCGGCTCTTCACTTTTGAGTTTTCCACAAAATTCACTGATCTTTAGGTCAAGTTGAAAACTATTGCTCAAAAATTTACTTTGAAGCGCTTTATTCAGTCCATAGAATGGTTCATTTGTGTTGCAGGCATCAGTCACCTGTGCTGACCCGGAGTGTTTTAAGCTCGAAACGCAAGCTCAGCAATGCCCTTACATGATGATTAAGTCTATCATGCGCAAAGAGGACCTTGAGGCACAGACGGGACCGCACACAGATAAAAAGAAACATAATGCCAAAACAGGGAAAGACCACATGGTGCTGGGATTTGATGGGGAGTGTCGGAAGCCCGAGAGTCTTGGTTCCGAGATTCTCAACATGTTGCAGGTGGGCACTATCTCCATGCGCTCATCCAGACTTTCATTGGGATTCACGAAAGCAGTTGACTGAAGTCAAGCTTGTGGCTATGCTTCAAGACACTCAGCCTACCAACAGCTTCAGCCTTTACGTCCGGCTTTGAATGTGAGGCACATCTCTTCCATTTGCAGTTTCGCTGAACGCCTGCAGTGTCGTTGGTGGTTCTTTCCCGTGCAGCACCCAAAACATTTGGCAAAAAAGCACGCTCTGGAACGCTCAACAGGCAGCGGAGGGACAGTTCCTCTCCAGAAGCACCATTTAGACCTCATCTGCGACCCCGAAGATAAGACAGAATGTAAGCTAGCCCAGCAAGTTGGACGAATACAGTGGCTCTCGTGCTGAGTCGCATCTGCCTGACAACAGTTCTCCTGCCAAGAAAGCCCAATGATGCTGCTCTTTCTTTCCGGCTTTCTTACAGATCCCTCATGCAAGACCGTGTACGAGGCCCTCCAGCACGTGAAAGAACCAAAACCAAGGGTAAGTCAAGCAACAAAACACTGCTGAGTATCAGCGCTTTTTTTGGAGTACAATCCCGAGCAATGAAATGGAAGAGTTTGCGCGTTCTCTTTTGGTCTTCAGGCCTTGCCAGAACTATTGGTTCTTACTGACATCCAAGACCTTAAAAATACCCTTGGCTTGTATAGGATCGTGTTTCTTTTTGAAGGACTTGTTCAATTCGCCACTCCAGATGGAACGAAAATCGATGTTTATCAGCACAAGCTTCCAGCTGAGGAAGCGGAGTTCCTTCATAAGTACAGACATAAAGATATATCTGCCACTATAATGATGAAAGGGGAATGAATTCTCATGGAACGAGCGCGCAAAATATAAGCCTAGAATATGCGGCACGTTGATTTTCTGAGTTTAAAGTCCGGCTCCAGCTGTGATTCAAGACAAATTTTTTTTGCTTTTAGTTCTAGTGGTGGTTGGACGATGAGTCCACCACTCAACGTGAGACATAAGAGTGCATTCCTTTTACTTTGTCAAGCTGCTGGCACTGTGTAAAGTACATGATATACCTCAGGGCACCACAAGCACATCGTGAGTTCATTCATTGTCGCCTTAGGTTTTTATGAAGCTCATAGGAGGGCAAGGCTTCGAGGCAGCTCTGCAAGCATTTTGGCCGCCTATTGGGGCCGAATGGAGGGTACGGAGGGGCATTTGAGTGCTAGCCAGCTTGTCTCAGTAGTTCTACAGCATACCAATTCCCCCCACGCTGCAGAACTCCAGCTAGCTGTAATACAAACAGTAGGGTAGTGGAGAAGAAAACTAGCGAAACTCAAGAGTTCCTCCTGAAGGAGGGCACCCTTAAGCCACACGTTACGACAGCCCACCATTCAACTACTGCAGGAGCATTGCCGTCAAGTGAGATGTAACTACGAAGAACGACATGCGAGGATTTAGCTCCTATTTTGCCTTTATCCAACGTGGCGCATGACTGTGCTAAATGCACCAGCAATAGCCAAGAGATGCCATCTCGAGGGGGCTTCCGTAAATATTGGATGACCACGCTCCAGTAATTTTCCAATTTGGTTTTTTCCATATTCCAGCAAAAGACCCATACCTGCCGTCCACCATTTCCCCAGATTGTGTAATGGGGAACTTAGGGGCGGGTGTCGACAGGGAACCAGCTACAGCGCAGCTGACACTGGAAGTCATTCTCCGAGTCTTCAAGCGCTAGCGTAAATGTGTAGCGAAGCTACTTCAACAACTTCAAAGCACAGAAGTGTCGGAAAAAGCTTGCATGCGATAGCAGCAGCAAGACGTTTAGCAGTGGACCATTACCATTCCAGACAGTGGAACGTGAGATTGAGTTCTTCACTGCATTCATAAAAAAGAAAAGACCTTGGCAGGCACATACACAGAGCGATTTCTATCAGCTCGAGTGATAACCGACTCACACCAAGGCTTCGGGACCACCGCCATCACCGGCTGCTCCTACTGCTGCGGAACATTAACTATTCTTTCACTGTATTACCTATGCTGAAAAAGGATGAATTCTTGCATTCCATGCAGTAATGGTTCACTCATTAACACTGCTCGCTGCCGAGCAGCCCACGAAGCATTTTCACTAATGCGAGAATTCATATATCTGGGCTGTTGACGCCCACTTTGACTGCCTCCGTGGCCATTAAACAATACACACAAGCGTAACAGAAGGGGCTCGTAACTGCTAGAGAATTTTAGCAAATAGCTAGTGCATTGCAGATCCTGAACAATGACTCACAGTGGTGGCGCCGACGCTGAGCGTGCATTTGCGGCTCCAAGGAGGCCTTAGATGAACGACTGGGGAGCTTGTGTGATGTAGTAAGTGTCACTAAATTATATTTGATTGGAATTAAAATGATAAGTAGGCAGTGTTCCTCTGTGGTAAATAGAGATTAATCACTTTTCGCTCGAGCTGACAGGGCTGGTCTCGGCGGCGCTAACAAAGCTGGGATCGAGTAATGGAGCTTCCCCTAAAGTATGAAGCCGGTAGAAGCTGCGAATGAACTACACCTGCGTTTCGCGGGTATTTTGAGTACCTCCCTATCTACTTGCTGCTACTGTTCTATGATGTTGGAAATGGCAGCAGCAGCGCGCAGGCATTTGTTTCTGTGAGAACCTTCTCTGCGCACCTTCCTCGTATCGCCTCATCGTAGCGCCCTGCGAAGCTCCTTGAGCTTGAATGTATTAAGTCTTCCGCAGGTCGTACTCAACACACCATTAGAGCGGTCCGCGGCGGTGTGGCGCGCGCTAGTAGCGCAGGAACGGCGGGAGAGTCCGCCTACTTAGCTCTCCCCTGAGGCGTCTGCATGGCCCAAATGGCACCGATCGGGAGGATTGGAGGATGAATACACTGCGGCGAGCTGCTGCACGAAGTGCGAAACTTGAATCATTCGTCGACTGCAGCCGTTACACAAGTATTGTTGGCCGTACGCCAGCCATTCGGAAGACGCGCGAGAATGTGCGTGAAGAAACCCCTGCCCAAGCTTACCCAGACAGGCTAAGAGGTTTACATACTGGAATTTCGAGGGTTCATGCCAGTTCTAGAAGCAGCAGTCGAGGCTTCGATGCCCAATGTGCTGGGCGATTACTGCCTTGCCCGGAGAAGTACACTCACCCAGTCAAACACGGCCGCTGCGCTCGATCAGGCGGCGGCTGCTGGCACTCTCCCTGCGACGCTTTTGCAGAGTGCAATTTTGTGGGCCAGGCCTTGTGCGGAGTTTGGCTTAAACGCATCCCTGCGGTTGCCGGCTCCTTAGCTCCTTGTTCGCGAACGAACAGTGTTTCTAACAAATACCACGAAAGATCTTGTTGGCAGATAGGGTGGAAGGCCCATTGTCTCTCAGGAGTCGATGATCTATCAGTCAAATGCTTGAAGAGGCACATATCTTCACAGCATTTTGCGCCACGCAGTCATGAAAGAGCATCTGCTATACCGGCAGAAGTTGCATGTGGCACATGGCAGCTTCCCGTGAGGCGCTTCTCGCCACGAGATAACTCCGAAAAAGAGTGTCGTTGTGGCTCCAACAGCAGCGCAGCCCTTGCCCTTGCGGCTGCAGCTACTCTTGCTTTGCCGCTGCATTGGATTGGACAAGAGGATGCGCCACCCAAGAACAAAAGTGACGCGAGCCCGGCTGAAACCAAAACGCTAACATGCTCTCCTGATGAGTGCTCGCCAAGCAGGCCGCTTAGCGGACACGTGGAAAGATTGGAACAAATAATCTGGCAGAGCCAGCCGGCATTCAAAGCAGTTACTCTGGTGGCTGGCGCGTTCGAAAGCATGCAGCACTGCTTCAGCAACATCAAGGAATGCATTGCTGGCGAAGAGAACAGCATCTATCCAGGAGACTCTTTGCGAGCGCAGAGCATTCTGCAATCCCTACGGAGAAGTGCTGATTGCTGTTTCATTGCTCTTGGCTTTGCCACGAGACAAGCACTGGAACTTGTCACCCAGCGTGGAAGGAAAGTCTGCGTTGTCTGCAGTGACGGCGACTATGCGATTAACTCGAAAACGGCGCGCAACGAAAGCTCGCAAAAGCAGTCCATTTCAGGAATTCATGAATTAGAACAAACGAGTGGCTGTGCTCATGCGCAAACTAGCCAGGGAAACGGGAAGGAGCCGTCAGCGGCAGCTGCAGCAGAGTCTGCTTCTAGTGTTCAGTTTCAGCTGGGGCAACCGCAACTGTTCTGCGCGGATGCAGCAGTTGGCCCGGTTGCCGGAGCTGAATGCAGTAGAGGGTGGCTCGCAGAATTAGGTGAAACCGTTGGGTTTTTCTTTAGAATGGTCGCGTCGGTTTTGCAAAGACTTCTCTACGTCTTGCCCCTAGCACTCATCGTCGGCGCCGCAGGTTTCTGGCTGCTGACGCTGCCCTTCGTTTCAGGTTGCTTGCAGATGTTGGGCTTAAGGGGCCAGCGAGTAGCTCACTGGGAATCTGTTCTGCAGCGGGAACTTGAAGAAGTTATCTTCACGGCTGTCACAGCAGCGGCCTCCGCAGCGGGTCCTACCTACGTGAAGTTGCTGCAGGTGCCTAGAACGCTTTCAGTTTTGCTCAGCGCAGCCGTGCTGCCGACTTCTCGGAAACCTAGGCAATTTGCCTCTATGGCGGGCGTTTCATGACTGGTTCACAGGATTTATTTGCACTGTTTGCAGTGGATTGCCACTCGGCCAGACCTGTTTAACGAGTCTCTCTGCGCGAGATGTGCAAGGTAAGAACACTGCTGCCGGTGCACGTTCAGGCTGGTCTGGCGCTGCAATCGCCAGCCCACAAAGACTCGAGGCTTTTCTGTCTGCTGTGTTTTCTGCTTCAACTACAGACTCCAGACATCAGCTCGTCCCTTCTCCTACCCTCGAGCAGCGCTGCTTCTCCGCGAGCAATTCGGCGATGACGTGATGCGCCACCTCTTGCTTGACCCGAAGTAAGTCGTCGCCGGCAACTCTTGTATTCCGGGATCTGCTCTTGCTCTGCCAGCTTGCCACGGCCAAAGTTTTACGCGTTTCCTGGCCTCCAATCTATGTAGAATGTACGATTCAGCATATCTTTGTTTCTTATTTGCGTGTAGGCCTATCGGATGCGGCTGCATTGCCCAAGTCTACCGCGCATATCTTTTGTTATCGGATGAGGCGGATGAAAAGTCAAAGCGAACTTTTCTTGACCACGCATTCGTTTTGGGCGGAAGCATGTCGAAACCAGTTTCTGCAGAAATAGGCAGCACAGACAAGATTCCTCCAGTCGCCGTTGCGGTGAAAGTTATGCGGCCAGGAGTGCGAGAGGCTATGGAATTCGGTGTGACGCGCCGTCTCGTCTTCATCAAAGTAGCGTAGTGATTTCTTGGGAAAGTAGTCTATTTTAAGCACCATCTGATTGTGTGACTCCTCAGTGCCCGTGTCGTTTCTGAAACAATGTTGCAGATCTACGTGTGATGCTCCTGATCGCTTCGGTACTCCAGTATCTGCCTGCCTTTGGATTTGTCGCTTTGAAAAACAGGTAAGGGGGCACACAATCGCGTGCCCCTTGATAAGATGAGGCAACAGTTTTAACTGCAGCTGGATCTGCATCCTATGGTGCCAAGATGAGATGCAACAAAAGTGCATGCCTCGAAGGCGGCGACTCGAAGCTGCGTTTGGGGCTTCACCTTATCTCCGTGAAGCTTCTCCGCTTCTAAACCAGTGCGCTGTGTGTGTGCCTTCATGGCATCATATTTCAGGCTTTGATTGAGTTCAGTTGTGTGTAGCTCGCTGTGGTCTAGGCACGGGCAGGGTCCTGATGTGCCCGCACTGCGCCTCAGATGTGGGCGAAATAGGCGTGAGCTATTTTCTGTATATGAGCCAGAATAAGCTAAATTTTGTCTGCAGCGTGGAGGAGTTTGCAGTTACGATGCGGCGGCAACTGGACTTCGGGTTGGAAGAGAAACACCTGAAGCTGTTCCGCTCCAACTTCGGGCTCTCGTCGACTCCAGTTCCCGATGATCTGCTGCCGCTGCACAACAAATGCAGACGCAAAAAGCACTGCGACCCTCTGCCAGTAGACTCAAAGGCGGAGCAACACCACACGAATATCCTCGGCTCGCTGTCAAGGAAGATCCTTGGGATGCGCCGGCAGGTCACCTTTCCCTACCCATTCGAGGCGCTGAGCAGCAGCGAGGTGCTTGTTATGACGCTGGAGTCAGGATTTACTCTGAATCAGCTCTTGAAGGCCAGAGCAAAGCAGCAAGAGGCGCCCTCCGGGACGCGGAAGCCCCAAGGCGAATCCGCTTCAGACACAGCTGGGCGTAGCCAGCAGGACGATTCAGCAGCCCTTTCAAACCCAGTGGCCCGAAGCATAATAGAGGTGCAAAATTTGGCGGACTCTTGACCTTGCGAGTCCCGCATCTCGATCAGTTTTTGCCTAAGAGCATGAACGCAATTCGTGCAGCTCTTTACTGAGCCGCCACGGGCGACTGCGCCTAGCCTTGAATTGCGTCTTTGCGCTCGCATTCTATCTTGCGCTTTGAATCGCAGCGATTTAACAGCGTTGGAATGATTTGCCTTCACTCCTTCCTCCAAATGGTCTTCCTGGATAATTTCTTCCATGGCGACATGCACAGCGGCAACCTACTTTGCCGCTTTTCCCACAACAACAAGGAGGTACTTTTATTTCCTTCTCTTTCCTTTTTAACCTTGAATACCTGCAGCACTGGATCCCTCCTGTGTTCTGCAGCAAGTGCAGTTGCCGCAGTGGCCATTGAAAGCTGCGGCAGTTTCAGAATGTGCTGTTGCAATTCAGCTCATTTTTCCGGTTCTTTCCACGACTTTGCCGAATCTCCAGCTGAAATATGCGCCAAGACTTGACGGTGAGTGTAGCGCCTGTTTTAGACCAGTCGAAATTGCCACTTTGCGCGCGTTTTGAATGCGAAATTTCGTCGGTCTTGCTCCTCATGCGCCGGAATATTGCAAGTAAATCCAACAGTCATCTGAGCAATTGAAAGAATATCGTTTTTTACCAGCATGTTGCGATCTGCATGCCGAAGGGCCGCTGGAGTTGGTCGTGCTGGACTGCGGCCTAGCTGGCTCGCTAGAGCAGGCTGACCGAGTGAACTTCGTCACACTTTTGGAGGCCGTAGGAAAGAAGCGTGGCAGAGATGCAGGTTTGCAGCCACTCAGGCGCTGCACACATCAATTACTCCATTAGAAGTGCAAAAAGGGAAAATTTGGAAATAGTGATGCTTAAAGGAGCCAGGCGCGGGCTTATGATGGGGCCATAAGTTCCGTTTTTCTTGCGTATTCCCTGCATGCCATTTGTCGTTTAGTCAACAAGGCTAGGCATATCAGCGGGGCTATATTGTTAGATAATTGCAAAAATCCAGATTTCGGGCTGCGACTGTGTGTGTGGCCTTTTAACTAGCCTTGGCGATGCTCCAGAGAGCTCGAAGAAGCGCATGCAAGGACGAAGATGGCTTTTGCTCCGAGGTGGAGAAACTTATCGACGAATACCATTTTGAGGTTGGTGCTGTAGTTTCGTTGTGAGAAGGAGAAAGAATTCAATTTGAGCTGTGGTCTTCTTGCTGGATGTTTCCCGCAAAGTCTGCAAAACCCTTCTCGAGTGATCCTGCGCTTCCTTCTCAGGAAGGCAACTCGTTGCAGATGAGCCGCGTTCGGTTCACCTCTTTAATGGGGAAAATGCTTTCGCTTTCGAAAAAGTACTGCGTGGAACTCGACCCGTCATTTGTCTCGGTGGGCTGGCGTTTCCCTGCAGCGCGCTGCAGTGTGTTCAGCACTTCTCTCTTCTGTTTTCGAGATTCACAAGAAAAGACATTTTGCTTTTCCTTGCTGCGGGCTGCAGATTGTTGTGGCAATGTCTGTTTTAGAAGGAGTAGGGGCCCAGCTCTGCCCCGATGCCGACGTGCTGCGGACTGCCCTGCCTTACACTCTCATGGCTGCGAAGCTTCTGGGCTGCGACAGCGGCTAAGGGGCTGATCTAGGAGTTCCAGATTTGTTTCAGTGAATCATTTAATTGAAAAATAACTCATTTTCCCAGAAGCTCGCGACGCAGATGCAGTCTTGCGGGCACTTTGTGTTTTTGTTCAAGTTCAGAGCACCTGCCGCGCTGCCGTGGCGCAGTGCTCTCGTTGGCTGTGGACAATTTTCCCCCCACGAAACAACTTATCCTGCGAAGCATTTGTCTTTCCTGCTGCTGCTGCAGCCCCGTTGTAGAGTTTCTAGGCCTGGCTTTCTGTAGAGTACTGCGCAGTGGCGGCTGCAGCACAACGGCGCAGCAGAAGCACTTCAAGTTGCATTGATGCAAGTCTCTGCACTTCTGGCAGCGAATGGTTTAGGAAGAAAGAATTATTGACAATCTTCAGTCAGTCAGCACTTTTTAGAAGTGAGGAAGATGGCAGATGAGGCTTTTGCGGCTAGAACAGAATTATTTCACGTATTTGAACTGAGCATGCAAAGCTGCGTCCTATGGGGGCCAAGCACAGCTGGCTGATATCGGACAGGCACCCTTCCCTGTCCCATTCAGTGATCATTTGAAATATTTGAAATGATTCAATTTGTTCTGTACAAAGCTCTTTCCAAAAGGGGAGGAAACCCAAGATGCTTTTGTTGTGGCGTGGATTCAAGACTGCTTGCGTGGAGCTTCGGCTCGTGTCCACGCAAATTTAGTCCGAATATAACTGCTTGGATGGACGTAATACTTCTTAAGAATATATATTTATGTTTAATAATATATATGTGTAATTAAGGGACTGAAAGCCCCTGAATGTTCCTGTAGCTCCACAACTGACTCCGCCAGCAACATGCCACACCGCGCAATCATTGGAGCTCGCTGCTGCAAATGGCATTTGTAGAGATTCTAAACAGCGCGAATAACGAATTTGAAGGTTTTCAACTCAGGTTTCAACAAATCAAGAGAGACACGCTCAGCATCGAAGACCGCTGGTCCCAGGAAGCAGCCAAGTGGGTGGCCACTGGTTCTCTCAGCAACCAGGTACAGGTAAGCGTATTGTTCACTTTTCCAAATGCAAATTACTCGGAATTAATTAAATAAAACTGCAATAAAGACCCGGAAACGCGGTGCAAGTCGCCCCACGTCTCCCGATGCAGCAACCGCCGAGCATCCTCAGCAGCGAAGTGGTCTAGGGCGGTGGTTAGTGACCCGTGAGGAACACGCGGCAGACGGCGCACCTTTGGTGTTAAAAAAGTAAATAATATGCGAATTAAGTGTTTAAAAGCTTTATAAAAATTCAGATTTCCTCTCAGCAACATCCATCAGCTCCCGTTTCGGAGTCTTGCTCGATGAGCTGTCTCGTTGGCTTGAGAGGAATTCCGCCGCCGCACCTCCCCAGTTTGCACTCTTTTGATGCAGATTATTATATTTCAGTGGCTGATGGCCAAAAAGGGTTTTAATTCTCGCAGTGTTCGTCATGACGGACTCGAAGAACCCTCTTTCTGGAGCTGAGGAGGAGCGCTTTCGCGTGGCGGCGCGCTTTCGCGTGGCGGCACATGATCCAGATCTCCCTGTGCACCAGCAGCAAGAAACAAATGAGAAGCAAGCAGCAGAAGGCGAGGCTTTTGTGGAAGAGGAAAAGGAATTTGCAGCAGAAGGCGCTTCGGGGGCCTTCGCGTGGGTCCCTGTGTGGCGAAGACAGCGAGAAGTTCCTCCCGAGCGGGTTTTGCTGCCCCCTGAAGAGCCCTTCGACTTCAGGCATCTATTCGGACTAAAGGTGCGTCTTGGGGCTTTCTGGCTTCCAGCAGCGCAGCAGCAGCAGCAGCGCAGCAGCAGCAGCAGGCCCAGCAGCAGCAGCCCAGACTAGTTAGCTGCTTAGGCTGCTGCTGCTCTGCGTGGGCTGCAGCTTCCCCCCCTGCAGCTCTCTGAGGCAGTTCAAGTTGCTGCTGCTGCGGGCCTGGGTCTTCCCGTGCTGCGGGTTGGTTCGGAAGTTTTGGAGAAGATTCGAACAAATCTTGTGACTCTGATAGCAGGTGATTGGATTAGTTTCTTTAACTCTTTAAAAAGAAATGAAACTGCGTTTCTAGAGTTATTTTGCTGCATGCAGTGCTGCAGCAGCACGCATGCACTGCGGCCAGCAGCTGCTTCGCTTGCTTCCCACAGGCCCGGCCTGCTGCAGCAAAACCACGGCTGTGCCGCTGCTGCTGCTGCTGCAGCACAAAAATGCAAAAATTTTAGCAGCACTGCCTCGGCGCGCAGCAGCAAAAGTGGCAGCTGAGTCTCTCAGGCAGCTTTTGGGGGAAGACGCGCTCGGTAGGCGCGAGATGCAGCAGCAGCAGCTTGCTGCTGGTGCTGCTGCTGGTGCTGCTGGTGCTGCTGCTGGTGCTGCTGCTGCTGGTGCTGCTGCTGCTTGTGCTGCTGCTGCTTGTGCTGCTGCTGCTGGTGCTGCTGCTGCTTGTGCTGCTGCTGGTGCTGCTGCTGCTGCTGGTGCTGCTGCTGCTGCTGGTGCTGCTGCTGCTGCTGGTGCTGCTGCTGCTGGTGCTGCTGGTGCTGGTGCTGCTGGTGCTGGTGCTGCTGCTGGTGCTGCTGCTGGTGGTGCTGCTGCTGCTGGTGCTGCTGCTGGTGCTCGACGACC